CAAGGTATGATTAATTAGAAAATAAGTATACTAATACTAATATCTCACAATGCCATCTGATGAATGGCACATATATTTATATGTTTATGCCATGGATTTTCAAAAAAAAAATGAAGAGATGTACACACAACAAGCTGGGAAGCTGGAAATTACCGTCCAATATCTTCGTTGCAAAGTAAAGCAGTTGACATGAGAAAGAAAATTATGAATAAAATGACTGTAAATAACCGTCGAGACCGACTCAGGAAGCTCAGTGATGCACCATCAGATAATATAATCGAGGATGCAAATAGAGCCTTTGCAAAAATTCTTACTACCACTATAATAGAAATGATGAATTAGTGTACGCCACAGCCACTCTAATTCTCAAAATGCTGGTCAAGATTCTTAAACGAAGGCTTAAATCACTGGCCTAAAATGATAAATGTCCTGTTTTCCACGGAACCATCCAATGTATACTCTTAACTTCACTGCAGTAATATGGTAACTTCAATGCAGCAACACGACAGAAACTATACAATACTGGAAGAATATATGGAAGAAATAGAAGATTCATAACACCAATGCAAAATGGCTGCAAGACCTGACAAATCACAGCAACCTCTCAGAGCAGAAACCAGCCACGATCACAGTTGCTAACATCTTTGGATTTACTGTAGGAAAGCCTATGTGACTCAACGTCCCACATATCTGGATCTGTCTGGCCCTATAAGAAGTCGAAACGACCCTAAAGATGTTCACTGAGAACTCAATGGGACTGTGGAAAACGACAATTGAATTCAACTCAAAACAGTTTGCACTAGCGGCTATCAAGGATGGCATATGCCAAAGCGACGCATTGTTCTGCATAAATCTAAGTCAAATAATCACCAGAAGAGGATATGGATACAAGAGAGGGACTAACATCAGCTAGCCATCTTCTCTACACGGGTTGACATCAAGTTTATATGCAAAATATGAATGAAATACTGACTCGCTTATCCATCCAACTCGCATATACAGTAAGATTATCATACGGATTAGAAAAAGATGTGGCGGACGATAGTAGAGAGGGAGAAAAAGTAACAATGAATAATAGGGTGAATTTGCCATCAGAAAATAGAGCGGACATATAGGTTAGCTACAAGTACCTTGGTATTCCACAGTCACATGGTAACCAAGAGGCAAGGAAGACTGTAACACCTAGGTATCAATCACTAAAGGACAAAACAAATCTTGAAGAGCCAGTTGAAAGGGAAGAATGGGAAAAATCCCTATGATAAATATCTATGCCCCGCCAGTCATCAAGAAAGCAGCTAGCAACGTAACATGGACAAAGGAAGGCGTGAAGACCCCTGATATATAGACCAGGAGACTCCTCACAATGCACTTATATTTCCACCCCATGTCCAATACTCAAAGGCTGTACAACAGTTGGAAAGAAAGCGAGTTGCTATATGGCTGCGATACATGGGCCAATGAGAGCAGTGAATATTAAGAAGCTATCTGATCTTGATTACTGATGTCTATTTTGCCGGTCCGCCGAGCGGATAAAATCTCACATGATTGCGCACCCATCCTTATTCAAATACCACTTATATTAATATTATCATCACAGAGCATCTCCTTCGCCGATTAGAGCACGTACTTCGTCACCACAGAAGATGACATATATTTCGCTATTTGCTAAAGCTTATGGATTGCACCAAGATATTGAAGGTCCAATCAAAACCTGGACTGATACCGTCAGGGATTTTGGATTCAGGATTTTTGGAAGATTTGATGCACAGATGACTCAAACGATTTATGATAAATGACTTAGAAAATGGAAAAAAGAATGTGTTCTATTACTGTCGACAATGGCGTTGTATCGAATAGCTTGGAGATGTCTTATGATTGTAGCCAGCGGAGAGAGCCTAACCAGTAATGATGAGGGCTGTTAGAAGAAATAACTTCTTCATCCAGACAAAAAAACAACCAACCGGCCAATTAACCAAATATCATGGTAGTTGACAAGAATAAGAAATCATCACTGGTGACAGATATAGCAATATATAAAAGGATACATCAGGAAGAAAGAATATGAGGAGTTGGAGAAACAGCAGGAGCTGAAGGAAAAACTAGAGATGATGCGGAAAATAAAGGCCAAAGTAATTCCAACGATAATTGGAGTACTTGGAAACTGTAACTCATAATAGAAAAGTGACTTCAGCAAATTCCACAAACAATATCAGAGATCTCTATCCAAAATAGTGCACTATTAGGAACAGCTAAAATACTGAATCCTCCTAAGCCTCTGGTAGAGCATGCGTGGTGAAGTATGATTGAGAACAGCAACAGGGGGTGAGAAAAAAGTTTTAACAATGCATACACCAAAGAAATTAAGAATTATCAGTTTTTGTTACCTTCAAGCGTGGTAAAAGTAACTCAGGATCAATCAGACAAATTTTCCCAAGACATTCAGAAACAATGTTACGAGTGCCTTCTTCTGTACTCAAAGCATGTTCCATAAGGACTGGCCATATTTGGTCGATTCGTGGACGAAAGATTTCGAAAGCACGGGGATTATCACTTTCTGAGCCAATTACCTGTGAAATATATTAAAAAGGTAACGCAGCTTTCATTAAATAAATGAAAACCAAGTGATTAAAAGAAATTATGTGATTTCAAATTATGATCTGGACCTGGCTCGTTGTGCTTTCTATACTTTCCGTTTCCACAAATTTTAAAAACAAAATGAAAATTTTAAAATTTTAATGAAAATGGGTTAGTCACTGATCTCCATCTTGAAACCAACAGTAAGATCAAGCAGAATTAAAATTAGAAATAATATTAACCTTAAAAGCAATTCCCCTTTTTTTATAACCTTATATGACTTCCTTTCCGTCGATTCTTGCTCAATGCAAATGACAATGAATATGTACACTAATTATATTCAAAAAAATTCTCTAAAAACTGATTCAAAGACCTAATAATAGATATGATTAATTATAAAATAAATAATATAACCACTTCAAAAAATTTTATACCTCTTTAAGAGAATGCAATAGGAGATACTGTCGCTTTGGTTGTGAATTGATTTCATTAAGAAGAAATGGCAAAAATTTTTCTAGATTACCGATAGCCAAACTCCCAAAAGCATATGATGCTGCTGTCTTCATATCTTCTGATGTCGATTTGAATGCATCCATTAACAATTCTTCTGGCCTAAAACTTACCTATCCTTATCCTTATAATATGCTAAAAAGACTTTAAATTTTTAAAAAATTACTTGAAATCTGGCATCTGATCAAACACTATTGGACAAACTCGTCCTATTTCACCAAGCGCTAATAGAGAGAAGAGTTGGATTTCCTCATTTGATCCATTATCCTTAAGCTGTTGCGCAAGTTTTTCGGTAAGCATTACAGATTTTGAGAGATTATTTGTAGCTTTTGTGACAGCTGCGACAGAAGAAGAAATATTATGAAAAGCTTGTAAATGCAAATTAGAAATGTTATAAATAGGCGCGGAAAGTTCATCTAGCAAAGCCTGCAACAAAAATAATGTTAGAAAGAAGACTAGTGGCGAATTTTTTTCAATCAATAGAAAAAATAAGAATGAAAAAATCTACAAAATGAAAATAAAGAAAGCAAACTTCAAAATCAGGTTTATTTGGGACTGGATTTCGAACTAAACTTTCAATAAAATTCAATGCAGAACGGAGCGAAGTTGGCTGTAGCAACGGGCTTTGGATAAACATCACGAAAGCCTTAATAATTTCAGCAAGACTCTCTGAGATCAACTGGGGATACTTGTCAACCAAATCTAAAAAATAATTTACGACTGAAGAAATTCTTAGACAATTATTAATTATTTAGTATGACTTTTATCTGTAGTACATTCGAATTACACTTACTTCTTAAGAGAAACTTCGAATTCAACTTCGGAAGATGATCAAAAAGTGCCAAAATAAAGATGGAAAGTAATGTTCAAAGAAAGTAAGTAAAAGCTCTAATGTAAATATCAGTTTTGTAACCAATTGTAAAACATAAGAAAAAAACTTACGAGTGAGATAAACTAAAGCTGTCTGGCTGATATGTATGTCAGAATCGCTTATTAGCGCTGGAAATTCGGCTACAGTTTTGCTAATTTTTTCATCAAATCCGTCGTATGAATATGATTGAATTAAGATGTCTAACAAGCTAATAGTCGCTACCTAAAATGATTCACAATAAAAAGAGAAAATCGAGCAATCATTTCTTGTATGAAATTCTAAAAAAAAATTTTCTTAAAAAAATTCTTAAAAAATGTTCAGTTATCAGAAATACTCTGAAAGACTTTAATGACTTTAATAAAATAAAAATCACCCTTAACGGTCGTAAATTTTTTCGCAGGTGTTCGGAAGAGACTGAGAGTATTTCACCGTAGATACTTGAAAAGTCAACTTTTAAGGGACTATTGGCAATAGTTATGAATGCTTTAAGAGTGATGAGACGAGTCATTTCATTTTTGAATCGATCGAGAAGAACTGGCAAGCAAACTGCAATCTGAAAAAGCAATTTCAAAAATTGAAAACTGGCTTATTAAGTTCATAATATGGCAAGAATATATATTAAATACAATTTCTTCACATTAAGACTGGCAATAACAATCAAAAGTATATTAAAAAAATAAAAATTTACATCATTTTGAAGGATATCACCGAAATAAGCAATCAACAAAGATACGGCATTAATAGATTTTTCCTTCACCTCCTGAAAAAATGTATTAATCCCACGAATTAATTTCTCCACAGATCTCGAATTCATATTAATTCAAAATAGGATGTTAAGTAAATAAATAAAGCAAAAAAATAAAATCAATTTTATAAATTTAAAAAAATGAAAAGAATAAATGTAATTATGACCTGATCTGTGTCCGTTGCTTTAACTTTTTTTATAACAGCTTGGGAAACTTGATGAATACAAGAGCGATAATCGAAATTAAACTGATAAGAAGGTAAACGACGGAAGGTTTTTAACATAGAAATCACCGTAGTTAATCCCCCTGACGTTATTTTGTACAATGGATCTTCAATAGTATTAACAATCAAAGGAATTAAAGCAGATATATAGGGAGTAAGCATCTGAAAATTATTACGTAAATGAAAAAATTACGTAAAAGAAAAAATAACTACTCACTGAACAAATTATAAATAAAAAATGCTAACATTGATTAAAACATCGATTAAATAAATTACCTCAGGTTTATGAGTTGAAAATGTAGCGTGCAAAAATTCCAGTGTATCGATCTTCAGAGTATTATTCGCTCGGTCAGTTAATGCAGCCGTAATACTAGGTATAAAAGATCCAAGTGAGTTTGATAAAGCACCAGGACAAGCTCTAATTTCAAAAAAAAATCGGATTAAATGAGAAGTTAAAAACAATACTGACAAATCTTATATCTTTTTGTACTTAGACATTTTAAAGTAATGAAAAAATGGTAATATAAAAATAATATTAAGATCAATTTTAAAAATGAATTTACCGAACGAACTGCGTTAGAAGCATAAAACAGCACTGTTTTGTTTTAGGCGCACTACTGCTCAGCTGTTTTGTAATACACTTGATAAAGCAAGGAATTTGAGAGTCAAGAATCTAAAATTTTCTGAAAGTTTCAGTATAACATATAACAAGTAGTACTACTAATCGATGATTTTAGGAGAAATAAACGCATTAAAAATGTTTTAAAATGTACTCTCAGTACGGCAATTTGTTCTTCATTGACAGCATTTTTTAGCACAACAACGTTACCAATTTGTATTGAATCATTATCCATACATGTTCCTAATTCCTCATCTTTACACGCGTCATTCTAAATTATGAAAAGAGGTGATCAGGTGAATATCAAAACAAATTAGACCCTTAAAGGATAGGTAAGCTAACGAAATCTAATAATAATATTAAATCTAATAATATTACCATCCTATCTTAAAATCAGTGTACTCTATTATTTTAAAAGTATCGAACTGTATCGTATCGTATTTTTCAAATTTAATGCGTTTATGCGCCAAACCAGAAAGAATGAATGAAGTGCCGTCACACTAAACCATTATTGTGATAACTACTAGTGGTTTAAATAAACTATAGTACTATACCAATGAGATCGAAGCAAAATTACGAAAGAGACTCTGAGACTGCGAGAGGAGAGCAGAATATGCATGCATTATATCCCATTTCACGTTGTCCTCGCGTTCTCTAAATCGATTTATCAAAAGATGACCGAACTTTGAAAGGAAATCGAGAAGATCCTCACGGCGAGAAAGGATCTAAAAATTAACAGAAAAGATATTCATAAACCAAATTTTTTACAAAAATTTCATACATTATATGATAAAGCTAGCGAAAATTTCTTCTCTGAAGAAAATAACGCTCGAAAGAACTATTTCTACTTTTTCGCCCAATAAATTAGATTTTAGCACCAAAAAAAAACCTCGTATTTCTAGTGATGAATTCTTATGTGTAAAAGATCAACAAATTTCAATCATTAAAGACTGATATCGACTTCTTTTACTATGAAAGCTCTTAGGTGGTAAATACAATAATTAACAAAAGTAATCAAAAATTCACCAGAACTTCTATACATTTCGCCGATGCACGACGAACTTTCCAGCTCGAATCATCATCATCAGAATATTCACTACCATAGTAATCATCATCATCATCTAAAAGAAAAGACAAAAAATTTGATATTTGCATTATTTTATCTACTCTCATTTTTGTATTCATAAATGGCTTTGCTACATTTACCACATTTATTCAAAATATACTAAAGAGTTAGGAATGGTACTAGCTATAAAAACGATGAATTATATGTTTAAAATAAAAAGATTATTAGAAAACGAAAGCTCAATTTGGAATTCTTTATTGTTGTTTTTTTACCGCTTGCGTTAATGCACTGAAATTGATCTATTTATTATCACCAAAAAATCGACAGAATCTCTTTCTAATGCTAATGTGGAATTCAACAAAAAAATCAATATATCCATGGAAGTAAGAGGTTCTACAAAACCATTGGTACTCAAAATTAGAAAATTCTTTGTTGCTTCAGTATTACTTAACAAAAACACTGTGTAATAAATGGAACCTTGCTGACATAAGCAAAAAGTGGAATAAAACTTGAACAACCGCGTTTTGTTTATAAAATAACAAACTTAACAAGGTTGAGAATAGCAGCAGATAATTCTCTCTTCACTTGGTTTAATTAATACCACTTACTTAATATGAATTTCATGAGCTGTTATTTCTCTTTTCATATCTCTAATGTTATGGATCTAAATAAGGATTTCACCTTTTTTATGAAAGATCAATAAGAAAATATTAATGAAACTATGAGTACAGCTGGAAAACATTAATGTCCTATAGATATGAAACGATAGAAAGGTAATGGTAAAAATATAACAAATGAAGACCAATTCATTACAAATATTCCACAGCTGATAATGATTTGCTATTCTCTTGTTTTTCTAGCCATAAAAATCTTCTAACATTATTGGTTAGGCTCTCTCCGCTGGTTACAATCGTAAAACGAATCCAAGCTATTCGATACAACGCCATTGTCGACAGTAATAGAACACATTCCTTTTTCCATTGTCTAAGTCATTTATCATAAATCGTTTGAGTCATCTGTGCATCAAATCTTCCAAAAATCCTGAATCCAAAATCCCTGACGGTATCAGTCCAGGTTTTGATTGGACCTTCAATATCTTGGTGCAATCCATAAGCTTTAGCAAATAGCGAAATATATGTCATCTTCTGTGGTGACGAAGTACGTGCTCTAATCGGCGAAGGAGATGCTCTGTGATGATAATATTAATATAAGTGGTATTTGAATAAGGATGGGTGCGCAATCATGTGAGATTTTATCCGCTCGGCGGACCGGCAAAATAGACATCAGTAATCAAGATCAGATAGCTTCTTAATATTCACTGCTCTCATTGGCCCATGTATCGCAGCCATATAGCAAAGTCGAACTGCAGCTGTGTAGACGCTAATTTCCGTTTTTATAGTGATTTCGCGACAAGTCCATAAAGCTTTCATCAATCGAAAGAAAGCATTTCTAACTACCATTATCGGGTTTTAATTTTGTCTTTCGCTTGGTCATTTGGGACTAGAATGGATCCAACATATTTAAAGCCTGGCACTTCCTCAACCGGCAATGAACTGATGAAAATAGATATTTTATCAGCTTACATTATATTATAGACGAAAAGTCTTTCGTTTTATTTACATTTATTTTGATCCTGAGTCCGATCCTCGAGTTGGTATTTTAGAGCTTTATTTGCATTTCATCATAACTATTAGCAAAAATGATTCAATATATTCAAGATCCGTGGTACTATGCTCTGGACTGGTTTGTACACCTGTTGAGTGCCGAAAAGCGATATCTACCATTCAATCTATGGCATAATTGAATATTGCAGCGGAGATGATGCAACCTTGATGGACACCAGTTTTTATTTCGAAGCAATTTGTCAGTTCTCCATATACACAGACTTATGTCTGTATACGCTGATAAAATGCCTTTATGAGGCGAATGATTTTCTCTGGAACATCATCACATTCCATCACTTTATAAGGCGCTGCTTTATAAACTGAATCGAAGGCAGATGCAAAATCGATAAAGCAAATGACGATGGGTTGCTGATGTTTGAAACAATACTCCAACACCTTTCTTAGCGTGAATATCTAGTCACCACAACCCCGCCCCGGTCTGAATCCAGCTTGATTAGGGCCTATCCTGTTGCTAAAAAAACAAATGAAAAAATAATAGAAATCAATGTTAATAAAGGGATCGTTTCTCTTTCAAATTTTTATCGTCTTCCATATAAATTTACTATAAGTGTTAATAATTTGTCAGCTAAACTGAACTATATCCCTTCGATTATACCGTTTCGGATCTTAATATATCAAATACAGATCAGAAGAATAAATGCAGATTTGTCGAGTTATTATTACATAACAATAGCACATATAAATCTTTTCAAAATTTTGCTTATACAGGGATTCAAAAAAGATTTAGTTGCATACTTGTTATTATATTAATCCCCATTATTTATTGATAAAACTGATATGCTGAAATTATACTGAATAGAAAGGATCTGTAATAGAAATAATAATATCATACGACAAATCGTATTATAAATACCAAAAAAAACAATTCACCTACTGATTATATGTCAGATTATGTTAAAGATTGCTGATTCAATATTTTAAATTCAAAGGGTAAGATTTCAAGCGTGTTTAACAATATCGCTTTATCAAAATGTAGAATTATACTTTCAAAGAAAGAGAATTATAAATAAATTACATATCTAACAATTAAAACTGCAGTTGCAGAAAATGCTAGAGAAACTCACCCACTTGAGACAATAAAATAAAAACTCAATGCTTTGAAACAGTCTACACTTACATGGCATAAAAAATGAACCTCACAAAGAATGGAATCTTCATTACTGGGTAGAGTCCACTAACTGTGATAAAACGATAACTTTGATTTAGCTAAAGGATATGACGCTGTCACAGTTGGCTGTTAATGGAATTTAATGAGAATTTCGGATTTGGCGGAAATTGCATAAATGGATAACCTATGGATATGAAACAAACTCGTATATAATAAGATAATGGATAAATGGATATGAAATGACTGGATATAATAATTCTTTTGCTGATTAGCAGCATTAGAAGAGAATCCCTAACATGTTGTTATCGACCCTTTGTCCTTTTAATAATATTAAAACTATGCTGAATTCCACTATTCAAATCTACACGTAAAAGTATTACAATTCTACCTCTACCCTCTCAACATAAAAGGTATAGCAAACTGAATGAAACTGAGGAACTCCAAAGATACAACTAATTAAAACTGAAAATTCGTATATAACAAGATCTGATAAAATTTATTGCATAATTCGAGCTATTACAATAAGTTTCCCTAAGATGCAGATTAAGCATCCTCCCTAATTAATTTTTAGATGAAAACATTCATGAAAACACTGAAATACTAAATAGATTTGTCTTTGTTATGAATTTCACGAAGAAAAGGTTACATTATTGAAATATTTCATATTGAAATATTTCATATCAATATTTCACCCACTCAAAATAATTCAATTCTCTGATTATCTAGTTTTGCTATAGCTTTTTGTTGTTTCCAATTCAAAAGCATGAGTTCTGTTTGGTGAAAATTTCAACAAAAATAGTTAAAACAAATAAAATTATAAATGACAAATATGATAATAAAAATTTTTAAAAAAATTTACATTAGCTTTTTGATTCGACTAAAATAAAGAACAAATGCAAAGAAAAGCATCATTTTCCCCAATTTACAGCATTTTCTTAACTGATGAATCTCCATTCGCCCAAAATTAACCTTAAAACATGGAAGCAAACAAACAGTGATGAATTTATAGATAACAAAAAAAACCTTGTGATTCTGTATCGAAATCAATCTTATCATCATCTTCTTCATCAGCAGCATAATTTGGATCATATTTTATGAATTTGGAGAGTAATGTCACGATATCCTCCACATAATTCATACTGTTTTTAGGACAACGAAATATACAAATTTCGATTGCCTAAAAGAACCATTTTATAAGGTATTCATCTAGAATAAATAAACTAAAAAATTTTAAATAATGATATAAATATAACACAATATTCACTTTGTTTTTTAAAACTAAAGCCAGAAACCAAATCTACTGACAAAGAAAAAATCATTTCAGTTCAAACAGCAAGATTTATCGAGAATTCTTAAAATTTATCTTGCGATGGCAAACAATTCCGATAAGAGTAATGCAGTTCATTACATTATATAAAGCAAGTAATTAAATGACGTTACTTGAATACAAGATTCGCGAAGATCATCATCATCAGTTGATGCACAACATTCTAGCAAAAGGGGCATGACTTTTGGTAGATATGGCGCAAATCTATCACCTGAATAACGACAAATATTGTGTAACGCTTGAACAAGTGTACGATACATTGCAGGGGTATTCTGAAATAATATCACACGCTTTAAATCACAATATGCATATGCTGATAATATAATCGTTCAAATAAGCTGCCCAAGATTTTCTTTCGCATAAAAGTTAAATTATTTTAAAGGCTCCCTGAAAAAAATTTACATGAACCAACTTTGGAATCTGACATTTTCGAAACAATTGTTTCCACCGTGGAAGTATAAAGTGGAATTTTCGCCACATTCATTAAACTGCCCAAACAAATTACTGTTCGCTTACGAACTGCTTGCCTCTCATAATTGAACTGCGCCATTAAAGCTTCATGTATCTGGAATATTTACACTTATACTATGGCCTCATACTCTATAATAATTTATAAAATAAAATAAAATAATTCTTGCGTTGCTAGCTCAAATGGTACATTTTTGCACGTGTTGCTAAACACTTTTAGGTTGCCTAAATTCATACTGGATATTATCCTTTTTTTGATTCCAATAAACTGGATGGATTACCACCTCGTTTAATAATTGGCTCATTCACGAATGTGGTTAGTTCATCACGGAATCCAGTCTTTGAAATTCGAAAAGGTCTATATCATGGTTTTTGGCTTTCCAAAAAGCCAAAGAGTTCCAATATTATTTAAGTTTTTTAGTGAATCATCGACAGACAGAAAGAACAAACATTACTAAATTAATGTTTGGAATCAAGTTTGGAAACAATGACCTTTAAATTGTGGGCCTACTAACCTATGGAACAAATTTCATCGACTAATGGCACTGCCCTTGAACCTCTTAATGAGGTTTGAATGAGGTTTTTCATCCAAGAAAGAAAACTACTGTGAATAGTCTGTATTAGTTTGATAGTAAGAATAAACAACTCATAATAAGCAATAAACAAAACAATAACAAAAGGCAACGAAATGTGCTCATAGTGCGCATAATTTCTTCAAATACGGCCAGTAACAATGCGACTTTTTCAACCAAAATAATTCATCGGTCGTGATGCATATGGCATTACGCATTTTTTGCATAAAATAAGAAACATGATTAAGTTCTACGACGGGCTATTAGCCCATCACAAAATAGGCATAAAAACTAAGAATTATTTGGTAATATAGAAGACAAGTTTTTGAATCATTATCACTCCACAATTACGCGCTATTTCTTATTGAGTTTCATCAACAGCATTTTATATGTCAAGTAAACTTTGGCCTTCACGACAGTTTTCCAATGAGTAAATGAAATTGAAGCAGTGATGACTATTGTATTGCATCTTTGATTCTGCATTTTTTTTTAGCGAAAATGAAGCCAAATATGGAAGCAGAACTGAAACTGAATGGCACTTCTTCGGCATAGCCATAACATTCTTAAAGAATCTGTTGTAAAAACAAAAAAAAAAAGAACCGCAGCATGATGCACAAAAACTGCAGCTCCATGTCGAGTCAAAATATCAGCTATAATATCCAATACTTCTAGTTTGGCCGATGAATCCGCCAGCTTCTGGCATCCTAAAAGTTCTTCAATTAAATTATTTTGTTTCCCTAACCGAAACGAATCTTTAATGTTTCTCTGCAAATTTCTCTCGAATATTAACCAACAACACAAAAATTCCTTTTCATATAGAATATACTAAAAGAAAAGTATACACAACATACAAAAGCAGATGAATAATTGTGAACACAGGCGTAAACAAGAAAATATAATCTGCTACAGATATGAACTAAAACGACTCCAATCGTAGGATCACAAATTCATACGACCACCATTATTCAACAGATATTTTCTGCTTCGATCATTGAAAAAAATTTTTAACAAAACGTTCGAAGACATACCCAAAGTCCTGAGCAGTTTTGGTATAACCCGCAATATCACACCAGAAACTTGCGAATGAGCGGAAACCAATAACTCAGCAAAAACTGATTTCAAGGCAATCGACGATATGTCACGAAGTTCACTTTGTTTTTCGATTAGATTTGCACATAACATATCGATTACTTGCTCTGCCTAGAAGATTTCAGAAAGATATTAAAAAAAAATAAAATATTTTTCCAATAAAAAACAAAAAGGAATAGGGTTTAAAAAGTTAAAGAACACTGCTTTTCCAATTTATTCTAAATTTAATTGTAAGTCAAAAGATTTTGCATTTTCAGCAAAATTTTTTTCTTCACAATACAAAAAAAAGCACTGAACAGAACTAGAACTTTTTTTTGACGCCGTATGCAAAAAATATTACTCGGGAAAGGAAACTGGAAAAATCTGCAGCAGTAAATTGCGAAAAAAAAGTAAAACAAGGAAAAGATAAGAAAAATGTAGTCTAGGTTTATATTATCTAATAAATTGCAAAACTTGTCGTTTTTCCTCATTACCTACAGCACATGAGCAGAGAAAGGCTTAACGACGTTAAAGAAACCTACTGCAAGCTTTCGCTTCATCTGAATAAAATATGAAAATTTACCAGGAGTTCATTGACTCTCACGATAAGTGGTCCAATGCATTTGACAGCTAAATTTTGAACTTCGCCGTTCTTGTCTTCCATCAATTTCATCATCATATTCACAACCTAACGAGAAAAATCGTCAAAGTTATTGCGAGATTTTTCGATTAGAACAAATTGAATTCACGTTTGAATCATTTCATAAACAGAAAGAAATAAACCTTTTTCTCAGAATCATCGTCCAATTTCAATGTCTCATTGCGTATATCATTCATTAAATCATTGGTTGCCATGAAACGGTAATCTTTATCAGCCGAAGCCATTTTTTCCAATAATAATGTTACTTTATAGGCCATTGATGTCATCTATTATTGCAAATTTCACTGAACTAAGAAATCTTAAAATATGCGAATTCTTTCCTTAATTATTGAAATTCAGTTCGAACTTATGAACGACCTATTTGCTCTGACGTGCAAAGCCATTTAGAAAATAATCTAAATTCACAAAGGAATTAAATGAGAAAAATATATTTGCTCGCACTACTTTTTTGGAAATTCTCTCTTCTCTCTGAACATAAAATACAAATTTTCCATTACACAGCAATAAGAAGCAAGAAAATTCCAGGAAGTAATCAGTTTCTTGGCATTTGAAGAGGAAACTGTCGACTGTCGAATAAAATTTTCCATTAAAATTTTTACTAAGCAAGTCAAAAAGCCTTCCAATTGCAAAATGGAAAAAAATTAAGAATTTCGCGGTTTCCATACCCTCCAACTCAAAAAAAAATCAATCTCCCTTAAACGTAAAACCTATTTTACCAAAAAACATCGAAACTGCAAGACCGACAAATCTCCACAGAAGCAAAACGATGATTTGAAATCACTCGAGTCTTACAGCGAAAATTTTCAAATTTCCCGACTATGAACCGTCCGAGATTCCTCAAATTCGGTGTTGATGGCGAATATTGTTTTGGTTCCCGATGGTGTTCGGCGAAATCCCTCTGCGAATAAGTATTTTAAAGGATTTGATTGTTTTGTTTTTTCCTTCGCAATAAAAAACTGTCTTAAAAAATTACGAAAAAATTAAGAATTTTTTTTATATGTAGAAAGAAGGAAAAAAAATAGAATTTGCAAATAAATAAACAAAAGTCTTTTTTTATCTCACAACTTGCTTTTTTACGCAGCAACAATTTATATAGTGGAATAGGTTTTCTGTGGAAGAACTTCATATCGACAATAATAACAATTTACTAATAAAAAAATAAATAAACATAGTAAAGTAATAACGACAACAGACAAGAAGACTGCATAATTTGATGAGTGAATGAAGACACAGTTGCACATAACTATTTTTTAAACAGCAGTTATTTGGCTTAGGCTTCGTTGAGAGCGAAAGCCTCTCTTTTTCACTACCCAACGGAGGCAAGAATCAAGTTTACGGTGCATGGTGTTTTACTGGATTCGACCAACTCAGCCATCCCTATCTCTTCTGGATATGAAGCCTGATTTATATATTCAATATTTTGCAAAAAATTAAAAATTGCAAAAATCTTTTTACGATGCTAGAAATAATTTGTCAGTTCCATATTTTCCAATAGTTAAATATTCACAGAGCGACATTCGCGGCAGATTTCGTTGAAGTGAGGCAACAGGATACAAATAAGAAAAAAGTTGTGGACGCAGAGGATCACATGGATTTCCTTTTTAATGAACCCCATTCACAAAAGAAACAAAGACCGAATTGATGCGTTGACCTTTGCTGGAGCAATGCAAAAGAGAAATAAGGAAGGAAGAATTTTCGAAAATTTGTGAGAGTGAAGGATTCGGAATTCAGTGAGTAGCTCTTCTTTCTCTATAGCAATCTAGTATTCTCTCGAAAATATTATTCATTTCAACTCTTTCCTTTCTATCGATTATATTCCTTTCTTTCCCTTCCTTTCATTCACATTTTTATATGAATGAAATGGCTTTGTTATGCGCTGCTACGTTCCTATCGATGGATCGCTTCACTATCCAACAATAACTGCCATCGAACCGTACCCCATAACCCCCGCATGCAGATTCAATATTCCATCTATCAACACCTTATTATATTCTCTTCCTCAAATGACTTACTTCATTCTTCGAAATATTTCATAAATTCCTCTATTTTCCATTCGAGAAAATCTGAATTCAAAATTTCCCAGTTATTTCGAAAGTAATTTAAAATTCACTTCAACTTCAATTCCTCCTTCAATTTTTGTTTCCTTCAGTTTCCCTTCCTTCATTATATATGTATTAAGTCAAATTCATTTCGAACAAATCTTTCCTCTTTTTAGATTTATTTTTTAGATTTATAATGAATTCTTTAACGGGTTTTTTTATTTTTGAAAAATTTTTGAAACTGAAACGCAGTTTTTCTTTTCACCAAAAAAAATTTTCATTTGTTTATACAAAATTTAGAAAATTTATAATTTGTAAAATAAATTGTTTTGACAAAATATTATTGTGAACGATAATTCACTGAATATTTTTCTTACGAAAAACTACAGATTTTTCTTCACAAACATCAATTTTATCCATTAATTTGTTTCATGCTATTTTCGTTTAAATTTTTTTATCGAAATTATTCGTTCATTTGGCTTAAAAGCTGTAATTATAATTTTATTATTGTCATTCATTAATATTTATTTATTATTTTTATCATTTTTATCATCTATTATTGTTATTCTTTACTATTATTATTTAAATAAATTATTATTTTTGTAACTATTACCATTATTATTACTATTATTATTTTTAATTATTTTTAGTTATAATCACCATAAAAATTATGAAAATTATTGCATCGAAATTTCTCATTATTGTAAATAATTCAACGAGAAATATTTACGTAAACAAATTAATTTTCAGATAATAATTGACAGAGCCATAATGTGGCACTGTGCTGCTTGCAGTTCGATAACATCAAACTATGAAACGATTGATGAACTCGAGACACATATTGCCAGTGATCATGTCAATTATTTGCCTTATGAATGTGAAAAATGTAGATATTCGAAATTTCCCACCGAATATGCCCTTATGACACATTGCACAAAAGACCATGGCTTAAAAGAATTTCATGTTTGTCTCTTCATTATTTTATTTATTTTATTTATTTGAACACTGAACTAACACGGCGAAAAGCTGGTGCTGGTGTTAAATAAAAACATGCAAAAAACGAAACAAAAAAGCAGTGCAAAAAGCAGGAAAATACAAAACAACCTGAAAAACAAACAAAACAACCTGAAAAAATTATGAAAATTCGAGAAAAAACGAATCAGATTCTTTATATCACAATGCCAAGAGTTTCCTCTTCTTTTATCCATTGTCGACGAATCCCTCCGATTTATTACGTTCCAATGGACTTTTAAATCACATCCCTTGTTAGTGTTTACTTCATCGTAATTCAATAAATAAACGAATATTTATTTATATAGGTAGATTGAAATTATGAATGTTTTTAAATAATATTGTTTCGAAGGAGATATTGATGAAATATGGATTACATCTTCAGGTAATTAATAGTACGAATGAAAAAGTTGTTCCTGAATTCTTAATTCAGTTCCATCAAATAGATTTAATTCTTTCGATTCATTAGATCTTTTGACATTAAAATTTTTCCTTCCATAACTAATTAAGCCAACTCCAATATAAGGCGATCCAGTCTGGTAAGTCGATTAGCTCAGCTTGATCCGATGCAGTTTTTATAAGAGCATTCACCACTACTAGTTGCCGGCTTCTTTTTGTCACTTCGTTGGCTTCTAGGATTAAATAAATATGCCAGGGAATCCTTTGGCGTACAGCTGAGTCCCCAGCATCAACCCCGTAATTTTTGGACAGGTTTACTCCTACCAAGAGTAGAATCCCAGCATCGGCGCTCCGAATTGAGCAATAATCCACTGGGCTATTCTAGTTTTCCTCTGATTTTTTAGTTAGGCGATAGTGCCTCCAGATGAAGAGTGATACGGATCGAACCCAAGTTTCGATTCTCAGTAGCAGTTATTGCCACTGAGCCACCGACGCGCCCATCGTTAGTAAGAGAAGCCATTCCTTTTTCTACCGTCTGAGTCCATATATCGCTGTTCCATCTATAAATCTTTCCTGATTGTCCAGGTCTTGATTAACTCTTCTCACTTTTGATGCTATTCATCAAAGGGCTGGGTGAGGTATGTTTCAATTCCTTGCGAAGAACATGGTTTAATCGGAGTAGACGACGCTCTTTTAACGATGTTTGTTAATGCAGGTGGTATTTAAGCAAAGATGGATACGATATAAGATTTTATCCTCGTAAAATGTTTTCTTGATAAGTGTTATGCTTCCTTCTTAATGACGTCCACTCTCGAAAAAAAACACGTCAAATTACAGTTATCAGTGTTGCAATCTTTCGCTTGGCATAAAAATGGATCCAAGACATTCTGAATCTGGCACTTCCTCAATTCGTGATGAACTGTTAAAAATAGATATCAACGTCTAATATATAAGGCAAAAAGACTTTATACTGATATTTACACTGATTTACACTGATCCTGACTTCATTTTCTGTTGCAGTTCACCAAAAAGGACTACATCAGCATATTCAAGATTTTGATACTATGCTCTGGACTGATTTCTACACCTCTTGACGGTGGAATCCACCACAACGTATAAGTTAAATCAAAATTAATTTATTAATTTACTAATCTTGCAAAATTATTCTTTCTTTAACTCATTGCGAAATTTTCCACAGTTCTTGCTGGTAAAAGTACTGGCCATATCATTGTGGCGCTTCGGGTAGTTTCGGAAATAGTATAGCGAATGCCATGTCTGAAAAGGAAAGACTCGACCCACTTTGATTATATGGCCAGTTATAACCTATACTCGCTTCAAAGAGAAATTTTGCCAGTTTCTGTCCTTCTATTTACGCCCTAGTAACCATGGCAAAGGTAGGTTCTTTGGGGCAACTACTAATAGTATATCCATTGAAAGGTGACATGGTTATAATCGAGCGAAATTTGAATGGATGCTGTTACATTGGAAAATTTCGCGCCACAATAGTATGACCAGTATTTTGCCAGTTATTGTTCGAGACAGACTAACACGGACTTCTGATAGGCAAGTGGCACGTAGATAATGAATGCCTCACTCGCGACGTCCTTCAGGGTTCCGACGTTCTGGCAGACTATCAACGTCACCTTGCCGTGTATTGATGGATAGACGTTTCCTTTGATAGATTTTGAGCAGTTCGAGAGTTCATTTTATTTTTAAGCTTTGTAATCGTTTTACTGAGTACGGTTTGCATATCTGTCGTATGTGCCGTCGACTTGAGGATGTAATGCGCGTCAGAGGACTCGAATGCCGCTCAATATGACCAAACTCTTTCACCACAGGATCAACTGGGAAAACAGATGGATTCTCAACATCAACCTGGATTTTTTGACTTCATAGCTGGTCTTATCAAAGGCAAAATTAAAATAAAGGGAGAAAACAAAAAGGACAATTTGAAATAAAACTTTAAAAGATTCTATTTCTTTTTTTAAGAAATTTCTAGAGAAATATTGGCAAATATTGTAATAATCGTAATAAATTAACTATAGAACGATGCTCAGTGCAGAGCAAAAGGCCGACAGGATCGCTCAAGATTCAAACAATATTTTCATTAGAAATCAAGCAGTTTAAAATTTATAATAGTTTGGGTCAATAAAAGCGTGTAAAAGTAAAAGGCAGGTGATGTTTTATTCTTCTAATGTTTTAATTCATCTAACTGGTAAAAGTTCTCGACTGGTAACTGATTTGTCGGGGTTTAAAAAATATTTCTGGACGTCTTCGGTTGTTTTTCCGGTAAAATTAATTCATTAATAGGGAAGCAATATTATATCTAATATTGGGGAGTGGCCCAGCGAGTTGTTGCTCAATTTGGAGCGCCGGTGCTAAGGTTCTTTTCCTCGTAGAATTAAACGTGTCCAAAAAATCGGGTCGATGCTGGCGACTCATCTGTATTTCTATCGCCAAGGGAATCTTCTGGAAATAAGACTTGTCCAATGCGACAAGCCAGCACAGCGAGTTTAACAGGCAATGATAATACTCTTTAAAAAAATTGTATTCTAATAATGGATTTATAATATTCAATTTCGATTAAAGAACCATATGTCTTATTTTTAAAAGATCGGAATATTAGGTTCGACCTGTTGAATGAGGGCTTACTATAACTGCTATGAAAAAGACTGCTTAAAGGCCTGAAATTTAACATGAACTAGGAGGATATTACTCATATAAAATGATGGAAAATCGGAGGGTTTTGAATTAATATGAATGTGAATATCTTACTTAAATTTACTAATCAGAGAAAGTATCTTCAAGTCATCTAGTTAAATTTTACATTAAAATTTTACAATGAAGACAGATTATCCGATCGACCATGCGAATAATAAATTTTGCAATTATCAGCATAAAGGTATACAGTAAAATCAAAACACTTAATAATTTTTGTTGCTAGTATTCAAAGGAGTCGTAATTGCCAACGATTTCAGTGCAATTATAAATACATAAGAAGCTTTCAGAAGCTTTTAAACCCATTCATTATGCTATTCTGCAGTTTTAAAACCGTCAAATTTTAGCTAAATTTTAGTATCGGTAACCAAATTGTCCGACCAAGTACAAATTCCCAACATTAGTAATATAATTTTAAAAATTTGACGAAGTACTAATGTTTTCAGCATTTTTCCAAGCACTTATTTTCTTCTCTATTTGACCCGCTGGAATTAGTGAAACACTACAGACGGAATTGGCGAGGATGGCGTAATTCAATCATATCTATTCTAGCAAATCTTTATTTTGTTGATTTCTCCCACATATTTATACCAGCTAAAATGGTTCTCCTTATTCTTTTCGAGATATTCTTCAACAAATTCCATTCTAATCACTAAATATGTGTGCGGAGGAATGTAAGGATATTTTAGTCACAGTTGATTTCATCGACACTAGCAGTGTATTCGACCTTAACGATTCGATTAAGAATTGTTGTAGTTTCAAATCCTCAAAAATTTTACAAAATACTAATGTTTTCAGCATTTTTCTAAGCACTTATTCGATCCTTTTTCGTAGTCAGCATTAGAACCAAAGTAAAAGCAGTTTGAATAGATAATTAGGAGATAATAGATAAAAATACAAATTACAGTACAGTAAGGAAGGGCATTTTTTTTATATCATTCCTTTCATTATTCTATATTCGATCTAAGAAAGTAAATCTAGTGGTTTGTGCTCACTATTTCTGGTAAGGCCAGCTCTGTAAGCTGTTATTATGATGAAAAATTTTTGCCAGGGAGTCGTCATATGGCGACAGAATTGCAGGTGGTTCGCCGGAATTTTGCCACCTCTTTTTTATGGTGAATTTACTCCCAGGATACATAAATATTTATATATATATATATATATATATATCTTCGCGTCTCTGAACAATGATCTAAGCCACTATTCACTATCTAAGAAAATAAAACATTTATAGGTCAACAATTTAATTATAGGAAATCTCACAAATTTTTTAAAAGATCTGGAAATGTAGTGAATAAATGACTAAAAAATATCCTTTAGTGATTTTCTATACTCAAATTCATGAAAACGATTTAGGATATTAATATGTGACTTGCTATTTATTTCTAAAATAAATAAAAATGGTTTTTTTAAACAGGTTAAATATAAAGTGACACTTGAATTAGAGAAAAAGAAGAACCAAGTCAAAGAAATTTTACATAATTCTTGTTTACTCTCCAGTAATCAAATGAAAATAGGCAAATTTCGAAGGTAAGTTTTCCTTCATTTGATGAAATTTTCAATAAAATCTTTATTATGTTTATCTTTTTATGCTTAAAATGAAAATTTTCGTCAAATATTTTTATTTATCGTAATCATCTGTATAATTCGTATTTTCAGGACATCTGCAATAGAAATTGTACAATGCTGTGCTGATCCTCTTCCATCACCATCAGATATAACCGAATACAGTGTTCTTCATACTAAAGTAAATGATTCAGAATTGATAGATATTGACAAAACAAAAGCTGAGATTATTAAGGTAAATTTTAAAACAATCCTGAATAAATATTTTTCATTTAAAGCCAAATTCTTTATCAAAAAAATTTTTTATAGGATGGCACTGAACGAAATGAAATTCAGCGTAACAGTTTGAATTTGGAAAAATATCGAAATGTTATAGCTGAAATATGTTATGAGCACACATTAGACAATTTAAATCAAGATACACCGATGAATTCTGTCGAAATACCATTTCCAAATCAGTATTTGAATGAATTTGGTAAACTTTTAAATTTCTAATACTAAACCCGTAATGGAGCAGCGATGGTCGAATGGTATGGTTGCTTCGATTCGTCGAGCATCATAAATTCTCTGTCTCGACAGAAGTTATTTTACCATTAAAAAATCCAGGTCGTTCTGGCTATCCACCTGTACTCTATTCCTAAGTTATTCTCTGGCAAAATTCCTAACCATATTACTTTCTTCTTCTTCTTCTAACCATTATTGATTAGGCTGGCTCCTCTGGCTACAAGGCTACAAAGGTAAGGCGTTTCCAAGCAGTGCGGTCTGTCGACAGTAATAGAAGCCATTCCTTTTTCCATCGTCTAAGTCCATATATTGCTGGTCCATCTATACGTTCAAAATCTTTTCTGACCGTATCAATCCAAGACTTAATTGGCCCACCTCGTTTTGATGCCATCCAGCACAGGATTTAGCATGTAATATGCGTCAACTCCTGTGGTAGACAACGGTGGAGAATATGCCTTAACCAGCGAAAGCACTCTGTGATAGAATTGTTAATGTAAGTGGTATTTGATCGAAGATGGATGCGATCATGTGAAGTATATATATATATATATATATATATCGATAAAAATATAAGTGAGTCGCCAACTCCCAGGATTTTTAATACGTTGCTTTTAGGCGTAAAATCTCAGCAGTGGTGCTTCGTTTAATTTGGGCAATATTTCTCCTTTTGTAGATTCGTTGAAAATTTGCCATATTTTATGCATAAAACGCAATTTTATGCAACTATTCGCTAGAAACCTGTGCAATAAGCAAAGGATAAATACCAATTATTAATTTTAGCATCAATATTCGCCCGTCAGAACGATTATGAGAGTCCTGATCTAACAAATCAGTTAATCGATCCAATAACACTACAACAGAATACAATGAGAAAAAAATTAAGGCCATCACGAATTTGTACCGAATGTGGTTTACATGTTACTGGTCAACGATCTTCACTTATTTATCATGCAAATTCGAAGTAAATTATAAAAAATCTTGATAAAAAAGGAAATTTTTAAAACAACATAGATAGATATTAACAAAATATTGTGAAATATTGATTTGGATTAATCTGGTAATATAGAAAAATAAAAAATAAAAAAAGACCTAAGATAAAACGAGAAAACCATTTATAATGAAAAGCCTAATTTATTACAAATATTCCAAAAATTTTATTTACTGATTTAATTTGCTAAATTAACTAAATTCCTTAATTTTTTGTCTTTTGGTTATTTTAATTAATTTTAAACTCATTCTCTACCTTGGGAAGATGATGAAATTTCTAAATTTTTAAAGACATCTCAAAGCAGAGTTATTCGTTTGTAAAAGCTGTAACAAATCATGGACAACAGTAACAAAGTCGGATATCATAAAACATGTACGAGCTGTTCATGAAGGTGATGATAGTCTTATAGTAGACTACCGATCACAATATTCTCAACAAATTCGCGAAATTACTGATCGATGTTTTCCTCCTAAATGTAAAGGTACCAATCGTATATTTGGATAAGAGTAATTAATTACTGGAAATTTTCAAAAAATCAAAATATTAAATATTATACATTGTTATTATATTATCATAAGTATTAGAAAATTTTTTGATTATATACGAAGGATACTTCTATTTTAAAGTCATCCTAGCCTAACTATTTCAAATGATTTCTATCCGATAAGTATAAAATAATTGTTGCCTCTCTGCGTCAATAAAGGATATCGCATAAGTAAGATACAAGTACAAGCAAGTAAAGTTTTAGAAATTTTTTAAATGCTTACAAGAGGGAGATTTCACTTTTCTCTCTGTTTCATATTAATAAATTAATTTAGCAGCAGGTGTAAATGCTGAAAATGATTATCGGACAAATATTAGCGAAGAAAACGCGAAACAAACGGTGAACAAATGATGGGCAACAATACGTTGACAAATAATACTCTTTAACTGAACGAACTTAGTAAGGTTCAATTAATAACAAGAATGTTAGTACAGGTATCGCAATGAATGAACAAATAATAAATTTTCAACACATTTAATTATAGTTGCTATAATTTGGCAATGCCCAGTCCCATCTTTAATATTCAATGCTATTTTTTAGAACGGCCGAATGAAGGAGCTTTATTTCATTATTCGTTTCGCGTTACCTCGAAAAAAACGTCACAAATGTTGCTAGTAATCACAGATTTTCGACAGAATTCATTTATTCTGGTTGGTTGGGCGAGGACGAGTTATGAAAAAAATTTGGGAATGTTCTCAGTGGAATTACGAATTGAAGAATAAAGTGGTAAAAGCTCGAGAAGGATGTTTTAAATGACTTTAGCTTTAGGGAATCTCACATTGCCCATGATATATTACCACAAGAATTTTGGATACATAATTTAATCAAAATTTCTATAAGTTTTGGTATCTTTATATAATAGCACAAACTATTTTTGGTCTGATTGACTCTACTGGCTATCAGGAGATTCTTCCGCGAAAAAAATATGAGAACAGAAGTGTTGATAAGTCCCCATTCATATTTTACATAATTCAATAATAGATTGAGAATCTGTCAAGGGATAGGAATCTAATCCAGTATAAGAATTGAAGCAGCCTTCTTATTACGAATCGCGAATAATTGCACAACAAACTGAAATATCTCTATTAAATACAAAATGAATTGTTGGTCTACTAAGATGTAATAATACTCGAGTTGATCTCATTTGAAATATTGAATCCAATAAACGAAACTGGATTCATGATCAATCAAGTTCTAAATATTTCAGATATTGCCTTCTGTGAACATTTTATCATTACATCCTTCGGGCATTAATTCTTCCAAAGAAAACATCGAGCATGAACTTCCATCTTATGAAAATCTTAATCCCATTGAAAAATCTTCAAAATGGAATTTCACTGCTTTGTGTTCTCCACACTTTTTCATACCATTTCTGGTTTTAAACTCACTGCATTGATTATTAGGATTGGAAATTTAACACTGACCCTGAGAGTCATTAGAGCAGGTTTCGCAGAACTCGCCAGATTGGCGACTTCTGCTGTGGGCAGGAGCGGAACTGTGATGTTTGAAATGATAATCTAAGCAATCAAACTCGCCAAATTTGTACGAAGAGAATTAATGGATTCTATCGAAAATAATAAAAATTAACAGCAACGATTGTGATGCTTTTTATTGAAATATTCCAAAGTATATAAGAAAGGGGTGGGATGTATTAACGTGATGTTATCAAACGAGAATTAATAAGACTCACCCTACTAAATGCAAAAAATAATTGAACAAACAGATATGACTCTGTCAAAACGATTTAGACATTGCCAAAATGTACTGGACACTGTTAAATTATGGATTTAAATCTTGCTAGAACTTGCATTTTTGCATTTTTCATAGTATTTGGTAATTTTATTTAGAGTTATGAATATTATACGTTAAAAAAATAAAGATATTCGAAAATCTTTATTAATTTGCATTTTATTTACTAAATGGTGTTGGACCAAAAGTATACTTACTTATTCGGAAAATTATTTCTTTATTCTTTTCATTTCCATTGCATGTATGTTGGTACACAATTGCCGACTGGCAATTGCACGCACACGTATTTTTTAAGACAATCGGTCTTCATTTTTATTGCCATCAGAATAGATCTCTGGATGGATCGCCTATCGCCCTACTCTTTCCTCACCAATATTTCGAAGAAATTCACCTCGTTCTTTTTTCTGCACTTCTATCTACACTTTTCCCCGTTAATGTCTTGTAAATCAGAAAGCGTCATTGCAGCTCAGATAAATTCCGCCCAGTTGATCTGATATTTTTTGATTCCTCTGTTAATTCGACTTCACTACAGACTTCTAACTCCGTTGATTATCCCACCAACTACCTCATTCGAAATCACAACTATCAAGTGGTTTATTGAAACTACTGAGCTGCATCCGCGAATCGTTGTGTCTAAATGTCGGCTGATCGATTAGCGATTGTATAATTTCGCCGTTTTTAAGGCAATTCTGTTTCACTTTCGTGAGGTTTTGACTTTTATTGACTTTTTATTGAAGGTGGGGCTTTTTAAATTTCTATTCCATGAAAATTTTCTTTGTTGGAATCTTGTGAAATAAAGTCTTTGTGTGTTTTGTTTTGTATTTCTTTTAAAATTTTTATTTTTTCCGTTCTTTCTGTTCGAAATCAAATCATTTCTGCAAAATAAATGAATTTAAGATGTACCGATGTGCACTGTGCACAACGGTTTCGTTAACGTATCCAAGTATCGAAGAATTAGAAGTTCATATCGCTGCTGACCACGTTAATTATGTTCCCTATGAATGTGAGAAATGCCGATTTTCTCGATATCCAACAGAATTTGCACTTATTAGTCACTATACAAATGATCATTGTATGAAAGAATTTTACGTTAGAATTTCATGTTCTTATTTTTTAACTTTTCGATCTTTGATTCGATTTGAGGAAGACGATTAATATTTGATGAGATTGCTATACTTCGTCCAGAAATATTCATCGTTTGTGGCTGAGTTGACTTCGGGGATTGTTCCCAAAGAGTTATTTGAAGAAAAAATTACACTTAGGTTGAACGCTGAATTCTGTGAACTCGATTTTAATAATATTGGCAGAAAATATAGTTCAACGAATGGAAATAAACAGAAAAATAAAATAAATGGCATCTCAAATTTAAATTTACGAGCATACTTTTGAATTTAATTTCCCCTCCAGATTTATTAGTATAAATAAATTATTTTGTTAATTTAAACTTCTTTAAAATTTTTTTTTTTTTGACCTTACCTTGATTTTTTAATTCTTGTGACTTTTGTCCGTTCCAGGTGAAGTATAAAGTAACTCCTGATTCAGAAAGAATGAGAGCACAAATTAGAGAAATTCTGCAAAAGTCATTATCAGTATCGAATTCGCATTTCAAATCTCAAAAACGAAGGAGGTTGAGTTTTTTTCTCAAGAAATTTTTATCATTAGTTTTGTTAGGAAAATTGTTTTGCTTGAAGATTTATCTGTTTAATTCATCCTCATCATTGATATGACTTCAAGAAATAGTTCTTTCGATTGAATCAATATTTCTGTACTTGTAGGATAACCGTCGAAGTCGTCCAAAATTCATCAACAACTAATGCTATGTCTCCTTGTAGCTCAAATGAATTGGAAGAACTCATTGATAAATCTAAAAATGAAACAATTAAGGTTCATTCCTTTGTATATCTGTCTATCGTTTGGTGAGATCAAAATTTTTTTGAGCATTGAAAATATTTTGCATTAACGGATTTAATTTTAATTTGTAGGATATTCAAGATATGAGGGATTCTACATTGCCTCAAAATCAATATAGCCCTCCTATGGCTGACGCAGAACTCAATTTAGCCAATCATAATTTATCAGGATTTGGTAATTTTTTTGGCATTGCTTTTAACTATCACGTGTGTCTTTTTTTTTATTTTTTTCCGCGTGGATTTGAAATTCATAGAAATAGATTTGAAGGATTATAAGTCATATTTTTCTCTTACTAGTCAACAATATTCATTTTATTCTTTGTTTATTCTTTTTTGTGAAATAAAAGCTAACGAAATCATTAATATTTATTTATTTTTTAAACTTGTAGCAGCTGGTTTAACTGATACGCTAGTATGTGATGGCAATTCTATGTTTGATGCATCAGTAAAAGGATTTGAGAATGCGAGTGATATTGCAAATAATTTTTCTCAAGAGGGGCAACCGTTAAGTCCAGTTAAAAAAAAAATTAGGCCTCCACGAACATGTTCTCTTTGTGGTTTGCAGGTCACTGGACAACGGTCTTCTCTCGTTTATCATGCTAATTCAAAGTAAGTACAACTTTGATTTTTGCCATTACAAATTAAAATTCTGAATATATTTGTTGGATAAGATTTCCAGATTTCTTCTTATGTAGTTTCAAATTGATATGTCGTAAATTTTATTAAGATTTGTGATTTCTAGACATTTGCGTGTGTCGCTGTTCTTCTGTCGACCATGTAATAAAACATGGACAACAGTAACTAAATCAGATATTGTAAAACATGTAAAAGCCGTACATGATGGAGATGAAAGTGTTATTGAGGATTATCGGACACAATATGCTAATGAAATTCGACAGATCACCGATAAATGTTTTCCTCCTCGACATCGAGGTCCATTTTATCATTTTCTTTGTGTTTATTTGAATCAAAGTGTGTTCAATGAATTTTATCAATGGATTTTTGTCTGTTTTCGTGATAGATTTTAATTCTAATTTTTGATTACACTGCCTTCACATTTTGCTTATTATAGGCATGAAAGTTGAAGAAGATACTGATTTTGCCCTTGCTATGGATTCTCACTTGTGGTTGGGAAACGATGATATTGCGGATAACGGTGATATATAATTTTTATTTGATATTTCACTTATGTGCACAGTTTTCTAAAATTTCCTTTCAAAAATGCTATCACAAATGATGGAAGCGCAAAAATAGCAGTTAAAAAACTTATCGTAGTCATTATTATCAAAAAAATTCCAATTTCATAAAATGCTTGAATTTTGGCTCCTATTAAATCTGTACCTGCCAAAAGTGAAGAAAGGGCTGAAAGTAATATGGGTGTACCAATTTTTTTTGTGATAAGCCTGGTAATGAATTGGCTATTATTATTGCTTATTTTTAATTGGTTTTTGCGTTTTTATTCATTTTTATCAAGTTCATCGGTTCATTTAATTACCACATATTGTCCGCTATTATTTTCATTATTTTTCATTTATTATCGCTATTTTTTTAATATTACGGTATGCTTACATATAATAAGTTTAAGAATATTATTTTTCATTAAAATTATCAATGAATCCTTAGTTTTTTAAGAGGATTCAGAGCCCTTTTATATTTCCTTAATATTACCCCAAGCCGTGTTGAGGCGTCACGATTCGTTAAATTTCGATTTAACATTGAGATTCGAAGAGCGGTTATTAATGCAATATTTTTTTCCTCAAATTATCATTTTTCCTCGTGCTCCTTGTAAGGACTAGGTGCAACGGTGTTTCATCATAATTTTGCCAATGTTCATCAATTCCTCATAACGGAAACTTATTTGTTTTTTATTTTTTCTTTTATTTTTTTTTTCATGCTTTAAAAAATTTTGTCTCATCCAGTTTTAATTGAAAAATTTTATTATTAATGATCTCCTAATTAAATTTAGGGAGAGAATTGCCAAATGGTTAGTGGTTGAGATTGTTAAATCTGTTTTTCGCCAATTTATTTCTATTAATAATTAGTAGAGATAGTCTTACTAGGAATGTTAAGGGCGTCATCTGCGCTTACTTTACATAATTAAGTTTGGAATTTAAGCTTCCAAATTTTACTTATTTTACGGTGGGATTTCAACCGTTGAAATCGCCTTATGCTATAATAAAGATGAATCATAGAAGAAAAAGATACTTTAAATCATCCATGCATCATTTTGAATGCAACTGCAACATGTATAGAGTAATCAAAACTGTAACCAATCGTTAATAAAATTATTGCAGCTTCTACAACATTCACGTTCCATCCTGTAAAATTTTTAATAATATAAAGCTTCAGCGAATTTGAAAATTTGGTGGTGCTTGTAGAGTAAATTTGTAATGAAAGCATAGTGAATGGAAATACAGTATCTAAAATGATAAAACATTTTAATGTAGATCTTGTTTTTATCTCCAACTTACAGAGTTTGAACAAGTAAATTGCAAATTTTTTAAAGAAATTTCAGGTGAAAAGGAAGTTAGGGATGATAGGGAAATTAGGGAGGGCTGTGTATTTTGCAAAGATCATAGAAAGCGTACCAAGCAAAGATGCTACTGACTACTGATGAAACGATTGTGACTATATTAAAATTAACAAGTGTTGAAATTGCTAGAAGTAGTAAAAATTACCACAATCATCGAAACAATTAATGATACGGATGCAGAGATTACTATTCCAAATAAAATATGATCTAGAAGATCATAAAGCGATGTTATCATCTGCGAAGAAAATAATGGAAAACCTGAAATCGACTGAAGTTAAGTCTGTGTTTTTTTTGCTAATTTTTTTACAATTTTTTGATTATTGAATTTTTATATTAAGGCTTAAAATTTTTAAAATTGTAAAGGGGATATTATACCAAATTATGTTCAATGGAAACTGAAATAAGAAAGGATTAATTTAATTCCGAAAATATTACTGGGAATAATTTCATTTTCAAGCATATTTTCTCTAATTTGCATTAATACTTTGAAAAATAGCTTCCTTTCCAAATATGACGTAGAAAAATTGAAACGGCTTGGTCCAATAAGAAAATAAGCAATAAATTGACCATTTGCATTAAAAATTGGTCCATCAATCACCGTTGAAGAATATTCGTTTATAGCTGGAATCTTTTCGTTTTGTGCAAATTTGAGAAAACATCTCGTAAGTATCTGTAAAACTTTTTGTAAATAATTATTAGTTGCACTAAATGCCTAATTTTCTAATAAAAATGGATCAAAATTAATGCTGATAGATTCGAAACGAAAACATTCCCAGTCCACATGAATTATTCCATGACCATCTAATAAATTTGTCAATCCATAATTCTCTTTTTCGCAACCATGAAACAAACTTTTTAACTGATTCAGTAAAAGCTGGAACAATTGTTTCTTGGATATCAACAGTTGATAACATATACGAAGAGCGCAAAAATTGGAAATTATTGAAATTAGTGATTATTTAATAGAGCGAAAACCTCAAGATGTACCTGAAATCGTTCTAAATTTTTGGCTAAAGAGCCAGCGAATTGATTGTCAATCTCTAAATCACCAGTTTTAAAAGGCATTAATGTATTGGATCCACTAAAACTCGCAGGGATTATAAACACAAATTTTATAAAATTAGCTATCTATTTTAAATTTATTTGAATATATAGGTATATAGGCAGATAGGTATCCTTGCAAACATCGAGTTCTTATAAGCTTCTATGTGGAAATCAGTCGTAAACATCTTAAAAGTGTAGAAAAAGTTTTTTCCAGATAACTTTACCTTAAATTTGTATTATAAATGCAAGATGATGCAATGGTCGAATTCATTCAGAAAAAAAAACAAATGGTTTTTCATTTTCTCTTAGATCATGCTTGGCAAAAAATCGTGGAATTATTTAGCATACACCGTTGGCTTCATTCCCCATATGTCAATGATGGGTATTTTCACTTCAAAATTTTAATGAAGTTGACCTTTTTGAAAACCTTAATTATCTTACGCAATTTTTGTTTTATGCTTTTCCTTACACAAATTTCTAGAAATTTTTGTTCAAAAGGCTTAAGCTTATCTTTATTCAACAAGTTCACAGAAGTTTATTATTATTATACAATACATTATCAACATCTGCCATATATTTTTGACGATGAGAATTTTTGAATTAGATTCAATTAGATTCGAATAAGTTCGTTGTAATTATCATTGAACCGTCCTGTCCTGCGCTTTTCAAGCCTCAAGAATATTTGGAAATTGCTTAAAAAATTTCATTCTCATTTTAAGTGCTTCATCAAATCCTTAAAAAGCAAAATAGTTTAGAATTTGAACGTTGCTGAATACAAAAGGCTGGCCTTCATTGGATTCCTCGCTGGTATATATTCCTGGATATATAGCTGTTACATATATGGATGTAACCAGAGCACTAGTAGTTAGTATTATGAAAATAAGATGAATTTAATTTTGCTAATCACTGGCTATATTTAACGATGGCACCACCTATACAAACAGCAATTTTGTGCTGGATTTTCTGGATCGTCAAAGATGGATCGGATTTGTAAGATCGAATTTAGAGCAGTTTATTATGATAATCAAGGAAGAAATGCCATCGGAAATAATTTATTAGCATGAGTGTTCCAGCAAATGCGCCAAAGCACCTGAAATTAGTGAAACATAATTGATAAAATGAATAATTATGCCTATATTATATAATGTATAATTAGTATTTTTTATCCCGCTCAGTACATTTTGCAGTGATCTTAAGCAATATAACCAATGGTTAACGGTAAACTTTTTGCAACAATTCGGATTTGTTCTTCCCTAACAAAATTTAAAATGAATTGATGAATGAAAGTTCTGGCGTAGAGGTCCAATCCTAATAGCCAGTTGAATCAACCAAATCAGAATGCTGTTAGAAGATGAAAAAATAAAAACGTGGCAAGATTTCGTTTATACGTTTTATCGTTAGCTAGTGGACTATAACCATGGAAGAAAAAAAATGCTGACCTGAGCACTGACCTATAATTTTTGACGTTAAATTAACATAAAATGCAATCGATGTTGTGATTGAAGCTATAAACATAGAAATGGCACTATATGATATAGCTTCATTAATGTCACTTCGAATTTCGTTTAAATTCAGATGTCAGATACGGGTCAATCTAAAGGATATTACTGTAATCATCAAAAATATTAACTGAATACGAATAAGTGATGAAAACTTCAAGAAGAAATTTATGCCGATAAGAAAATTTATTTATTATATATATATATATATATATATATATTAAATTCGTACCTTGTATTTTTCAGTTTTATCGTCAAATGATTCGCAAAAATTCCTAAACGTACTAAAAGCCAGCTAAAAAAAAATGGTCCTAATCAGAAATGGTCAGCGCTAAGAGCCCTCCCTAATCAATACAAGGTACGAATTACTTAACTGACTATTTTTATAAATAAAATGAATGGATGAATGAAAGTTTATAAAAATTTTTATATCTTTCTTTTTTCCGAACACTGATGAATAAAAATGAACACCAACAGCGAAAGCGATAATAATGGGACGGAAAATATTTTATACCGAAAATCGTCTTAAGGCACTGACTTGAACGATTCTGATAGAATCATCTTATGCAACAGTTTTAATATAAATTATCTAAATAAGTATCTAAAATATCTAAAAATGCCAAATTAAAATCCATGCCATCCCATAAATGCACTTATTTCATTTGTTTACTTATTAGCTTAGGTAATGAATTAAAATTTTGAATTCAATAATCTATCGCAAAAAAATCTTTGCTTAATGTAAATCTTTAACCAATCAACCACCAAAATAAAAAATAAAAGTTTAGCAGAAATGAAAATTTGATTAAAGTTGTAAATTCACTGCATAAACGGAAAATGTGATTCCCATCGATGAAATTAAAATGAAGACCAATGCAATTGTAAGGAATAGGCTTGATGTATATAGATAAACAATAGTAATAACTGAAGCGAAACTTAAAACTGTTAATAAAATGTCATCATAGATATAATTCTGGAATTTTGCATTCTCAACATTAAATAATGCTCCAGTAAGTATTATTAAAACGCTATAATGTTTCCGAAATTTCGTCAGTAGTTCTTCATAAAAATCATTGTATTTGTATCCATCGGGCGATGCCATTATCTAGATATAGCTGATATGAATATATCTAATCTCATGAGTTCCAGCTTACCTCATATTTTTATTCAACTTTTATTTACTACTGAAAGTACTCCTGAAATTTATAATAATAAAGATTAACAATTTTAAGCTTAAAGAGTATTTTTGTATGAATAGTTAATAATTAGTTTGCAAAAGAAGGAATATAACTTTTATTATCAGATTGTTAATTTACCATAATAACTAATAACTACTATGGATTTCTGATGGGCCATGAATTCATCATATGTAAATCGAAACTAAAATTAACAGAAAAAAATGGATGTTTAAATGCACCTTTAGTACGGCGCCAACACAAATCGATTCTCTTTTTGGGTCGATGGATCGTTGGATGATCATATTCATCAACTGATTCACTGGATTTATGAAACAGCTTTGTGGAGGACTTCTCCCAAAGTAGAAAGAAATCAAGGATAAGAAAAATTCAGTGCTGAAAAAATCTATTTGCGATTATGCATAACTCTTAATCCTAATCCTAACTGTTAGAAATGCGGCTAATTCCTCCAGTGCATAATGCCATACCTATTTCGTTTTAGCATAAATTTAGCAAGTGGATAAATTTATAAATCGATTGAAACTAATTGCACCCCTTAAGATTACGTTAAACAGTTGTTTTTTGGATGAGTTTGCATTAGTTAAACGTCGCCATCATTTTCTAGCTGACTACACTAATTGCCGGGACCGCATTCTTCTGCCAGAGACTCATTTGTGGATAAGCATACAAATGGATCATTCAGCTATTAGTTGGATTTCACCTTTAGTGACAACTTACATCCAGTCAAAAGAAAGAAACCTAAAAACCTAACCCCAATGTTCTTTCAGCGGAAGCAATATGCCACTCGACCATCATGCATCTATATGTGGCTTTAATTGCAGGAAACATCGAAAGTTTATCCAAAAAATGCCTATTTGGCACAATAAATTTTTTGTGAATATAAACAAGATAGCTGATTCTTAATGATAACTGATAACTATTCTTACTAAGGCTACTGCAAGTACTAAACTAAAAGTACTTCTGATCTAGACAAGTTATATAATTAGGTAGATTGAAGGAAGAAGGCAATTTCTCCAGCCCAGCTTTCACAATTATCCTTGTATCTAATGTTTCATCAATTAATTCATCGAGTTCAAAATTTTATCATTTTTTCTGGCATAGATAACTGAAATATTAAAGAATTGCAATAAGAAAACAGAACCAGTATCAATGAAAATGGAATTTCAGCTTAATGTTGTATGTTATTTGCTATCATTTTCGTTAAAGCGATATATCCACTCAGAAATTTATTGTTGATGATCTAAAATCAATGTGAAATAATAACAAAAGTCCAAGTCCTATCAATTCCACACTAAATTACTTCCAATTACTTCGACAAATTTTTATTGAGAACATTATGTGAAGAAAAGAAATGTGGAGAGTTTTCAATGATCAAAAATTAGACGACTTAAATTCTCCGTGTATTTTCCGTTTATTTCAAAATCAACCGTATAAGTGCTGCATATCTCTTGCCCTTTTTTGAATTTAATAGTACTCAGCACTTTGGAAATATTTCAAATCTTTCGATGAAGGAGAAACCTCCCATATTCTATTACATAAATTCGAAAACATAGGTCCGTGCATTTATTTGAATCGATTTCGATTGCATATAGCCACCATTTTGTGCATGAATTTTTGTTCTCGGAATTTTTTCGGTCTTAAGAATTGTTGCGAACTCCCAAAATCTTTTGTTTATACATGTTTTATCCAATGATATTTTAAAGAAACACTGATCTATCTCTATTAACTCAAATGCTGCTATTAACCACAGTTTTTACTTGTATCCTAAATCTAACTTAATTACCTCCATTCTCTGCCGTTGACAAGAGTAAACCTGCCATAATGTCAAAAATCCGGGTGGCTGCTGGGGACCCATCTGTATCTGTCTCTGTATTTTTATCTCCAATGACTCTATGGTGAAAGGATCAGGTCTCGACTCACGTCTCCCAACGCGCACGCTACTTCTGACCCGGCGCTACATGCGATAAATATTCAATCCGGGCGTAATAATAATAATAATTAATAATAATATAATAATAATATAATAATAATGTAACAATAATAAATAATAACAATAAATAATAATAAATGGTAACAAATAATAATAAGTAATAAATAATAATAACAATAATAATAGTAATAAATAATAATAATAGCAATAATAACAATAATAAAAGCCCAAGGCACAAACATAGAACTTCATCACGAATCGAGTTAAGTACTCAAAATACTCAAAATTACTCAAAATTACTCAAAATTTACTCAAAATTTAAACTTTAATTTAATTTAAGTACTCAAAATTTTCAAAAGTCAAGGGAGGCAAGAACCTAACCACTTTCTAAGCGCGGTGAGGTGCTGGCTATAGCTGCTGGGAAGGTCAGAACGCTTATGGATGTTGCGATCCAAGCGATCACTGTCCACACCATCTCTAAAGACTGCGTGGATGTGGCTTATTTTTCGGAGGTCCGTCTTCCTCATGTCGGCGGCTCTCGAGTAATTATTAAACCTGGTTCCGAGCAAAGATATTGGCTCTATCACTGTGGTGTCTGTAGATAATTTGAGGCGAAATGGCGTAGCGAACACCATGTCTGAAAAGGCTCGATCCACTCTGATTGAATGGAAAGCAGTAAATGACCGTATGGCCTACTCTACGCCCATTTCAACGGAAAGTTTTGCAATTTCGGTCATTAGTGTATACTCCAACTTTATCCGCAGATGACCGCGATAAAGAAAAATTCTATGAGGAACCTTCAACTGTTAACGACATCCCTATGTTAACAGCGAGAGGTGACATGCTCATAATGGGGGGAGACTGGAATGAGCGCTTAAGTCATGTTATAATGGACTCGGCAATTGGCAAATATGGCATCGAGGTCCAGTGCGCCAATGGAGAACGCTTTCTTCGTTTTGCCGAAAGCGCCTTCTTCGTTTTGCCCACAGCATGAACTGATAAAATACCTATTTTTATCAATACATTGCCGGTTGAGGAAATGCCCGACTTTAAATACCTTGGATCCAGTCTAATCCCAAATGGCCAGGCAAAGGATGAAATCGTAACTCGGATAACGGCAGCTAGAATTATGTTTTTCCGGTTGATGAAATCTTCATGGAATCATCGCGAAATCACCATAAAAACGAAAATCCGCGTCCACATGGCTGCACTTCACTCGATCTTGCTATATGGCTGCGAAATATGGCCAGTGAGAGTGGAAGATATTAAGAAGTTATCAACCGTTGACCACACATATCTAAAATACATTTTTTGGATCCGTCGAGCTGATAAAATTGTACATGTATCCATCTTCACTCAAATACCACCTGTATTAATAACGTTATCGCGTTCGCTGGTTAAGGTACGTTCTCCGTCCTCCAGCACAAGAGTCGACATATATTTCGTTACTTGCTGAACCCTGTGATAGTTGGCGAGGAGGGCCAGTCAAGACCTGGACTGATACAGTCAAGAAAGATTTTAAACGTATAGGAAGACCAGGGATATATGGACTTAGACGATGGAAAAAGGAATGGCTTCTATTACTACTAGCGAATCGATGGCGTTGAACCGAGCAGCTTGGAGACGTCTTGCCCTTGTAGCTAGCAGAGCCAGCTTAACCAGTAATGGTTAGAAGAAGAAGAAGAAGAAGTACAACGTGTATAATACATATTTGCATGTGCACACATGGTCGAATCCTTTTATCCTCTTTTAATTCGATTCATGCACAGTTGTTCGATTCGGATAGAAATGTATATTGAGAGTATTGAAGGATTGGATGAGAGCTGGATATATGAAGGAAGAAGGAAAATAATGTGGCTTTGGCTATGAAATCATCTTAGTAGAATTCTAGGGTACTAAAAAATGCAGCAAATTTTAAGAAGGTTCCGAAAGGCATATCTAGTAGTTAAATCCATCCCTAATTGTATTATAAATTAGGGTAAAGGTATAAATCCTGAAATTTAATAGCAAAAAATTAGAACCTTTCACGACATATCTCAATTTTCGATCTTAATTGATTCCAAACATTAATGATGCATTTATTATTCATTATAATAATTGCCCTATAAACCGCTTTATGATTTCAATGATTGCAGTCATACAGTCATACAGGATTCAGAATTCAGAAATAGCAAGATTCCAGTAGTTCCATTTCAAAATAAAAATTAACTGCTAGAATCTGAAAAACAAAATCTAATAAAACATTTTTAAATATAATAATAGTAATTTAGCTCTATATATATATATATGTATATATATCCTACAAGTTTTAATATGTGAACATTTAAATCCCGCAACCACTTTGAAGCGACACTTTAGTATATAATAGAATCCTTGAAAGTCAACTGGAACAATTTAAGGAGAAAAGTTTCAATGCACATAAAAATATATTTTCCCATAAAAATTACATAAAATTTACGTTAACAATATTTGTTGAAAATCATAAAATACTCTATTATGTATTATACTCTATTCTTGTATTCATCCGAACTAAATGAGTGAATTCGTTTCATTAAAAAATCTATTTTCAATTCAGCTGTTTATCAAGCTTTAAGAGTTGAAAACAATATAATTGATGAGGAAGGAATTCCAAAATAACGGTAAAACCCTCCAATTCTTGATTTATTTCATGAAATTTAATTTTACTGAAGTGAAACGGTCAGAGCTTTCCAAGCTTAAAATCTGTATTTAAAGTAGGTTCCATCGGTACCCAATTTTAAAAATAAGTGGAATAAAATTCCATCATTCATGATATTATTCGATATATGCACATCCTCCATTCTGATTAGTTTTCTTTTCGTTTTTTATCTTTTCATTAGTAATATATTATGTAACTGCTCCAGAATTTTCAGAATTTCTTCCTTTTTTCATTCATTCAACTCTACTCGATCAGAACGCTTTACAATCGCAAATTAAAATCGCAAATTAGTTACGCAAAAAAGTGAATTGAGTTCAAATGATGGACTTACATGTCTTTGAGAAGTCTTTGAACATTTCATCGAACCAGCTGGCACTTTTAAGTTTCCTGACCTCGAAAAAAACCGAACTTCCCCTGCTTGTGCTAAAGCTTGTGTTCTCTATTCGTGTCATTAACACATTTTCTTTTAAAGAAAATCAAATAAATAAAATCGATCGTTTGAACTAATCTATTTGTGCAACAAATATTCTTTTCATTCTTCTTACAATTTTATACAATTAGGAAAAAAATTTTCAAATTTTCCCATATCAGTTTGAAGCAGTTTCTTGTTTAATGAACGCATTTTCGAGAACTAATAAGTAATAGCATACCGAGTGACACAGGCCACTTGTGGTTGTACCGCCGAATAACTCCATTGCGAAAGTTTCTAATTGTACCAACAAAAGGCGAAGCTAACCAACCAGAAATGCTGAACACTGAGCACTTTTTCAAACAATATATTATAACCAGTACTTTTTTAATGTTCGGACGAATATGTTATGTTTTGGTTAATCTAAGTGAATTGCACTTTTTTACATAATTTTATTAAATATGAATGAATGAAGAATTTAAGTATTTCTCAAGTTTTGATGAAAAACTTACTGGGAACCTGCTTAGCTTCTGCGAAAATGTTATCAATGATTCTGACGCTTATGACAAATAATCTAATATTAGATTTCTAGTACTTCCGTTCCATATTATTTATTCAACTGCGCTACTTAAGCGACTTCTATAAGATCTTTATCTAAATATGCTTTAAAATGGTTGAGGGCTTTAGAAATGTAAAGAGTATTAGGACTTCCAAAGAGCTAATTACTGTTACTATATTTAAAAATATCAAATGTCTTATTAGATTCGAGGCTTAGACTTTGTTTTCCTGATTCTGCTTCGGAGAGCTGTCGAGATTTCACTGTGCCTAGTGTAATATAATCATCATTTTAGTTCTTTTTCTGTTAATATCGTGCTATGCCAGTGTTTTATGCTATCGTTATTATTAATTATCAAAGTTATTAATATCAAAGTTTTGTTACTGATACAAATACAGAAGAACTCCCTCACTTAATTTCACAGTTCCATAAATTTATTTTCATTACCCACACCAAATGCTTCAAGCAAAATTATAAAATATTAACAAGAAAAAAACTTTTTTTTTGAAACAAAGAATCAAGCAACAACAAAAATTTGGACAATTAAAAAATGGTAAATAAAAGCAATTTATACATAATCTTTATACTGACTGATAAAGATCTAAATTTCTGTTTTAAACCATCTCTTAAGACTTTTAAATAAAATATTTTTCCTTAAGCAATAGATCGCAGCATCTGAGAATTTTTTTAAAAAATTCTAAAACTAAATTTTATTATAAGGAGAAAGATATGAACAGAAATTACAATCAGCACTATGAAGTCCAGAAGAAAACCTTGAAATAATGGAAAAAGATTCTATTTATTGCTATTTTACTTTATTCAAAAAAAAAATATTTCTCGCATTTTCACTAGTTATTTGAGCAACTTTTATAGGATCTTCATCTAAATAGGCGGCGACTAAATCACAAATGGCAGCTAATGCTGATGGTTCATTACGGTTGAAAGAGGAAAATTGATGTAATTTACGAGAATGAGACGAAATCCGATCTTTTATATTTTTAGGAATGTTTTTGTCATTTATTTTGGGATACATAAATGGAGAATCAGTTTCTAAGACCAACCGATCCAAAGGAATTTTGCGATTCATCAAAGCATTCTTTACACCATTTTCTGACCGGTCCTTCCAGAGAAATCCTACAATAATGAGAAAATAAAAACAAAACAACTGAATAACCTATTAAATTGTTTTTGACTCCCAAATTCTTAATCTTCCTGATTTCCTACTCATTGAACGGAAAAATATATGTAAAGACCGACCGTCTTAAGTGCAACATTCATTAACTAAGCAGCTTATTCAACTTCGTAAGCATGAGAACCATTAATGACCTTTCCATAGAAACTAAACTAGTTCCAAACATATCATTTATTTTCAACATGCCTTACGTAAAAATATAATAATATCAAAATATTTTATTTACATATGAACGAAAAATTTTCAAAAACATGCAAAATTCTCTAGTATAATGTAACAATGCTAGGCGATAAAACAAAGGCCAAAATCAAAATTTCAGGAAAGACCCCCAAAGAAGAAATATCAGCTGAAAATTTTCAACAATTCCACGCACTGTCAAATAGTTAATTAGATATCTGGAAATAACTGTCCAAGTATCTGAGAAAGCTGTCAAAGCAAGAATGCCAGGTGATCCCGACTACCGGATGCTTCGAATATTTGGAACCAAAGCAGTACGGCAGGACAAAAATCACTATTGGAGTGACATGGCCTTGAGAATGGAGACGGCGGCTCGATTATGTGATAATAGGAAACTTCCGACTTCCTCAACAACTATAACTAGGGGAACGATCAGTGAAATGGTAAGAGACAGCAATGGCATGCCAGCAATGACAGCAATGGTTAAGAATATTAAGAACCGCCTCAAAAAATGGAAAGAATTCTTTAAGACCAAACTTAACTATAATGTGCCATCTATTGCCCTGATATAGCTGATATGTTCGACGAACCATACGCTTGCAACTGCGAGCCTCGAAGAAATAAAGAAATAATAAAAAGAAATAAAAGAAGCTATCAATAAGCTTAAGGCCAATAATATTCCAGGAGAAGATGTTCATCGGGCTGAACTCTTCAGATGTTGTCCACCGTCCTTCATAAAGCACCTTTAAATGTACAGTATGAAAAAAGAAATATTACCAGATGATTGGAGCAAAGCAATTCTGCTCCAAATTCTCAAGAAAGGTGATAGGACATACTGAGACAATTATCAAGGAACCAGCCTACTAAACATCTCAAGAAAAATTTTTGTTTCCCTCCTACTTATTAGACTTATGGCAGTAAGGGATGTTTCTTAATTAAGCTGGACCAGAATGCTGCTGTGCTGACCAGATGTTCACACGGCCATGTTTTTCATCGACTTTGCGGCTGCTTTTGATTCAATTGACAGAGAGGCGCTTTAGAGGGTGATGAAATGTGACGGTATTCCAGAGAAGAACATTCGACTCATAAAGGCATTTTGTGAGCGTACGTTGGCTCAGGTCTGTCTATATCGGGAACTGACAGACTCCTTCGAAATAAAAACTGGTCTCCGTCAAGCTTGTGCCCTTTCCCCTACAATATTCAACTATGCCACAGACTGGATAATGGACACTCCTTACCGGCATTCAAGAGGTGTCCAAATTAGTCCAAAGCATCCTATAACCTGGAATACGCTGATGATGTAGTCCTTTTTGCTGACAGTTACGACGAAATGCAAGCAATGCAAGTAATACTAAAAAAGTAATGCTAAATAATGCAGCAAGAATAGGACTCACGGTCAATATATACAAAACGACAGTCTTTTCCTTTATATACAAAAAGGTAATAAAATGCCTCTTTTTGTAAATTCATTGCCGATCGAGGAAATGCTCGATTTTACCTTGAGTCCACTCTAATACCAAATGGTCAGGCAAAAGACGATATTATAGCCCGGATCAAGCCAGCTAGAAATGCGTTCTTCCGCTTGACGAAATCTTTATGAAGCCGTCATGAAATTATCATTAAAACAAAAGTCCGCATCTATATAGCCGTGTTCGATCTTGCTATATAGTTCTGAGATATGGCCAATGAGAGTGGAGGATATTAAGAAGTTATCTGCCTTTGACCACTCTTGTCTAAGGTACATATTACGGTCGAGCGGATAAGATATCGCATGATCGCATCCATCTTCGTTCAAATACCACTTACATAAATAATGTTATCACAGAGCACATTCTCCATCGTCCACCAAAGGAATTGACGTCATATTTCGTTATTTGCTAAACCGTGTGACGGCTGGCGTCAAAAGCGAGGTGGGCCAATCAAGACCTGGACTAATACGATCAAGAAAGATTTTGAACGTATAAGTGGACCAGCAATATATAGACTTAAACGATGGAAAAAAGAATGGCTTCTATTACTGTTGAGATAGCACCAGACCGCGCCGCTTGGAAGCATCTTACCCTTATAGCCATTGGAGTCAGCCTAACCAGTAATGGTGGCAGCTGTTAGAAGAAGAGGATAAAAAACCATTACCTGTCAATCCAATATAATATCCATTATTAATACAATCTACAGCCTCATTACTTGTACCAGTAAAACAATGAATTACTGTTGGTGGAAGGGTTTCTTTAAATCTATAAATTTACTGAAATTAAATTGTATTAAGAAAGGAAATAATTATTAAACTGGTTTAATAGTTTTACTTAGCAAGAATGTTCAATACATCGACGTGCGCGTCACGCTGATGAACAAACAATGGTTTCTTAATAGAACAGGCAAGCTTAACCTGAAAATCTCAAAAACAATGAGACTTTTATGGAGGATTTCGCCAATTCTAACTGAAAAATTGACCAATAAAATTATTTATATAGCATAAATGATAAGAAAAAAAGTTTTCAAATTCTTTAAAAAGAAATAAGGAATAAACGATATTAAATTTATTTAATTTTTCCTATTCCTCATTATTTATTCCATTCTTCGCCCTTCATCCTTTTGTTTAGATATACAATCAACTACCTTTACCTTTAAAAGCCAACATTCAATATAACCAGTGAACATTGGTGATACGGTTTTTATAAGACTTACTTTTCTTTTATTATAAAAATCTTCCTTTTACCAAGATTTCCCTACTGGTAAATTAAAAACTTGGTTTTAGGTTGTAACTGAAATGGTAATATTGTTGCAAATTTGGCTTTTTAAAAAACCTAATAAATGAAAGACAGATCATGAGAAGGATAACTTCACTTGTTTTTCGAAAACCACTTTTTGAACATCGGGTGTAGAAAAATTTCGATTGTAATCGAGTCCACATTCACCGACAGCAACACATCGCTGATCGGCACATAATTGCTCCAGTGCGTAATAACTGTTTTCATCGAATGTTTTTGCATCATGAGGATGGATACCTGAAAAATAAGGAGATTAAAACTAAAAAACTAAATGCATCGAGGCAAGAACTAAGTGAAGATGAAAGCAAACCAGCAGTAAAATAAAGAAAACCGGGATGAAGACTCGCTAAATTCTTTGCTTTTTCACTGATTTCAAGATTAGTTCCCGTTACAATTATTTTTTGCAACCCTGTAAAATACATTGAAATGCAGAAAACAAACAAAAGATGAAAAACTGAAAAACAGAGTCCCTATTGGGTTCGACTATATGAAGAATACACAATGTTAAATAAAAAAAATCACCACTTATGCAACAATATTACCATTTCAGTTATAACTAAAATGTGGTTAAGGATCACCATTTTCCGCCATCATATTACGGTCAGAAATTTTTGCTGTTTTTGCAGCTGGCGATAGAAGTTAAGGTGGGTCGACTCTAGCGGATTTTTTAATGACAGCTTCACTCCGATGCTTAGTCTCTCAGCAAGATAATCTGAGGTCCTATCCACTTGGCTGTGCTACCCTTGTTGTAATTAATACTATTTTAAATACTCTAATTGCTGTGTTTGGAAATTTAATATAGTCAACCAAATCTTGAAGTATTTTTTCAATGTTAAAATATAAGGATCCATGAATAGCTCATCTTTTAGCAGTATTCATCATTTTAAGTCTGATTAGCCCCACTACCTAATAAGTAAAAGTGATTTTCAATGGGTGATAGAATTTTAATTGGATCTCTATTATAGCCGCATTCCAATTTTAAGAACGATCAAGGATGCTTGAGCCAAATCGGAGCGATAAGTCATCGATAATGATCTCCTCCAGTGGCTCAGCTTTTTTCTACCAGTTTTAGGCTGAAAAAGGTTATTTAAAGTGAAAACCTGCTTGTTTTGCTCGAACAACAACATCGCCGAAATCATTTTCAAACAAGGGGTGTAAAAGATTTGCTCCGATATCAATTAAATCGTATTTTCTTCCATCATCAAACATCATACGGCGATTTCCCTTTACCGCAGTTCTGCGTAAATTTGCATGAATATTAGCGATGAGAATACGAATTTTACTTGTTTTCAACACAATTCCTTCTCTCCTAAATCGCTAAAATACAATACTTCATTTGCGTTTCGCGTAAAAAATGGTAAATTGTATTCGAGTGCTGAAACGCTGAATGAAAAAAACTTCTAGTGGTACTTAAGTAAATCGATTACGTGAGCGCAACGAATTCTGTTACAAGTCGTGGCTTTCACGAAACTCTCTCCACCACAAAAAAATTTCATAAGACACTGTCTCAAATATTTTAGGTAAACTAAGCGATATGGTGCAGCAAATCCTAAACACTTAAGCAAAATATGCTACCCATGTTCTTCACAATACAATACTGCTAACTATATCATGCAGATCAGCATAAGACGAACTACACAAATAAATTCACCACCAAGGACCGGCCGTACTATTCTTTGCCGGGGCCGTAGAACGTCGGACTCCTTTTCAAATATAAACGAAGTTGAGCTTAAATTGTCAATCTGCGAATGGGCAGTGAATGAATGCTCTTTCCGGCTGTCAGCAGTGGAAGGCAGTGTGGTATTTCAGTCTTTCTTGCAGTTGCCTTCTAGTTGGGTTCTTAAGAAATTTCCCCAATAAAACTTTTTTATTTTACTGACTTCGTTCAACCGATGGTTTATTAATTTTCTGAAGCCGTATGGTGGTTTTTTGATTGTGGTGCTGCATCCACAGGGAGCAACACGATTGTGCATTGGTGCGAAGAAGATTCATTCAGTGGTCAAGATTCTGCGTTTTTATAGCTTTGCGGATGCGTGAAATATCGCAAGTTTTATTTCAATGGGAACCTGGTTTAGAGCAACTTCTCAGGCCAACAAAAGTTATGTCTCACACCTTGGAGAGTGACTGACCCGATGAAAGAGAATTAGGTAGGAAACTTGGGGTTAGCTTAAACAAAGAGACGAAAGGCGCCACATACAAGTACCATATTAGTCTCGTTTTAAAATGTACGTATTTTCATCGACAAACGTTCATTTTTTTCCCCTCAGATTGTAAGCAGCTCAGATTGTGCGGAAATCAGACAAATTGTTCGATGAATATAATTATCCATTTGAATTTAAAAATTATCAGTTTTGCATAAAACGAGGCAGTATAGCATCAAAATTGTCAAAAATCGTGTGAATCGTGTTATAACAAGTAAGAATTTGTTTAACTGTTGCACATATATATATTTTTTATATAATATATTTAATACTCTATAATATATGTTTTAATAGAATTTGTTTTTTTAACCACATTTATGATTTGGTTAAAATAGACTTCTTATCCGACCAGTCTTAACTTCTGAGTTTGCAATGAACTGTGTAAATTTTTTGAAAAATTTCTGAAAATAAATACTAAGTGGGTACTAGGATTAAAGTCATTTGGTGATGAAAGTACGGGCACTCTCAGCTCAGATTTAATTTCAGGAACAAAGTTTATTTTCTTCAAGAAGCTGAGACCGAATATGATATTTGAACTGATAGCATTGCTCATTGACTGTAATTTCTTTATTTTCTAATTAAGTGATCAGTGGGTATTTGCAGGATTCTATGGTATTGAAGAAGTCATTATTACAATTGGCACAATATGATTCTATTAAATACTTTTGTACACACAGAATTCAAGTTGATAGAGGTAATACATTCATCCAATTTATAGAAAAGAGAAGCTATACAGTGCTGTACAGAAAAACTTGGCAATACGAAAATTTTGGGAGCACGGCGATTCCATTTTCAATATCTATTTTTACAAAATCCCTTTGGGAATTTGGGAAATTGGGAAAGATTTTTACAAAATCCGCACCACTATGTTTTTCTGTATATTCTGTATATATTCTTCTATATAGATTTAATAAGTTTCCTGCCACGCGACTTTTATTTCTCAATAATATCATAAACTCTTCGGCCAGCGTTCTCTTCTTACTCATCTCCTTGCCAACCCTCAAACTTGAGTAATTAAACCTTTTATTTAATAAACAACTATGAATGGATACTATATAAAACACACAAAAACGAATCATGAATGACGCGTTAAGTGTCCCCTTATGACAAATTTAATGGGGAAGGCACCCAGTAATGACACTCAAGAACGAAACAAAGGAAAATGGGAACGTCTCTACCCAACGCCTTCCCAACTCCCAAACTAGCTCCAGAACCTTTTTTAACTCTTCCCCATCCACTCCCCAATTTCCACGGCAGCCCAAAAATGGCATAGACGGTCTATCTCGGGAACTTATATTTTTTTGGGATGGGCGGAGGAAAGATATTTTTATTTTGGCTCTCCAGTGATAAGAAATATCTTCATGGTTCCTCTCGCTATCGAGGTATTCTACCATAGATTCGGGACATCTCTTAGTTTTTTTTCTAGTTCTAATTTTTCTTGTATTTTCAATAGTCTTTCTAAGATGCATTGCGGATGCAACGTGTATGAAGCGCTTAATTACATAATTCTCTTCGCCATTCGGCGACACTGCCCCTGACAAAAACTATTACACTTGTAAGCCTTAATATTAATATACATCCTTAACAATTTCCATCGAAGTTTAACAAGACAATAATGAATATTCTTAGGAGATGATTCGTTTATGATTTCTTATCTATTATTAAAATATGCATCTTTCTTGAGATCATTACTTAAATTAAAATTGAGAACCTTTCCATGCCGTTGACTCAAAGGAGAGTCGCTACAATGAGAATAAAGAAATTGGTTCGTTTAGGTGTTAACACAGAGAGAGGGTCGTTCGCTACTATGAGAATAAAGAATCTGGTTTATTTAAGTGGTGGTTTTATCTTTTGCACAAGTGTGTGTAGAGTTTTTTGTTTAGTATAGGACTTAACACATCTGGGCACCTCTCTGTTCCTTAAGACCATCATATCCTGATTCCTTAATGGTGTGTCTGGGTATGTAGAATGTCCCTTGGAGATGGGTTCCTCTTCCTCTTAATTTCTAGAGGGAAAAGGAGAGATATTGGCTTAATTAATTCTTTACCATTGGCTAACTTAATTTTTGCCGATCTTATTGGGATTTAGAATTTTTCCCTGAGATTCATCGATGATTCTAGCCAACTGTCAGATCCCTCTCTCTTTGCTCTCCTCACACAGTAAAACGACTTCATTTACTTTTAGGCTTCTATTCACATTCGAACGGGAATTGCGATGCCAGCGGCTAGCCTTTTCCCGAAGTAGGTTGATATAGTCCTGCCGCCACACTTCTTAAACTCTTTAGAGTAATTTTTCAGATTCTTTTCATCCTTTTAAGAGTATATTTTTACTACAACTTTCCTATCTGCCATAGTCTTCGTCCTCATCCTTATTCAGTAGTAAGTGGTTTCTTATTCCCTGCATTCCTGGACAGATCAATAGGACGGATAATTTCGCAGGGTTCATCTGTGATATTATGTTAATAGTCTCATGTTAACAATATTCTCCACTTCCATTAAAAACGTTATCAATTCTTCATGCAGCAATTTTCTGCCTACCATTTTCCTCATGGTCGTTTTCGTTATACCAATCATTCGTTCAAAAACTCCTCCTTGCCAGGGTGCATGTGGCGTTGTCTGAGTATTTTAGCTGCGAAATCCGCGCCGTTATTTGACAGGATCGTAATTGGTGGACCCCACCTGGCTGTGAACCTACCAAATATGTGGATGAAGGCAGCTGCTGATAAATCGTAGACCATTTCTAAATATATAGCTCGAGTTGTCAAGCAAGTGATAAGGACAGCTCACCTCTTAACGACCATGGTTTCTTTCCGAACATTAAAAGGTCCTAAAAGATCTAACTCGACTGATTTAAAGAGTCTTTGTTGCTGAATTCTGCAAACTGGCAAATTGGGCATGTCGAGTAATTCAAATGACTTAGCAATCCATCTCCTGCATCTCATGCAATTTCTCCTTATTGCATTTCTTACAGTCTGGCTCTTGCCATAGTAGTGCCAGCGTGTATGCGGTACCACAGTGACCATTAGTTGTGTGAAGATGTAAGATAATGAGTTCGGTGACTCTGCTCTTTCTAGGAAGGAATATTATATTATTGGGAATATGATCTTTACATCTGTAAACATTATCTCGTCCTGATAAAGTTCCCATTTTAATACATCGTCTGAGGTTATTCCTTCTGACTGAGATTGACGAATTAACCATGTTTTTGCCAGAAGGTTCTTATTTAAGCTCTTGTGCCTGATGTGGTCTAACTTTCGAATCTTCTCTGATGTTTTTACTACAAATTTTATTACGTGTACGGCTTTCCCGAGTAATTTCCGTCAATTACTGAGGCGAGATGTATCAACCATCTTTATTCTTTCATTCTATTCCATGGTTTTACTTTTTAACTTGTTTTCCTGAGAAAGTTGTGACGGTTTAATGGATGGTTTCATTGTAGGATTCCTTTGGCCAGTTTTCCTGACTATAACTCAACCAGTCAGGACCCTGCTACCACAATGAAGAAAGTTTTTAATTCCCTCGTTTTTTTTCTTGTCTTCTTTCTAACTCTAATTTTCCCTAGATTTCTGATGATCTTTCTTAGACACATTGCGGATGCGACACGTATGAAGCACTTAATTACACAATCCATTCGGCGACAAGTGCATATTTTTTATCAAATTATTTTTAATAACAAAAATTTTATCAAATTGTTATGATATGAAAGATATCTCATATTATATGGTAAATACAATACAAACCTTCAACTATTTGGCATGTATTCTTAATGCGAAGAAAAAGAGAAGCATCGTGTTATTGGACCAGTTTTACTGAACTCTCAAAATTACCTTTGTTGATGCAAATGTTAGATGTTGAATGGATAAAATTTGTGAATCTGGTGAAGCAAAATTTGTGAATCTAGTGTTTTTGAGTATATAAATCAAAGTATAAACTAACATGGTATGGTAATATTGGTAAGGGTAAAGGCACAAACAGTTTATTGGTACTTTGATTTTTCCTTATTGGGAAATTAAATTTTTTCATCGGAGTTTATTAAAATTTTGTTAATTATTCTTAGTCAAATCTACAGATGCAGAAGAGATTTGTTAAAGTTTCTTTATTGTCCCCTTTCTCCATATTATTTCTTCACTTTTAATTCGTACTTAATCCTGTTGGCTTCTGTTTGTAATATCTCATATATATTCTATTCTATGGCATTACTATTTATTTTCAAACCAATGAGGAAATCAATGATGATAACAGAAACGTACTGAAAAATGATGGAGAACAGTCGGATATTACTGCAGATGCAAATTCTAGGAAATGGCGTATATTTTAATAATTATTCGAGTATTAGTCCAAGTAAAATACGCAATATTGGGGTAATAGCTCATGTCGATGCTGGAAAAACAACTGTTACTGAACGCTTGCTTTATCTTTCTGGAACAATAAAGAGGATGGGTGACGTCGATTCTGGTATTATTGCACGTGTCTTTTTTTCTTTATGTAGCAGTTTATATGTAAATTTTTAAATGCGAAATTTTTTTCATTTTCTTTTTTATAACTGGTCATGGGAACTTAGGTTTTCAAAGTTAGATGGTGAATTAAGCCACTGATTTAGATAAATTTACAGGTACCACTGTCACCGATTTTATGGACTTAGAACGTGAGCGTGGCATAACAATTCAGTCAGCCGCTGTTACTTTTTTTTGGCGTAACCATAGAATTAATCTTATAGACACTCCAGGGCATGTGGATTTTACTTTAGAAGTATGTTTAGAAGTATGTTGAGAGTCGAAATGCAATATTTGTGGAAGGAGTTGACTTTTTTAATCAAATTTTTTTTCGTCATCACTTAAGGTTGAACGGTGCGTTCGAGTTCTTGATGGTGCTATCATCGTATTGGATGGATCCACAGGTGTACAAGCGCAAACGATGACCGTTTGGCGTCAGGCCAAAAAATTTCATTTACCTTCGATATTTTTCATCAATAAAATGGATAAAAATGCAGCTGATTTCAGAAAATCGGTTGAATCAATCAAAATGAAATTAGAAGTGCAGAACGCAGTTCCGGTTCTTATAATAAATTAATCACTTACTTGGAAAAATTTTCTTGGTTTTCATAAGTCTATTATCTTATTTGAAATTAACTAATTGTGAATGTGCTTTCTAGATTAATATACCTGTTTATGATGATAATGGTAGCTTTAGCGGAGTGATCGATTTGATCAATAAAAAATATTTGAATATAAATAGCAATGAAACTGAGTGGGAAAATATTTCTGAAACAAATAGAAGGTTAATAATTTTCTTTATACCTTTTTTTGACAGCGACTTTGTGTTTGTATTCATTTTGCATTATTTAGGAATTTTCTTAGCAATTTTTTGCTTTATTTCTTTAAAATTCTTGTAAAAGTTTTAAGAATGATAAAAATCGTAAAATTTTATCAAATTCACGAAATTTTAGGTTTGATGAAATGGTTTCTGGACGAGAGAAACTTTTAGCAAATTTGGCAGATATTGACGAACCGTTCGCAGAGATTTTTTTGGCACAGCCTAACAAGCAAACTTTAAAAGAATCATTAATGTTAGACAAAGAAATTTCAAATGCTATAAGACGTGCCACATTGTCTCGATGTGTCGTGCCTATCATTTGTGGAACAGCTTTAAGGTTGCTTAATAATTGCTCTTTTGTAATAAAATGAATGACTTCCTTCATAATTTTTATCTAATATAGGTAATATTTCATTTCAGAGCATATTTTGCTAATTAACGTTTTTTTTCCCAGCATATCCAAAATGCTGTTTTCTGGTTCTCATGAATTTCTTATCAAATTTGAATTGCTCTTAACTTTCAGATGCGCAGCAAGTGCTCTTCCAGTTTTGGATGGTGTCGTAGACTATCTCCCATCTCCATTAGAGAGAAATCAATCAATTTCATCTGTTTTTGGGGATCATCTTAGTGCGCTTATTTTCAAAGTGTTTTTTTTTTTAAGTTTTATATTTCCTTATATTTATAATTCCTTAAGTTTTGAATCATTATTGCAAATCAACATTTTTTTATAGTTATAATTATTTTCCTTTTTTGTTTTACTTGTTTTATTTCAATAATTATATTGCATTTTGCTTAAGATTCGGCATGATACAAGGATGGGTCAATTAGGATTTGTTCGAGTGTATACTGGTGAATTGAAAAATGGTTCAGCTGTCTATAATTCGACTAGGAATTTCATGGAACATAAAATTCGTATTTTTGTTCCGCATAGTGATGAGCTAAAGCCAACCAGTGTTGTTAAGGTGATTAATTATCAAGGGATGTTCTCATTTTTATCTTCTCATTCTGCCAAATTTCTTATCCATATTTTTTGTCGATAATGTTAATTTTATTTTTAGGCTGGGAATATAGCTGTGATTTCCGGTCTGCAACAAACTTTCACAGGCGATACCCTCGTAGAAAACGAGCACGCTGCAAGAATTGCCACTAAAAACTATCATAAATTAATGCAACCGTTGAGACGTAAAAATCGGGTGCAAAATCAATCTCATGATCTACTTTTTCATCATGTAAATTTTTAGGCAGTTGAAGTGAAAAGTTGGGTTGCTAGACTTTAATCACTGGATTTGCCACTGTTACTGACTTAAAATTGCTTACAAACAGAGTGACTTGTGTGTATTTAAATATTTTTAAAACAAATCATCTGTAAAATTAACACTGAAGTTAATGCTCCATTTTGAAAGTTTTGATTGCGGAAGACGAATTTTTAAAGTCAATTTTATGTATTCTTTATTGGTGTAATTCATTATTGACTTCATTCTTTCTTTTTATTATAATTTATGGAATTGGTACTCTTTTAATATAGGTATGTTTTCCCCATCTTGAGTTTCACGTTGACTTAAATTTATGAATGTTGGTTTTCATCCATTTCAAATTATTTAGATCAAACTGAATGACGGCCATTTGAAAGAAGATGTAAAGTATGTTCAACTTGCCGGTATTCAAACACCAGATCCTGTTTTCTTTTGTACTATAGAACCACCAGATAATCGATCGATAGTCAATTTTCAGAAAGTTCGAACTCTATCATTTCCTCTACTGCCTGTGGGACTGTACATTTTTAAATTAAATGGATTTGAATAACCATGGATTTGAAAAATTTTTAGGCATTAAATGAAATTATTAAAGAAGATCCATCAGTACATGTGCGAAATGATGGTGATTTTGGACAGGCTATCCTTCAAGGAATGGGAGAATTGCATATGCAGGTAATAAAGGATCGATTAGTGCGTGATTACGGTCTCAACGTCTTTATGGGTCCTATGCAGGTGTGTTATATAGTTTCGTAATTACGTAGGAGCCAATTTTTTTTCAATCGATTTCTTTAATTTTGTCGCCTTCTGCCATGCTGATCTTGTTTAAATTTGTTATTTCTTATTATAACGAACAAGTAACTGTGGTTGCCCGTACAATGCCTGTAATAGCATTTTGCCCATTGCAACTTTTTTTCGATTAGACGCCTTTTGTATCCTGTTTTACACTAAAGGATATATGAATAAAATACTCTGGTAGGAATAAAATTTGGAAGTACTACTTAATTTTATGTTTGTGTGAATAAATTTCAAAAACAGTAATCAAGTTTTAATTAAAAAATTTCAGTTTTTTTTTTCATTTTTTTCATTTGCGATGGCAGGAAAAGGTATAAAGATAGGCTTTAAGTTCTTGTTTAAAATAATTTAATAAATTAATTGAGAAACATAGAAGCATAATTAATTCCAAAACTTGGAGTAAAGGTCTCAGAACTCCTTTGGATTGTTGGATCATTGAGTTGTTGCTCAATTCGGAGCGCCGTTGCTAACGTTCTCCTCCCAGCAAGAATAAACCTGTTAAAAAACCAGTGTGATGCTGACGACTCACCTGTACTACTATCGCAAGGGGTTCCTGTCATTTTTATTCTGCAGCATCCTTACTGAAATCCATTCCTCCATTGTACTCATTAGCACCCCATCTCTCTCCTGTCCCTTTTCTTACTTTCTCTAGAGTTCCATTAATCCATTGTGGAAAAATTGAATTTTATAGTGTCTTTAGTGGGCGAATGGTTTTATATTGCAATTCAAACTTTATTGAAGATTCTAAAAGACAATTCTCAGCGCTAAAAAGCCATCAAAGATTTAATTTAATTGGCAGAAATATAAGAATCGTTAGGAAATTCTTGGCGCAGAATTTCATGATCAACGAATTTTGGCTGAATTTCGCGTATTACTTGGGTTCATTAGATCTTTTTACCTCTTTTTAGATCTTTTCTTTGTATATATAAGAATATTTTCGAATTATATCTTAACCTCCGGTTATAAAATATTTAGATCTCATATCGCGAAATTTTGCTTTCTTCCATTTGCAATACTGCAACAGTCAGTGCAGTGTTTGGTGAACCAAAAATAAAACATGAGTGCACCATAACACTGGAAATGAAGCCAAAACAGGGAGTTACGAAGTTCAATGGGGTATGCTTTTATTCATATAGCGACTTCAAATATTTTAGATATGGGAAATAAGTATGAGAAGACTGGTATATATATATATACATATACATAAATGTATGCGGTAAATTCGATGTTTTAATTTTTTTTAATTCGTTTAGTTCTGAATATTTTAATCATAATTTGGATTTATCGTCTTTGCATATTCGTCTAAATGGTTGATTCTTGTCCACATCATAATTTCGAGTATCAAATCTCGTATTCTGCTTTCCCATAGAATAATCTCATTAAGAAATTAGGTCGGTACTTGATGCCCATCTTCTATCGTGCTGTGATTCCCTGGCAAAAATTTTCATTCTCACTTTTATATAGTCAATTTACTAATGTATTTCATCCCAGAGATATAATGTATTGATTTTTACGCTCGATCACCACACTGATTGAGAAAGCATCAAAAATTCTAAAAAAATTTCAGATTCATATTGCTGTTGATGATCCGTCATTTATTCCGATCCGTTCAGACTGGTTGGATGCTATTAATTTAGGCTGTGGTAATGCTCTTCTGAATGGTCCAATCATGGGACATCCGGTTTATGATGTTTCGATCTTCCTAAAGCAATTCGTTACTAGTGGCGGACGATTAAGTACAACGGTTATTACTGCGTGTGCCAGCAAATGCATTCATGATGCGCTAAAAATTGCTCAAATCCAAATTTTGGAACCAGTCATGTTTGTTGAGGTCTTATTTGACTTGTGTGATTTTTTAACAATTTGGTTCCCACTGTTTTATGGTGAAAAAATTTAGGTCACAATAAAAAATTGTACTCCAGAACAAAGTATGCATGGAATATTGAGTGAAATAACTCGGCGTCGAGGTTCCATACTGGGCATTGATGAAGAAGGGAAAGATTCTCATATTCGAGCGGTTGTTCCTTGCTCTGCGATACAAGGTATGGTAAAAAGCATTCGAATCGCTTCATCTGGTCTTGCTGATATACATATGCAGATGCAAGGTTATAAAAACGTAACCAGTGAAGAACTTAAAGAGATTCTTAACAAATGTAATGGGACTTGGTAAATCAGCAAACTTATCTGGATTTGCTCTGAAATTTAAATATTAAAAGTCCTCGTTAAATTGGAGCTCTCAGAAAATGAGTGAAATGTATCGGAGCCTAATTCAAGTTTTATTATTTCAATGTACATAATAAAGATTCATTTTCAGTGATTATCTTAGGCATTTTGCTATATTCACTCTTATATAGAATAAATAAATATTTTAAAATTTTGAGACGATGAAGATGTAGCACTGGACTTTTATGGATTTATATAGCATTATCTCGGAGATTCGTCAGAAAAATTTCCTACTGCTTTATTGCGCGAGCAAAATGAATTCGTTTATGTTGAGTTTATATCGAAAATTTCATGAAGAGGTGAAATTAGCAGGTGCTGGCGTCGGAAACGAAATTTAATTGTTAAACAAAGAAACAAATGGATCGGCATATAGAATTTAATGTTTGGGTATTCTAGTGTTCAAAAATGCAGAGATGTTAATTTTTCTAAGGTTAAATAGAAAATATATAAAACATTCTCCACTTATATCTAATTCTATGTTAAAATATTAAAAAAATTTTATTACCATTGTTTTATTCTGTATTAACTAAAAATAACTAAAAACTTCGGTATTTTTTGTAGGTTTCGATCAAAGGATAAAATTTGCCATTCGATGCATCCTTGTTCAAGAATTGTTTATTGTACCCCTTAATGTCAAACTTGTCAAAATTTAAAGTTTGCACGCTAATGTAATATTGCATGGCACTGAACAATAGTATAATAGTATTAGCAGTAAAAGTGAAATATTTATAATTATATTGGCAATGATGGTATTTGGTGAATAATATAATAATGTAAATGAAATGAACGGTAATGATATTTATTTGGAAAAAAAAGTAGCTACTTTCAATTCGTGGGTGATTTTCTCAATACTAGTGAAAATCGGCAATCTTTGAGAGTCTTTTGACCAAGCTATCGCCACTAATGCAAGCTGGGAATCCTGTATTTCCTATGCGTTCAAGTTTAATAGAAGAATCTGAAAATTTCACTTAGTTGACGTACTCCAAGCGATTTTTTTATCCAAATGATAAGTTGCATAATTCGGTGGGCCTTGATTGTTATTCGAGCGGTTGTTTCACTTGTCATTTCCAGCGAAGATAACTGCTTATATCTGCTTATATATAGAGTTCGCTATTTGTTTAGATTGCCCATTGATAAGGTACCTAGAATTGCAAGTCTCTTCAACCTTTTAGAACTTAAAATCTCAGAGATTTCCGTATTCTATCGAGTCTTTTAATATCGTACATTATAGACCAGTTTATCTCAGCCAACACTTTTTTTGTCGCCTACTTGTCCAGTAATGCATTATCAACAGTGTAAACCTGATTTTCGCTTGATCTTCTGGAATATATCTTCCTTGATTTCTATCATTTTCAAATAATTATATGTTATGGGATTAGCATGTTTCTGGGCGAAGTGCTAATGAATTGCTTCGCCATAAGTTCTATGGCCTATTCCAGTAAATCGGGTGAGATGAGTAAATCGCATAATAACATGTCGCTTCTGTGAGACAATGCTCACAAAGTGTTCCACTTGATCAGGAAAAAGTACTACTGACTTTGATTCAAACAATTGATTTTTAGCTTTTGGCTGGGGCATCATCTTAATCATAGGGCTAGTTGTGCATCTTTGTCGAAAAACAATCCCTAGCAACAACTTTGATCCTAATTAGGAAATTGAATCTCTAATGTGCGACACAGAAGCAATCATACCACTATCACTGCAACTTAGTTAATGAATTTTTTCCTCTAAATCTAAATCTCTAAATGAAGACAGTGTGATCAAAATAATTTTGCAATAAACAAAGTAATTTTAGCCATTATTTTTATTTTTCTTATTCCATGAATCCAGCTTTGATTCATTAGCTACTCTTATTTACGGACACAAAATAGTCGAGTGGTTTCGACCAAAATCAAGGCATCGTAGGTTAGATTATTGCCCCTTGATTGGAGTAAGCCAATTATTAAAAAGAGGAATTCGAGTGCTAATGAAGCACTTTCCTCCTTGCTAGAGACATATAGCTCTAGTAATAAGTGGAATAAACCAAGCGAAGAATGGTGAATGCTATTAGGAGAGAAAGATGGACTATTTAAGAAATATTTTTGAAAATTGCGAATCTCATTTATGATTTTCGGTCGCTTATTGTGATTGTTGTTTGCTGATCACTCGTGGCTGAACAAAAATCTCGATTATTTCTCCGTAACTGGAGTGTTCTGCCTGTACTTTTTTTTTCCAATTAGAATAATTTATAGAAAAAGTGCATTTGAAATTGCAAAATACCAAATTTAGATGGCAGTTGGCCAAGAAGGAATTTATCGAATAACATCTAAGCGCTATTACTTCTAAATTTTTTTAGATGTTTTATAACCATATTGACGGTTCACTTGAAAGCCGCAGAATTTCATATTCTTTCATAATGTGAGGATTTCGAATCCAGCACAAGGGATTTGGTCATCGCCGTCTAGATCAATCATCAATCATTCTTCAATCTTCTTCAACCATCTTAAATATCGAAAATAAATATCATGTTTTAGGCTTAACAAAAGAGCGAAAGCGTTATGGTTAATGCTGAATTATTTGCCGTTAATACTCATTATATAAAATCAGTTAAAATTGCCCTCGAGGAAGAAATCATTTCAGTGTTGTAATTTTGATGTATATAATCTCATCTGTAAGCTTATAAGCAGTCAATGGGATTCATTAACTAATTATTGGATTAATTAATGGGATTCAGATTTGCTGTGTGCATTGTTGCTCACAAGATATTATTATCACAGCATGTGCTTCTCGAACTGGATGCGCTACTAAAAAGAGCGGGTAGGTATATTTGTGCTTTACTTGATATGGAATAAGGAGAAAAATATTTCAAATTTGTATATAAGTTATAATTCATTGGAGTACATCTTTTTAAAATATCTTTTTAAAGTATGATTTTTTCTTAAATATAATTATAGTTCGGTTAGAATGGTGTAGTTTATTGATTCGACGAATGAGTTCGATCACTGCTGTTCAGCGAGTGGCACCAAAAGTTAGATCCTATCTAGATGGTTCTTGGAACTATTGTACTTCTCTCTCGAAGGAATTACTTGGCGAAGAGTTCTCATTTCCAATAGTCGTTGGGTGCAGTCAGGCTGAAAATTTGGGTATTAAATATGAATTAGATAAAAATAACATTAATGAAAATGATATGAACTCAATTTCTTTTTGAGTTTTTGGGTAACATTGGTGACCAACATATAGATTTATTGCGTTTATTCCAGTTGGTCGATTTTCCGCCATATTCAAATTATTTATTCTTTGATGATTATACTGATAGAGGTCGATCAAGTCTTGAAGTAGATTATTCTTGTTAGATTTGGAAATGGCTCAGTTTTAAATAGTTATTTTTATCGCTTTTCGCAAATTCAACTGTTACAGTAATATTTTTTTAGTTTTCTTAAAAGATTAAACCACTTCATTTAGTATTTTCGAATTTAAATTCGATTTCTTTTGTTCGATTTTCCAGAATTTTGCCTCTTTTCTGTTATAACATGAAATTTCCCGAAAAATTTTGTCATACTTCGTGGAAATCATGAACTTGTAAATCTCAATAAAATTTATGGATTCTATGGTGAATGTTTATATGTTTGTTTGGTCTATTTATTATCTCTACGTTTTGGGGTTTATTTGTTTTCATCAAGCACAAATTATATTAAATTCACTTAAGGCTACTTTAGCCACGAGAAAAATGAAACAGTCGAGTCGATGAGGGCGTATCAATGAGCAAAAATTATTTGAGAATTTTTTGTAAGAAAAATAAAAAATGAAATAAATGAACCCCATTAGTGAGTAGTTCTTTCCATTATTATATCCACCTTCTAGTTTATTCTTCCTGAAGAAATGCAACAATATAAGAATTTTTTATTAGAAAGTATAAAAATTTCTACTGCTACTTGAAAATGGCATATTGATTATGCTTGACATTAGGTTCAATTTCTATTTCTTGGTAGGGAGCAAATTTCATTAAATTCATGAAGGGTTGAAAACCTATCCATATTTTTAGCCATCAATGGTTATCTGGTGAAAGTAAAGTAAATCATCCTAAGAGTCAGCAGTGGTAGACGAATCAGAAATAAGCTTTGTTAGAAGAAGATGTTACATAAAGAAGCATGAATCACTTCAATTTAAATTTTTATAGGTAAAAGAAAATTTATTTACTAAATTTACTGAATTGTGGCGACATTACCAAGATATTTTTTTTATTCTATGCTAATAGCTGCAGTTATCGAACAGAAAATTTTTTGTTGTCATGGTGGCTTATCGCATAGTGGTTTTTGTAAAATCTTGGTGAAATTGAAGGATTTCTCGGCCAGTTGATATCCAGGAATCAGATTTGTCTGCATTCGTTTCTTCAAACTTTGAAAATGAACTAATATTTTTAGAGTTAGGTTTGTTTAGTTCACTACTAAGCTAGCAAGAACCTTTTTTTAATGTTAAATTATAAGTGAGAATGAACTTCGAAACTAATCCAATCATATTCATAGGTTTAAGGCATCTTATGTATTATGGTCTGACCCCTATTTAACTATCACAGACCCCAAATGATCGAGGCATCTCTTATATTTTCGGATCGCACATACTTAGGTCATTTCTGGAGGAAATGGATCTCGATTTGATTTTACTTGGCCATCAGTATTATTTTATCAAGATCTCTCTGCTTCGACGAGCGAAAAGTTGAGCGACCTGGTCTTCAGTTGATCTAATGATAAATCAAATTTCATCAGTTGAATTAAATTTTTTTCTGGGGAAAATCATGAATCCTAAAATAGGCTGTCGAAGACGAGTGCAAGTTTTTTTGAACTGTTATTACATGTTCACAGCGTCGAATTATTGTGTGAAGTTGGATAACACCGGGGCAAATATTCTGAATATTGTTTTCTTCCAAAGAATCCATAAATGTCATAAAACAGCACGAAAGCAAGTGCATTGCGAGGAAATGTTTGCATGGACTGGGACTGAGATTGACATTTTAAAGGCTGGCAGCCAATTTTTAGAGAGTTACATTGTGATAGAAATATAGATGAATGGTCAGCACCATCAGGTCTTTTTGACAGGTTCGCTCGTGCTGAAAGCAAGGTCCAAATTAAGGGTTCCATTATTTTTCAAAAATATATGTACAAAAATATTAATTTCTTATTATCCTGCTAATATCGTAGTCATCTGGTTACGATATCCATTCACAATTGGTTTTTCCTCCCCTATACTTATTGATGATATTTATGGGATAAAATTTTATGGGATAAAATGGTTCGATTTGTATATTTATTTAAGCTACCAAGCAGGGCGACAGGCGCCATGTGCTTGCATTAGTAACAACAAAATAAATCATAAAATTGAAAGAATTAGTGATTGTGATTGATATAAATGACAAAAATAATGTGACCAAAAGCTAATATTTGTATTATTGATTAAATACAATATTTGTCATAACAAATTCTAAAAAGCTAATCTGCGACAGGAATTCGCCACAAAAGCAAATAAATCCCGTAGAATTGATTTCATTGACATAATAAGTTCTAGTGCTATGTGCCTCGGAGCTAGTCGATTCCGAAATTTCTGAACATAAATGCGCAAAATGGATGGATGCTTCCCATAACTTTTTACTTTTAATTATTATAACGACGATAAAATTTATAATCGTCCGCTCATAGATATTGAAGTCAAGGGGTAATGATCTGGTGAAGTGTGCGATGCATATAAAAAATTCGATGAGAAGGCACCCACTGTTTGGAAAAATGGTAGATTCAGTTTATCTTTTGTGATAATTAAAATAGATTGTAATTTCAGTACATAATTTGGCAGATTCCAAAGAATTTTAAGTTTAATATAACAATAATTCCGCAATCCAAAAATTTTTGCAGGTTTTTGAAGTTCTTATTCTTATTTCTATTTAAAATTATTCTGTTGTTTTAAAAATTTTAATTTTCATTTTTTATGAATCAGCTTAATCAATCTATGGATTAATTAAAACTGTTACTTATTTTTCTGGTTCCTTTTTATTTTACTGTTAGAAGAGACCAGATTCGTCGAAACTGAGAGAAAAGTTTCAATTTTTTTCTGGAATTTATGAGAATGAATCAATGAAATAATACATGTACAATTTATAAAATTGAAATTTTAGTTCAGCTTTGGTTCGCTTTAGCCTTTATTAAATTATGATAATTTGAAACTTCTCCCACGGTGAATACTTTTAGGGAGAATAATTTTTCGCTTTGCACATTTTGTACTATCTCCGTTCTCCTTATCTCCATTCGTATTTTTAAAAGGTCTATTTTTTTAATTTCAAAATTCTTTATATTTCCTTTTTTCCTTTTTTAATATTATCGAGTTTATTTATTTGGCTTCTACAAATTAATTTTAAAACAAATTGAAAGTGGAAAATTTTTGGGGGGAGGGGGTCTAATAGTTTTTCGATATCCCACAGTGCATATTCTTTACCTTAATTACCTTAATTTAAAAAGCTTGGTGAGAGGTGAATTTCTGGTTTAGTGGCTTTAACCAGTTTGATTTGTATGAATTCTATAAAGATTCATTCTAGCATTAATTTGCCGTATTTTTAACTTAACACTATGAGATGATGCAAAATAGCTATTCATTTGTAACAAATTTGATATCAAATAATAGAAAAATTTATGCAAAACACTATGTCGAACAATACAAATTGAAATCGCTGGGTTGGTCGACTGAATTTGCCATATAAGCTATCGAAAGATTGAAATCCACTTCACAATCAGTAATTACAAAGCGATTTAAGTAGATAAGGCATTCTTACGTATTATTTTGAAAAATTTAAACTATGCCAATAGTGCCGCAAGCTATAGGAGAATAAATCGATTTCCCTAGTAATAAATCTGATACTGATGATTCGTGAAGCACGAGTGATCGCCCTACTACTGAAGGGAAACTGGAACACTTCAATATCTCGGCTGCAACACACCATAAATTTAGTAACAATTCATATCATAAAACAAAAAAACTGGATATGAAAATACAATATGGATATAACAATCAGCATGACAGCCAACTTTTTTTCTAGCAGCACCCACTGTTTCTGAGCATATAAGTCAGGTGGGCCTATCACTATCCTGATTTGACTTTTAAAGACATATTTGTTCACGAAAAGTATCCATGGTGTTTGACAAGATCGATGCGATCTGCCCGTTTTTGTCACTTCCAATTTATAATTAAGATTAATTTGAGGTTGAAAGAAATCAATAAAAGAAATATTGCAAAAATCTTACTTATATCAGTTTTATTTGTCGAATTTCCTTCAATAGAACCCAAAATTGCACTGGAATTCTGGCTTCCATCGCAGTCTAATACTCCACCAACTTTCGAACATGAAAGTGAGATATCACCGGAATTATGGATAGCTAATGTATGTTTTCCTTGGGGCAATTCTAAAAATATTTCGAACATTTGAAATTTCTTAACGCACCTAATTATTTTGATGGGAATATTATTTCATTCTTTCTCTACCACGATTATCGTTTTCACGTCGGCAAAATATTGGCAATATATAGGAATTTCTTGGTGAACACATTTCTACACAGATTGTGGCACCAGATTTATTTTTCTGAAAAAATGGAAAAAATTGGAGTGAAGAAGGATGATATTCCATTTCCGCACTTAGAATTCATAGAAACTCACCATATATTGTTCCTTCGAATTTAATATGAGTCGTATTGAGTTTTGAAATAAGAAAATTACCGACAATTCGATTATTTTTTCCATTAAGTTGAACAGATGCATCGTTATTTTCATCTTTGAGCATATTCGCAGGTTTCGAACCAATAGTCGCTGAAAGTAAATGTATTTTTGCAGCAAGGAATAGATTAAGTACCAGAATATGAGCTGAAAATACTTTATAAGCAGATTGACACGATTTAAAATGAAACCTGTCAGAAAACACTGAGCCTTGGCAACACAGGGAGCAGCTATATCATTGCGCGCTTTAACATAACCTGGTGCACAATGACAACCTGGTACACATCTAGGGGAACATCTTGTTACCATCGGTTTTCCACAGTATTCAGGACAAAATGAACCACAGAAATCGTACACGGCGTGCGGGTCGGGACACGTACATCTTCGTTGCAAAGTTAACGAATGTGCGAATAAAGAGGAATGGCAACATTTCTGTTAATTGGTTATTCATATAACGATGAAAATTTTATATCTTTTTAAAGCCGATCACTAAAAATCACTAAAAATTTGCGATGATCACTTTCGCAAGTATTAAAATATGAAAGAATCAAGGTGCTGGAATCTTAAATTTAAAAATGATCGGTTTCATTTCCTGTACTTAAATTTTTGAATACGCTGGCTAGTGGTTGCCCTGATTCGCCATTCTTGGTCATAATGATTTTGGGTCTTTATTTTATGAACAGGGACCAAGCACAGCATATAACCGTGCGCTTGTATAATAACCTAGAATAAAATATATAGAGCAGTAAAAAAGACATTAACACAAAAAAACCGAGAAATATTTTACCAGTAATGACATCACTTTGCTTGATATTTATTATGCTTAACTTTACTAAATAAGCACAGATAATATTCATCCAATTGTTCGTAATGAATGCGCAGTCTTTCTAAGTTTACATTGTACTTAATTTTTTAGTAAATACTGCACTCTAATCGGAATCCCGCAATTAGGCCATTGGTCCATTCCTTATTTTTTCTTAATAGAAGGTCCTATTGTTTAATTGGATGAGATTTTTACTAATTTTCCGTGAATAAATCAAATTTTCACCTGTGGCGTCGGACAATCTGAATCAAAGTTGCAGAATTTTCCGTCAGCATCTGAAGATGCAATTGGGCAAGAATTTTCTGGAATAATTTTCTAGAATAAATATATAAACATGTTTTTAGCACTGGTAGTAAGAATTTCAGCTTTTTAATAATGCATTTAAAAAAATCCGATGATTTAAATGAAAAGTTCGATCATCTGTCACATCAATCAACGGGTATTCGGGTATTTGAAGTGATTAAAACAAATAAATAATATTCTTAGTAGAACAGTATAAAAGGGCAAGCTTCTTGCTAGACCGGCTCAGCTGGCAAATTTTTCCAAATCACTTAAGTACTCCATCAGAATCGTTGGTCGCTAACATCAGTCAGATTTTTTAACGACAGGTTTATTTCTAACGGGATAAAGAATTAAACTTATGATGACGCCACGAATCGATGCAAGCACATGGCTCGACTCCTGCCCTTTTTAATCAAATAGGCTTTTATCAAAAACATTTGATAAAAATTTTAAACTTATATGTCACCGTCTATGAAATTCATGCTCGGCAAGGAAGAGTTTTCATGAAAAGTTGCATTTTCATCACACTTATTGATCGGCACACATTCTGATTCTTGCCAATTTAGAGCGTTTTTGAAAACATATCCTAAGATAAAACAATCAATAAAGGTGAAGCAGAAAATAAGAAATTGTAATATTCCGAATTTTATTTGCTAACCTTGTTTACAGAAGCATCCGGATACACAAGGAGTACAAGTTTTTGGTTTTCGGTTATCACAGCCGATTGGGCAAGAAGTCGCACAATTCTGATACTCCTTCAGTGGGTTGGAACATCTATTTTCTGTTGTACACTCCAATGGCAGAACACATCGAGAATTAGGATCTTTGTAATCGAGAAGGACATAAGGTTCACGACACTGGCAGCCAGGAGAACAAACTTCAATGGCACAATGTGCATTCATATTCTTGCAGCTACGAGTGCAACTAAAAAATCAGTCACTTATGGTTTATTTAAAAATATGGCCCCATAATAACTAAACTTTATTAGCATAAAATATTAAGATTTCAGAGTTTTTATGAAAGATAAGAAAAGATGCGATGATTATTGACATATCACCGTGAGTGAGAAATCATAAAACCTTTGACTGAAAAAAAAGACGATAAAAATAATAAATGATATTCTAAGAAATAATAAGCCAAATGCTAACTTATGATAATATTTAGTGTCAGTTGAACAAGAAAAAATTATTAATGAAAATTAGACATCCAAACCCAGTGATGAATAAAGGTTTTTGCATTTTCAAATCCATAAAAGTCAAAATGAAACATCAACGTTTAAAAAAAGCATAAAAAACACTTAATGATTAGAATAGCATCGAATCCACTGTTTACGAGGATCTGAACATATCTGTTGGCTGATAATAGAATTATGGCAGTTCTGCGGAAGAATGCATCGTGAATTCACGTTTGAAGGATCTTGGAGAATATAGGGAGTCCGACAAAAGCAACCGGGGACACACTGTGCTATACAATTTCCAAACACTCGACTTCCACAGCCCACTGTAATTTTCGCTTTTTTGGTGTATGCAGCAACTCGCCTTAAATATCTTTTTTCGGAAGAAATTTTTTTGTTTCTAAACAATGATCTTAATGGAAAAAGTCACATACATGGACATGCAGGACCGCATGCTTGAAAATTCTTTAGTGGATCTGTACACCTAGACCAAACACCTGGTGAATGCGAGAAATAAAATGGTGACTGAACATCCTTTATTATCGGATTAATATCCTTGGTAATAATTGGCTGATTCGGTTGGTTACCAATTTTTGGAAATCCGAGTCCATCATCGTGATGTGAATTTGGACATCGTGCTGGTAAAACACACCTACAATTTACAATAATTTATTCTTTCTAATTAGATTTTTTTAGGAAATATTGTTTGCTGCTTTCGATAGAAGTGGCATAAGTGTCAGTAAAAATTTTTATGTACTGCTGTTGAACAGTAGCTATCATTGCATTATCTCTGAAGACTGCATTTCGTCAGACTGATACGAGGAAAATGAGAAACCCGAATGCATTTTGCAATATTTGATGATTTTTCTTATGAATTTTAGAAAAGGAAAATTGTTATGGCTTAATCATGCCTAGAAAGAGCAATTTTCAATAGAATAATATAATTAACCGTGAATGAACTGGATCATTATGGTCCAGAACGATATAGGGAATTTTGCAAAAGCAGCCTGCAACACAATTTTCATCACACAGCTGTCGTGGCATATTTCTGGAAGCACATGAGATTGGACAAGATGGACCACATGAAGAATATTCTCTCAAGCTATCTGAGCAACGACCTTGTGAGTCGATTAATTCTAGTGTACATTGTGACTGTACAACACATGGCGATTTAGGATTACTTCCTTTTCGAATAAATCCTGAAAAATCGAAGTGTAAGGATCATGAGACTTTGATAAGGGGAATTTAACTGCTCACGACCTTGGCGGCAATGACATCCTGGCGTGCAATTTTCTGGAGGACATGGAGACAATGGTAATGATAAGCAGGTCGGTTGACATGGATCATAGCAATCAACATAAACTTCATTAATTCCACATTTTTCTTCCCATTTTGAAAAATTTCTTTCTAAAAATAAAATATTAACGATAAATTTGCGAAAATTGCAAAAATTAGGTGTTTTATTTGTAAGGAAACATATTAATATTAATAAAACACGAGAAAACTGTGTAAATGTAAAAATGGTTAAATTCTGGAAAATTCTGGTTATTTTGCGTTCTCTTGTGAGAGGCAGCGAAATAATAGTTTTGTTGCTTAAGTCGTTTTATGCTCAAGCGTTTGGTTAAATTAGTTTGGTTAATGCTCATCTGTCACTATTTTTTACAAAAGCATTGAAGAACATCGTTCATCCACAAAACATCGACAAAAAGGAGAAAAATATTTTTATTTTAAATAAAAACTTTTTCAGTTCATAAGCAGTAAGGCAAAAAAGGGTGGATTTTTCTAAACTTGCTAACTGGATTTATTATGCAAAGGTCTGAGGGTTAACAATCCAAGCTTTATCTAATTCACACAATGAAAAAAGCTATAATGACTGAGATTTTGAAAAATTATAAAAATCGGTTAATACGACTTATTGGACTAGGCTCATGACAAGTCCATCCAGATTCATCTTTGCAGCACTTTTTATTACCAGGACAATCCAGATCGCATTCACATTTTTCGAAAATGCCTAATTTGTGCGACGTATCACTTGGCTTATTCAGATTATTCAGATTGCAGTATCCAGGCCTAATAATACTGCATCCAGGTTTCACTTCGCTCACCGTTCCAGTTAAATTACGATAACTGCTGCTGTCATTCTTCGTCATAATCAATATGGAATATTCATTTTTCGTCTTTTTTTTAATCTTCAGACTTTCTTTTCTTCTGATCCCTGGCTTTATTTCGTAATTCTCTATTGGATCAAAAACTGGTTCATTTTCGACTAGCTCTTCCAATGATTTCCTTAGGATTTCACAAGTACTTGTCAGATTCGGTGTTTTAAGCTTTACTTCACCAATCATTCGTCCGTAAATGGTGACGCACCAACATTCCTCTGTTCCTGCTCGGCATTGAGCAGCTCGATAGTGTCGACCATCTATTTCGCAATATGGTATATGCACTCCTAACACATCATTGGTAGGTAGTCCGTCGAGAACTTGTCTTCGCCTTTGATTGCAAGCTAAAAAAAATCAATAAAAAAGGCAATAATATCAATAATAATGCAATAATACATGATTAATTTAATCATTCCAGCCAAGTTATATTGTACAACTCATTTTGCATTTGGTATTTCAGTTTCTGGTGTCTTAACTTAACTCCTAAGCGTATTTCACACAATATCAAAAAATCCATAAATTAGCTGAAGCAATCCCACAGTACGAAATAATAATTTGGCAAAATATGCTTAAACAGAGGATTGATTTCCTTAATATTTTTTCAGACATCACTGGCGTCCTTTATCATCAACAGAGATAAGATAATGAAAGAGATAAAGTTGATAATTTGAGCGATTTTTATAGCTTATCTCATAGGAGACGCCACATTCACTGCTACAAATTGTTAGCCGCGCTATGACTAGGAAGCTTTATTTGTGATCATTAAAATGATATCCAAAGTTAACCTGAGCAACATTTGCCTTCAGCGCAAATGTCATCAGCAAAGATGCAGTCTGAATCTTCCGAACAGATTCTAAGCCACATACTTCCATCCGGACATTGTGGTTCGCGGAAATGGGATTCATTTGAATTATCTTTCGCTTGTGCTGAAATTATTAAAGACACACTGCATAAGCATTTGTTAGTGCGAAAGCGTTGAAGCAGCAAAAAACTTCTTTTCAAAAATGTTTAAAAAATCTCATTTCACAGCAATCGTCACAAGCCACGCTTATTTTGCTTTTTTAGACGACAAAAGTTATAAATAATTTTATAGCAGCAAAAGATATTATAAATACCACTGAATTAGATGAACAATAATCACAGTTTGCGTTGTTGAAAATTTAATTTTTTAGTTGGTATTCATTGACAAACTTCGTACAAGAAACTTCGAACCAGAAGAAAATCCCACTAACCTGAGACTGATGGTGATGCTCGGTCATCAGCTTGCCATATCGGACAACAAAATCCACGATCAGTGCATCTTTCTCCCGAATAGCATTCATTTGCCGCAAAGCATTTATAATATGAATATCGATTGTCACCACAGTTAACGCAAGTGCCCTGTTTTTCACATATTCCTGCAGCATTCAGTCTAAAGTCTCCCTTGGAGATCTTTTGCTAGACGCTTTTGAAAATAACATTATGGTCTACTAGATGCTACAAAAACTTTTCAGATATTGTTAATGATTAGATCTCTTTTCACCTCTGGTTAGCCCAACCAAAGATGATAAGCGTCAACCATCAATATAATGGTCAAAAACTAACATGTAAAGAAAGATAAAGAATAAATCAATGAATTACTTTTTACTTTTTGGCCATACACAGCCGCAGTTAGAATAATAACGCAAATTAAATAATGCATTTTTTGAGCCTTGATTCCAAAATTTGGATTAATATAGTAGTAGCATTCGCTGCTTGCGGGAGTTCTGCAAGGGAAAGATAAAAACCGGGTCAATTATGATTGCATAATAGAATCAATAGATAATTTGGAATGATTATCGGTTAAACAAAGCGACAGAGATCACCACAGTCATGGTACATTGGTAGTCCATTTGACCGTGAACAGTCTTGGAGAAATGCGCTAATTCAAAAGCGTGGAAAAGAATATGGAAAGAGTTGAAAGTGCCAAGAAAACGCAGGCGGAGGAGGTCGAATCTCAGAGCCTAAGCTTATTACAAGTGATAAATTCATAGAGTAAAAAAGATTTGCTCAAGAAACAATAAAAATTGATTATGGAAAAATCTGTGGAATTCAGCCACGACAAAAAGTAGATTTAATATGTTGTAAGCGCCTTTCATCGATACCACGCAAAATTAAGCAAATAGCCTCAAAAAAGACGAAAAACTTCGATGGGCGAAGTTTTGACTTAAGTTTGTCACGGCTAAAAGCTTTTTAAGCAAAATGAGAAGATGATTTTAGAAATATTTTTCCGAGTTAAACTGGCAAAAAGAAGCTGAGGAAGCTTTTTTTTCACTATTGAAGCTTTTATTATACAAGCTATATTTTCAAAAACAAGTTAACTTCTGGAGGAGTGTTGGCAATTTTTATTGTACTAAAGCTTAATAGGTATAATATTCGAAAATTGTTTACTAAATAAAAATCTAAATAATACCTATGAGCAGAGAACAAGTCGAAATTTCAATTGCTCAACTAATCTCTGAATAAGGTTGTTTTATTGTCGCAATCAACGGCTCAACTAGTTTAGAGTGCCTTGTGAATCAAAATAGTCGTAAATTTCGCATAGTTAAAACCGAGTATACGAATTGGGCTGAGGTGAAGTATGTCAGCTTGAAACCAACATCAACTACGTAACAGCAGCACTCTCTTTTACTTCAAATAGCATAATTTTTGAGATAGAAAGAGAAAGAAGCAATTTATTTATTTTTAAGAACAGAAGTCCCCAACAGGAGAAAGCAAATCCAACTAGCACGTTGTGAAAATAATTTAAAATATTTTTCTATCATAATTTATAATAAAACATTTATATCAATATGAATATGACATTGAAAAAGGTTATAGAAGAAAATTAATAATCGCAAAAATTTGAAAATTGGGGCAATTCAATTGAAAGAACGATGAGAGAGCCAAGAAAAGAGCACCATCAATATCAATGGACGTTCGGCCTTGGCAGCAAAACGTGTTCATTGCCTTTCAACAGTTTGACCGTTTTAAATGAACCTAACTGCAAATCGCATTTATGAGGTCATTCTTCGTCTTCCGCTGCATTCAAATTCAATCAAAAACTAATCTTATCACTTCGCCCTCTTATTCTGTCACATCTTTTTCACAGATTGAATTATATATCATAAAGTTCTTGTTTTGAACTGATAACAGTTAGCGTTGAATAATTTTGACAGACCACATTTTGCTTAAACAACTATCGAATTTACTTTTTTCTGTGGATCATATTTTTAATCTGTGTTCATAGTTTGAGGCACATATTGTATATTGTATTAATTTTCCATAGACTTATACAAAGTCTTATACACATATAGTTGGCTCAGCACCATAAGACATTGCGCAACCACTAGATGGGAAGTCTGTATTCCATATATCACTTATATATAGTGCTCAGTATGATGCTAAGGGCATAATGTTATATTGGTGTGCTGGATCTCTCACAGCTGGCTCTGGTCATATGTCAGTTTATTTGCAAATTTGGTGCAGTAGTTTAAATTAAATTTTATTTTTTATTAGCAATTAAAGAAAAAGAAACATTAAGTATCAGAAAAAAAATATTCAAAATAAATTTTTTTTTGTTTGTGTTATCAGTGTTTCAAGTACATATAAGCCTTAGTTTTAGTCGTAAATATCAGATGCCAAAAATAAAGTGTTTGGTTTAGAACTTATGTAAATGAATGGTTATGCTCTCCCGTGCTAAATTTATGAGCTAGAGTTTTTTGCGGTTTTGCTCAAATCACAGATAATTCCCCAAATTGATTTCGTTCCACGAAGGCGACAAGCCATGTTCGAAAGAATTTCAATAGATTTCGAATTGTGATTAGCATCGGTAAGAAATGGTTCAACTGGGATCTTTGAACTTCCTGGGAAAGTAACTGATGATATTGGTTGCAATAAATTACCATTAATCGGGATATTTCGTCCTACGCCGTTAACAATCGTAGTGGATTCATCATTTCCAAGAAAACCGGTGCTTCCTACAAGTTTATCAACTGACTGAGTTGCAACCATAGAAAAAGTTGATGCACCATTAAGTAACGATATGTCATAGCTTGCCGATGCTTTTGCCAACGTTTTTTGCTCTATTTCTACAGCTGTAACATCTGAAGTAGATTCTAAAAGTGCTGGTTTTTTAAATGAAATAGCATCATTTCCGAAACTTTCTTCAGTTGAAACTGAACTATTTTCTAACACTAACGCCTGATCAGATGAAATTACATCGGGCCAAGTAGAAAGACCAGAGAAATTAAGGCCGCTTGCAGCGGAAGCACTTTCAGATAAATTTATTTCTTTATTTGAAAAAAAATTCTTTAAAGTTGGAAGAGTGTTGTCTGGTGAAATCATATGAATTGATGGTGAAATATTTTTAACAACCGAAGTTTTTGCAAAAATATTATCTGTGGGTAGAATAACAGCAAACTTCCTTTCTGGTGTGGCATTTGATTGCGACGATAGATTAGATGTCTTAGGTCCATTAACATCGACATGTCCAATGGTACTATAAGCTGTTAATGTTGTATCAGAAACTGAAAAATTGAGACCTGGTTTATCTTGCAGATCTATTCCAGTAAACGTTGGTGGTGCAATCAAAAAAATGGTCGTATTTTTGAACGATTCTACCATTCCTGATCGATTGATTGCAGTTATTTCCTTACTTGGTCCGTAACCAAAATTTGTTTTTTCTATCTTTTTTTTGTCGGTGAATAACTCTTTTCCCATTCGTTGACTTCCATTTGTGAAAGCTCCGCCATCTCGGTCGTATTTTCTCTGGATCTTGGATGCTTCTTCATTTAACAGTGAGTGATTATAAATGAGTGGATTGAGACGATCAAGATTTTCGTATTTTTTACAATTTTCGGCAACGTCATCTGGAGAGATAATGATCAGAATAGATTCATTTCTCCCTTCATCATCTGTAGCTAATCCAGTTAAACAAAAACTTTCACCATCTTTCGGAAGCTCTTTCACAAGTACAATTTCTCCTGAAATTTCTCTATTTCTCTAACATGAACAAATGAATTAAAATAAATTAAGAGAATCAAAAGAGATTAAATTAACCAGTTTTTGGCTTAATTGCGAAAAGTTGTGCGGCCAATCCTAAGGCATACAGCCCATAAGATAAATTGGAATTAGCTGGTGATGAAGCCGAAAGTTTTAGGACAATTGAACCAACTTGCGGCCAATTTTCGTTTAACAACGGCACATTGTAGACAGGAAACTCGAAAGACGGCAATAAAAAGTCCTCAGGATTTCCATATATGATTTCATAAAAAACATTATCCTTTATTTCTGGTGGATTTTCATCGATGAAGTGTACGTGATTCTAAAACACAGAGAAATATCTATGTTAGCAATAATGTCCGATTGTCGAACAAACATGTTCAATTAAAAGTTGGATCAATATTATATCATATTAGAGAGTTAGAAAGCAGTTTTTTTGAAAATAATTGAAAATCGAGATTTTACACAATAAGAAGGAGCAGAACGGTAGAGTTTTTGCTTCTATTGAGATCAAGTAGGTTCAATTGCTACTCGCTGAAGGTAAACCTACTGCTATAAACCTACTGCTGAAAGTGAAATCTGGGTGGTATTTGAAACTAACTTTTATTTCTATCTCAAAATTATATTTTAGTGAGCGTCATCTAGAGAGAAGCAGGTTCGCTCCCAGTAACCAGTGCAGCAGTAATGGTAAGTGATGTTTGATGATAATGATATTAAATGCAATAAAATGTTTATAGACCTGACAGAAATGATAACCAGTCCATCAATTTTTTTGAAAACTAGAAACACATGAAAATTCATGGTTCAACCGTTAATTTCGATTTTAACTATCTCAAAAAGAACTGAACTATATTTCAAACGGATACAGAATGGATCAATTTATAAGGTCAGAAAATGTACCTCGGCATTTCGTATACTCCATATGCTATCCATACCAACAAGCTTTTGTCGCGCAACTCCATCAACACTTATTTGATCCACACGCAACACTTTGAAGCTAGCTGGTAATCCTTCTGGGTATTTCACTTTTCCATATAATGAGGCATCTTTACTTCTGGGTGATGTTGGTAAATAAGCAACAACTTGTCGAAAAAAAGGTTTCCCATCACTTGAGCCATTGGATTCGCTTTTCTAATATTTTTTAATGGCAAATTCTGATTAAGAAATGTTGAACAAGAAATTTATGCTAAATCCATACAAAAAGAAAATTGGAATGATAACAATAATAATGATCAAAACAACACATCTAAAAGAAACCTCGGATATTTTAAGTGGTGATAAAACGCGTAATGTCGAAGAAACCATATTAAATAGATAAAGGGAATGTGGAAGAGAAATCTGCGAAACAAGCATAAATTCACTTGAAATGAATTGTTGGATTAGAAACGCACGAGAATCTTCAAGGGTTAATATTTCACCATCCATTGAAATGCTCAATTTTAATTCTTGAATTTTTTCCATCTAAAATTATGTTTATATATTTATTTATATATATTTATATCATCAACTTTCGTTAAAAATTTCCTGGATAATCTCCAAGCATTAAAAAATTCCTAACTTCAACACCAAATGATCAAAAGTTCAATATGAAATGGTTCGAATATGGTACAAAGAACGAGATCATAAATAAAAGGAGCCGAAGTGAAGGTAAATCTTGATAATTTTTAAATCACTTATATATTCATTTAACACTTAAGTGAGCTCATTATTTTGTGAGATGATCAGTTTGTAAGAAATTTAATTGAACTAAAAATAATTTTGACTTTACCTTTTTCTTCTCAAACATATAATAAATGTACGATGTTTGTCCTGAAGTAATTTCCTCAATTTCATAATGAAGATTCAAAAAGTTTGATCCACCATTTGATATGCTATTAATTTGATAAGGTAAGGCTATTTTCGAATTGTTAGCTGCTATTATAGTTACTTTCATTTCCTCCACTTTTAAATTTCTGAGAGAAATATAGCTGAAAAAACTAAGCCTTTTGTTTAACAAAATTAGTTTTTAATCAATAGCAATCGATCAACAGAAGCTGGAATGAGATTTAATCAATTTTAAACCATATTCATCAAACCAAGATGATGCAAAAAAACTAGCCCTGCATTCATGAAAGCTATCATTGCATTGAAAGGCCTTTTTACTTCATTGCCTCGCTGAAAAGTCGTGTATAGACTGGAGGTTAAAAAATAATAAAGTTTTAGCGACGGACGTGGATATATTGGTACTATTTGTGTATCGATTCGTTGCATACTTTGTTGTCTTCCATGATCGAATTTCAGAATTACAATAGCCTTAAAAACTGCAAGATAGCCTAGAAAATGACCGTTATATAGCAATATTTTTTCAACGAATGGAAATAAAGAGCAATTTTATTGCTCAATGCAGAGTAGAAACAATTGAAAACACCTGATAATATGCAATGCGAGTAAGACGTGAGCTCTGAACCGATTTAACGATCCATTTTGCAGTAAGAGAAGAATTAGGCAGCAAAATAGAGCTTCCATCAAGAGAATGAATACCGTTGAAGACTAAAGGTCCTATTCGAAACTGAATAGGCTGCGTATCGGGACGATTTTTGAGCATTTCGAATGATAATCGAAGATTCATCAGTGGCATCATCTGAAGGGTAGAATTTTTAAGTTTAAATTGATTAAGTTTAAGTTTAACTTATTTGAATGAAGTTGAAATATTTAAATTAGATCTATAAAAAACACCGATCGACGGTCATTACCTCTTTATTTAAAATCTTTACTGTAACACTGAATTCATCATTTTCGTTTGGCTTAGCTGGTGATATCAATGTATAAGCAATAGCACATATATCGGTCGCTGATTGGCTACTGTCGGCTGATGCTGTTGGAAAATTAGATTCGGCGGTCGATAATAATTTTACCATATAGTCATGCAGAAGTGTAAATGGATTACTGGCGCCATGCTAAACATGAAATTTTATTATCGATAGTGCATTTATTCTCAATATATTCTATTTAATTAGTTACATCATTAAAATAATACTTACTTGCCGCGTTAAAGATTTTAATCGATCAGATGTAATGATTAATTCCCTGACATCAGTGTATGTTATTCCTGGCAAGCTGTCTTGCGCATTTGACAGTGGATCGGTGCCCAGTGAATACCATTTCTTGACCGTTTCGTTCCAGGTGTTGCTCAGAAGAAAACCATCGCCTTTAAAAATTTGTTAAAATAGTTTTGAATATTAAGGAAAAGACTGAACATGATTCAAAAATGGATAAAGCATGGAAATAAAAAAGAATGAATGACCTTTTAAAATTTTTTGTTCACGTTCCGTTATGTAAAGCCCACTTTCGGAATAATCCGCAATTACTTTGAAGAAATCATCATACCATTCTTTCGAAATGATTTCGTCAAAATACTCGTTAGGTAATATAATCTAAAATAAAATTATCTAAGGCCTCTGGCGCTGGTTCCTTCTATAAGCAGTCGTGCCGAAAAGGTGCTCTGCTCATTAATCAATAAATTAATAGAACGATATTTACTGTCATTACTTTATAACTTATTATTTTTATTATTTACTATTACGTACCATTATTATTACGTAATAATATTATCTTCCACGAATCAGATAAGTTTTTTTCCTTAAAATTTTATTCTTTTAATTATCTTTAAATAATGTTCTATCTTTTTTTTAAAATTTATTAATCTTTATCATTATTTTTCCGCATGGGCCTATGCGTTTCAAAGGAAAGATCTGCAATATTTCGGTCATCAGTGTATAAGCTCCAACTTTATGCGCAGTTGACCGTTATAACATAACTTCTATGCGGAACTTCAATTATTAACAATATTTTTATTGAGACTGGAATGCGCGCTTTGATCATGATGCCGTTACTATGAATTCGATAATTGGCAAATATGGCATTGGAGTCCAGTGGAGAACGCTTTCATCATTTTGCCGTAGGCATGGGCTCCTTGTTACTAATACATGTTTCCGGCATCGGAGAAGCCATCTAATCACATGGAACTCTCCGGATAACCAATATTCCAATCAGATTGGCTATATGTTGGTCAATTACCGCTAGAAGAGTTCTGCATTTGGTAGTAGTTCCTATCGGGGTCGTGAAACTGGTAACCATCATAAATCAGACATTATGGTTCGAGCCAAAGTTCATATAAAAATGACAAGTCGTAAGAAAACAAGATCTTTCAACTATCTCAAATTAAATGATCCAAGAACAATAAGCATCCGCATTTCAAACCGAATTATTCCTCAGTGAACATCAGTGAAATGAATCTCGGGAATGGGGGATAAATATCGATCCCAATTAAAGACATGTATACGAAAATAAGCCACTTCTATACTAGGATATATTAGTAGGAAATGCGCTAGTTGAGTATCGGAAGCAACTGTCCAACTATCTGAAAAAGCTACCAAAGCCAGAATATCAAGAAATTCTTCGAAAAATTACGACAGAAATCGCTAGAGTGATATGACAATGAAAGCGGCAGATCGACTGGACGACAATAGGAAACTATTTGATCTTTATAAAGCAAATAACTAGAGAAGGGATCAGTGAAATGATACGGGATATTAATGGAGTGCCTATTAAAACTGTTAACGATCGCCTCAGAAGATGGAAAGAATTTTTTGAGGCCAAATTTAACCGCGATGCACCATCTCTTGTCCCTGATATAACTGATTCGACCGTCGAACCATACGTTTGCAACTGCGAACCACCAATAGAAGAGGTAATAGTCTCTGTAATCCATAAGTTTAAGGCCAATAAATTCCCAGAAAAAGTGGTTTTCGGAGTCTTTTGAATCTCTTCAAATATTATCCATCATCGTATATAATTCACCTTCAACAAATGTATTCTCTGGTATAACAAAAGGAAATAATAGCAGAAGACTGGAGCAAAGCAGTTCTTAAAAAGGAAAGGCGACAGGACGTATTGCGATGGAGGAATCAGCCTGCTGGACATCTCCGGAAAATTTTTCACTTCTGCTAAGTAGACTTATGCACGAGATAGCAGAATGCGTCCTACCCAAGCTGGATTCAAATCGAGGCGTAGTTAACTAGATATTTATATTTATTAAACAGATATTTACGCTAAGAGGATGCTAGTTTATTATTTCAAATACCAGCAACCCACCGTCATAAGCTTCATCAACACTGTTTTCATTTCGATTAATAGAATGGTGCTTTCAAGGGTGGTAGAACGCGACGGTATTCCAGAAATCATTCGACTCATAAAGGCATTTTATCAGCGTACCTATGGGGAACCGACAGACTCCTTCGAAATAAGAACTGGTGTTCGTCAAGGTTACATCCTTTCTCATACAATATTCAACTATGCGATAGACTGGATGATGGGCATCGCTTGTCGGTACTCAAGAGGCGTGCAAATCAATCCAGAGCATAGCATCACACACCTTGAAAATACACGGATGATGTAGTCTTCTTTTCTGACAATTGTGACAAAGTGCAAGCAATATTAAACAATCTGTTGACAAACACAGCGAAAATCGCACTCAAGGTCAATGTAAATAAAACTAAAATTTTTCCATCTTATATACCAGACAGTACAATTAATTTTCATCAATTCGTCATCAGCTGAGGAAGGCAGACTTGAAATATCTTGGATCCACTCTAATCCCAAAGAATCAAGCGAAATTATAACATGGATAATGGTAGTAGCTATGAGTTCATTCGGTTGACGAAATCTTTATGGGACCGTCACGAAATCACCATAAAGACGAAAATATAGCTACAATTCGATCCGATCTTGCTATATGTCTGCGAAACATAGCTAATGAGAGTGGAAGATATTAAAAAGATATCAACCTTTGACCAATCATGTCTAAGATATATTTTACGGATCTCTCAAGCGGATAAAAATCATGGTTGTATCCATCTTTGCTCAAATACCGCATTAATAATGTTATCAAAGAGTGTCGCCTTCGCTGGTTAAGGCACGTTCTTCGTCGTTCAGCACAGGAGTTGATGCATATTTCATTACTTGCTAAACCCTGTGATGGGTGGCGTCAAAAGCGAGGTAGACCAATCAAGACCTGGACTGATACAGTCAGGAAAAATTCTGAACGTATAGGAAGGTTAGCGATTCAAGAACTTAAACGATGGAAAAAGGAATGGCTTCTATTACTACTAGCGATGGCATTCGACTGAGCAGCTTGGAAACTTCTTACCCTTATAGCCAACGGAGCCAGCGCAACCAGTAATGTAAGAGCTGCTAGAAGAAGAAATAACATGAAATAAGGTCCTGAATTAATACTAGATCTTGAAATTCTCACTGCATTGTCGGATAATCGAGTGGTATTATTGATTCATTGAGCTTCATAAGTTCGAGTTCCTTATCCTAACTGGAATAATCCTGTCATTAAGAAATCCGGATGTTAATGTCGACCAATTGTATTTCTAGCGCCGTTTTTTTGGAAAAAATTATAACACCTAGTCTAACCAGAAATGATAAGGGATAGTGACTCATTTTCTTTTATTTTTTTGTTGATATCGAAATAAAAAAGCGCAAATTTCAGTATACCTGAAACTGCTCAAAAAAATCTGAAAATAATGTAGCGATTTCAACAGAATTCATTTTAGATGAGCTGAGAGAAGGCAAAAATTTCTGTATAATACCATCTATTTGCATGTTTACTGATGGCAGCTGAAATAAAATTAGAAAATTACAACGAAAAAAATCATTTTTGAATTGATTCCATTAATTGAAACGAAAAAACTTTTCATTTATGTTTTAATTGAAATTTTACAAGTGCCAACAGTGGATTTGTCTTATTTGACATATTTCCTGAATTCAAAGTTAATAATCGCTTCCTAAAAACTGCACAGTGACTATTCAGCGATGAAGCACACCTAAAATACCATTTTTTTAAATGAACATTTTTGAAAACAAACACAAAATTAAATGATTTCAACTTATTTTGCAGCAATAAATGGCACTTAGTTACCATTCTATTTTCATTTTGGCAAAACAGATATCTGGAGGGCATGAACAATCAAGCGGTACGGTGGCTTCGATAAAAGTATCGCGTCTGTAACATACAAAAATTTCTGACCGCATCAGCCCCAGCGCAACCTAACTGGAAATGGTGGACTTAATTTCCTTAATTTTTTAATGTATAATAATTAATAATTTTAAACAGAAAACTAACATTACTGATTGACGCAGTCTATGAAAATCGACATTAACTGCACGGCAGTTGGCAGCAAGAAGAATGAACATCGCCATAGAATGCAAGGAAACTGTGTCATCGGGAATATAACTCCAAGATGAGCCACACATTGCTGCAGACTCGTATAGAGAACGACAGCGATCTTTCGTATATGCTATACAATTGCAACGCACTGTGGTTTTTGACCACAACGAAATGCGTTTTTTCCGAGAATTAAAACCAACTGAAACTGAAGCAAATGGTACATTTTTTTACTAAAGTGTTCTATCAGAAATAAAAGAAAATATCGAAGAAAAATTGCCGGGAACTATATAAAAGCTATAATCGATATATTTAGTTAAATGATGTTTCATATTTGAAATCCTTTTTATGATTTCGCACTGAATTTTATGAAATTCTGAAAAGCAATGAATTGAATATTGTATCCTCATGTGATACGATGATTCTCAAATTGAAAAATCTTTGAACAGTTTCCTATCAGCCGCTGATTGATGAAGACATAAATTGATTCTATCGAAAAAATTTTAGACCAATTTGATCACTAATTCATGTTATTAACCATATGAAACCCTTGACATAGTGAAAGGTCTCATTTATATAGGATAAAAACGAACATTCGCAAAGTTTTACATAGCTACCATTTCTTCTCGCGTCAACGATAAGGATGGATTGCTTAAACGAATTGAACATGAAATTAGGAACGGTATACAAATAAGGAAGTTTTAGTAAATAAACATTGCAATTTTTATCGCTAGTGTTGTATGCGATGTTGTTGGACAACTCTATAGGCATTTTATAAGCGTCATTATAACCCAAACCGACATCCAAACCATTCTGCAATTTAAAACCAACATAAAAAATGAAATTTTCAAAAGCTTTAAGAATATTAAAGGGTTCGATTTTGAAATAAAGCTTACCCAAATAGAAAACAATCTCGTGCAATAAGTGAATCATCAAAATTTCAAAAATGAAGAAAGCGCTTAAGAAAAAATTTGCCAGAAATAAGACACTAACTGATTTGAGTGTAAATGGTAAGGACCATTTATCGTTGATTGTAAAAGGAAGTAAAGCAGCCGAACTATAATCTGGTCCAGCAACATTTTCTACTCTAAGCATTAAATTTACAGAATTTTCATAAGGTACAAAAATCGATGAGGGAAGAAAGCGAATCACAGGAAATGCAATCTAAAGACAATTAGTTATTTATTAAATCATATTTTATATTTTTAAATTCCATTAAATGGTAGAAATTAAAGACGAAAAAAGCTAAAATACTGTTCTTCGCACATAAAAGATTAAAAAGTTACAAAAATATTCAGCAAAATATTGAACTAATTAATTTGGTACATTATTATGTAAACCAACCTTTTTTGTGAAGAATGAGCACAATTTTTCGCTGGGCAGAATCGCTTTACTGGCTTAGTCGAGCTAGATTACTTTTTTCCCGTCATCTGGCCAGAGAAGAATGGAAGGATTGTTAGCACCCAGGATTTCCCAAAGATAGATTAAGATAGATTGCCAGGAATAAAAGGCCAGAATTAGCGCACCCAAATGAGAGCAACAGTCACTAAGCCATTCAGCCTCAGAGCATTAAACTATTAAATTAAAATACTAATGGTAAACCAAAAATTGAACAAAATACACTGAAGAAATTGGGAAAAGTACTTTCGGAATAAAACTGATCTCCGTCACATCAGCGGAAAGTCGATTTTCTTCAATAACTGGTTCATAAGGAAACATTAATGGGAGAAAAATCGTTAAAGATGAGTTTATATAATTCGGCTGAAAAATATTAGATAATTTATTGAAATCAAGTGGATTATCAATATGTATAAGAAGCAATTTATGCTAGAAAAAGATTCTGACTGATCGCTATTACTTGGACAATTGCAGAAACTGTATGATGTCGAGGAGAAGAGACGGTCAACTGGTAAAGGTCCTCCGTAATCGAAAGAAATTCCACGGATTCTGAAAAATTGCATAATTTATTGCAGTAACAATTCTTTCTTTTATTCTCTATGAAGTGCAGCCACATACAAACTTTCCATTGATGCAGTTTATCACTATAATATTGACATTCAATAGGACTTGAAGAGGCCATCATCAACTGAATCAGAATAATAGAGAAAATTGACAAGATACAACAAGGTACAAGGTCTTGAACTAAATCATCTAACCCTTAAGAATGAGAAATTATTATTACAGTGAAATTTATTATTACAGTGAAATTTTAAGCAAACATTAAATAGAAACCACTGATCCGTGTTTGATGCTTATTTTCAATTCCTGAAGCACTGCGAAGTTTTATTTCAATATCATTGAGCTCCGAGTAATTTCCAATAAGAGATAATTCATCGTTAATAGCGACAAGATAATTGAAGAGTACTGCCCCAACGTTTACACATTTGTATGGAATAAAAAGAATTTGCTGGAATGACAGTTTGAATATTAGCCAATATTGCATTCATAAGATTAGAGAAATTACAAAGCAAATAATTTAAAAAGAATCATTACAGCGATGTTCATACAACAAATTTTAAAAACACTGCTTTGAGAAATATTTAGAAAAATGGTTACTAACCTTGCCTCTATAACTGAGAATAATATTTCCTGACACCACTCGTTCAGTATTATTTAAAGACCGTAAACCAAAATAAAGATTTAACATACTTCCAGCAGAACCGTATTCCTTATAATTATTTATTGCAGGATTTGAAAAAATTAAAAACAATGGACCACCTTCTTCGCGAAATTTTATATCTAAGGGTTCTTGAAATGATAGCCCCTTATTTAATATATGAACCTGAAGTATTATTTTGTGAGAAATATTTGAAAAAAATGTTTGCAAACTATGATTTATCAACTAAAAGTAATTTGCTTATAAATTAAAAGGCATGCATCAGCAAATATAATGTTAATGAGTTTATCAAAAAAGAAAGAAAAATTCGAATAATACTACTTCAATTATCCTTGGCTGTTTGTTCTGATTATAAACCACAACAACTTCCGATGGATCAGCATCCAATGCTATTCTGGAACCTGGCACTTCAATCCTTTGTCTGAAAACATTCTAATAACAAATAATGCAACGTATGCGGATTGAAAAAAAAATTAAACAAAATTCCATATGAGTATGAGTATATTTACAAAGTAAAAACAATTTTATTTTGCCGCAACAAGTAATTTGATTGTGATAAACCAAAACTGAGCCTGAATTAGTGAAATAAAATTCGAAGCAAATGAATGCTTAAAGATAAGTTTAAAGATGATAAGTCCAATACTTTATAATTTTTTTGGGCACACCAACGCAATTCAGTTGCAAAATTAATATTGAACTATCGAGTACTGGTGAAGTCGAAAAAGATATTTTCTGAGATATTGTATAACCAGGATTAATGATATTGATATACTAAAAATTTTAATAATTTTAATTTTAATAATATTAATGCCAATTTCCTCAATTTTTTCTTGATTGTTTAAAATTGAATTTGAAGGCTGAAAAAAAAGTTGAAAAAAAATCTGAATTGTAAACCGACCGAATACTACGTACAGTAAGCTATTATGTTAAAAGCCGTGAGGAAAACCGAGTGGTGCGGTTGTTTCGATCTGCGCCAAGCACAAAAGATTTAATTCTCTGAATCTGATAGGAATGATCCCGTTACTAAAAAACTCTTTGGCTACAATTCCCACTAGCACTAATAGAGGATTTACATAAAGTGATAGATAGCACCTGCTCAGTAAAATCTATTAAAAATCTTTGAATCTAAATCTGAAATCGAAGCCTAGAATCTGTATAAAAAACTTCATAAAATACTTCGCCATATTTTTCCAGCTGTATCTTGTCTCTTGGAGCGATGACTTCAACCGTACATCCCATCAGCGGACTGTCACCACAGTTTTTTATTTGATAATTCGCCATAAGTGTTTGTCCTGGGGATGCTTCAAGTTCTTCTTCGTAATAAACATTAACATCGTTATCTCTCCATGAGAAGGCATTTGAAGAATTTATTAAAACAGATGATATTGATTTGCCTGGATGTATTGCTATCTAAAATTCTGGCTTTCATTCATTGGAACACTGATTAATCTGTTTAAATTTAATATTTGAACTAACCACAGAGTGAAATGTCACATTATCCGTAGGTACATAAGGATATAAGAACCGGCCATCATCGGAACTGATCACAACAATGTTCTCCTCCAGTTTATCGCCTGAATAAATGAGCAACCGAATAGGTACATGTCCGAAATTCTAAAACCATCCATTCGTTATATGATGATTGATGCCGGACAAGTCCGGCTGTAATAGTTTCATTCACAACCTGATTGATAAACTGTATAAATCCTTGAATGACGCTCCTGCTACCTTTAGTCTCACGTTCAACTTTGGAAACCAAAGGTGAATAAGTTGGTAAAACTGTCAAATTCCAAGATATAAGTGATTTGCCATTTGAAGTGCTTATCGTGAGATTAACAAAATATGGCCGATCTCGACCAATCGGCTTTTTCCATATTATTATTCCCTGAGGGTCAATCTTAAGACCATCTGCATCCGAATTTAAGTTATAAATAGCGTTTGGTTCCTGAAAAAAAATTTATGCAGAATCTAAGATAACCGGACCACTAAACATTGTAATGTAATGGTAATGGTATGTATCTAAAAAAATACGACAGTATAAAGATGTTTACGGCAATATAATTTATACGGCAATTAGAGGAAAATAATGCATTAACATTTGATGGAGCATTTAGTTATAATGGAATAAAGCGGGTTTAAAGCGTGTGCAAAAAGAAGTCGTTATAGAGGTGTAAGGAGTTTGAAAGGTGATTATGAGGGGTTCAAGAAGTCCCTGAGTTTAAAAACGAAGTTTGGGTGGGCTTCAGGCTCTTTTGCATTTCTATTGGTAAATTTTTTGTCTGTCTACATCTCGAAGACAGTGAAACTACAAAAGATGAGTATAGTAAAAAGGAGAATTCTTCAATGGGACTGAATATAAAACATTGAACAATTGTATCAATTTAAAAAAATCACTTGAGCTGGTATTTTTGCAGTGTAAGGTTTTCCTTCAATTGCTTTCATCAACAATGCACTAACTGTTATCTCCCGATTAATCTTGGGCCATATTTTAGCCTACAATGGTCGTTGCAGATGAATGAAAAATTAAAATTTATATCAAATAGCAATAGGATAATCATCCAAACAATCATCATAACAGTCATTTAAAGTAGAGTGAAAATTTACCTGCTGGCACAAAATTCCTTCTTGATCAGAGCGACAAACACAGGTAGGACCCAGACAAGATCCTTTACAATCAACTGAATCACATTCGACATAAAATGTGAAATGAATCTGCAATCCAACACAATTTTTATATTTGGAATCGTAAATTAAATTGATGAATACGAATAAGAAACGATTTTTTGACGTTTACATTAAGCATATAAACAATTCTTTTGCTGAAACAAAAAAATTGATAAGAAAAAGTACTTCCTAGATATACAAAAAATTCTAACCAATCGTTTATCAAGAAAAGGTATAGCTTGATTTGATTCGTAAGGAATCACATTGAACAGGTATCGCCCTGGCCCTGTAGTTCTAGGAATGGAACATTTTATTAACGATGATGAGATATAAAAACCCTCTGCAGCAGTACTACCATAGAGACATGTGTATCTGCCGAAATGCGTTCTATAAATGCTAATTAAAAATTGACGATTTTAAATCTAATTCAAATTGCATAGAAAAAAAAGCCCACTTTGGAAAGTCAATGCCATACACAGCAATTCGATCGTCTTCACTATGATGAATTCCTATGGCTGTTGGAAGGACAAAAAGAATTACTGATAATTCACATGTCTTATGCTCACATATTTCACATTCGTTTCCTATCCATCCTTTTAGACAGCTGCACTTCCTATAATGAATTTATATTTATTTGAATCGGACAATTTAAATTTGAAATTTGAAATAAATTTCTATAACTGAATAGAATTACTAAAGGATTTCTGCATAGCACCATGCGAATAAAATAACCTCGTAAGGGAATTACATCGACCATGAATGCACTGATAAGGGCAAGCACTGCATGTGCTACCACTGCATGTGGAACAATCATCACCTGTATAACCAGGCAAGCAATTACACTTATTCGGCTCCACACATATCCCGGAGTTCGAACAGTTATTCAAGTCATCACATAAAGCATGTGAACAGAATGGAGCAGCCCAACCATTATGACAAACACACTCATTATTGACACATTTTCCGTGATTATTACATCCATTTATTGAGCAGCTTGTTGAAGGAATACTACAGTCTATTCCTGAAATTTGAATGATCTATGGAATTTGAATAAAACTGGAGACGAGCAAAGTATTCGTGTGAATTTTATACCTGTATATAGCGGATTACATTCACATTCATTCAATGAAATGCATTTCCCATGCCCGCTACAGTTTGCTAAACGATAACATGAAGGTTCTGAGCAATCTGCCTGCAGCCAACCTTTATAACATTTACATGTATTGGGCGCGACACAAACACCATTGTTGAAGCAATCATTTAATGATGAACATGAAATTTGTGAACAATCAACTCCAGAAAAACCTGAGTCGCACAAACATCGATCTATGCCTGCAGTGATTTTCTTAAAATTACGAATGAAATAAAATTTACTGTATTAAATCAGAAAAAGCTCGAGACAACCCTTGGTTCAATTACTCAAGTTTGGGAATTGAGTGGTCACTTTCCTATTCTATGTATTTTTAATATTAGCATCGATTAATTCGTTCAAGTATTTTCTGGAATAAGTTCAAGTTTTTCGAAAGTAAGTCAAGTTTTCTTGAATTTAATATATAAAATAGTCAACTTCATAATATAATTTTAAAAAAACAAATCTTTTTTTACCCTTTTCTCCTTAAAATTTTGTTATTATCTGAATTAAGAAATTATGTCTTTGCTGTCTGGATAGAAATAAACACTCTACTGAAGTCGAGCATGACTGCTGAGGACCTATCTGTATGTCTATCCTCAAGTAACTGTGGTGAATACGTCAAACAAATCGCGAACGGCATCCACATATTCTGACGCGAATGGTACCACCTAAGTCGGTGGTAAATGCGACAAATATACGAACTTGGCTCGGAGTATAAAGTCAGAGTAATTTTTCGAACTGAAGGTGCAGCGCTAAAGTCCACTGAAGGAAGCACCGAAGAATGACAATCTCTGCGCGCACCCGACGAGGTCTTGGTCGTAAACGCGTGGAAGGTAAGAAATTATGGATATAGGGAGCAATGATTATGCTCGAATAAGAATAATACTAGCTGCATTGATAACTCAGAAGAAAATGGAGTCCGAAAGGACGCGATTTCTGAAATTTTTGTTGATGATCAGCTGGCCTACACCCTTAAAGACTTTAAAGTTCAAAGTACTTTATGAGCATACGTCAGTGCAGGTTTGTATAGTCTTGAATATGTTGATGACCTTTTCGAACGGACAGAGTGTCGTCGACAGCATTAGCGGAAATTGGTCTTCAAATCAACGTAAATAAGATGCAACTCCATTCATCTTACTCATCTTATCTTATAATAATATTCATCTTATATATATTTTATATGCTGATAAGATCGCACTTTCTACAATTTCAACAACGGTCCAATATCAAATATCACTCTCTCTCAGGTTCATTCTCATACCTAATGGCCAGGCAATAGGTTAAGTTCGGGTAGCTGCAGTTAAAGGTATTGTTTGGAGAAACCTCTCTGAAATCATCGTGAAATATAAGACCAACAATCCTATTATGAAGCAGCGAAATGAGAGTGAAAGATAAGGCAATTATAACCATCTTTGCCTAAGGTATATCCAAATGGAGTTTCACATGAATGTATCCATTATAGCTCCAGTAACTCCATTAAGAATACCGAAAGAAAAAATAAAAAGATAGCGTCGTCTACGCTGGTCTGGCCATTTTCGTCATCATCCATCTTAATAATTGACGCACATCTCGCTACTTGCTAACCTCTGTGATGAATGGCATAAAAAACGAGGAGGGCCAATCATAATCTGGACTGATACAGTCAGGAAAGATTTTGAAAATATAGGTGGCCAAGCGAAATATGGAGATGAAACAATGAAAAAGGAATGGTTTTTAATCATTTCCAGCAATGGCATTGGATTTGGGAGGCCTGGAAACATCTTACCCTCATTGCTAGTGGAGCGAGTCAAAAACCAGCAACAGTTCGAGTAATTTAAAAAAGCAGGAAAAAAGCGATAGAGTTGAATAACTGCTTATGCCGAAACTATGAAACTATTGCTTCAAACGGAAAAAAATATTATATTGTGTGAATAAAGAGGCAAATTTTTCTTCCAGGATAGCTCATTTGTCACAAACTTCGTAAAAATAAAACAATATTTATAAGTTTTTAAAAACCGATGTCTTACCAATGCAACGACCATGATCAGAGCAATTTTTCACTGTTGCGCAGCTCTCAATTATTGTTGCTCTTTTTCGATTAAATGGATTAACCACTGCAAAACCTGAAATCTCTTTTTTATTTATTCTTATTCTTTAACAACTTGGTAGTATTTCATGAAATTGATTATTCACGAAAAGGATTAATTCATGAAATTTTATGAATCCCTCTAGTCAGAATTAAATAAGTTCTTGTACTTCCCAAAATTAATGTTTTATAGAACTAATATTAGACAGTGCTGTGAAGAAAATAAATCAGCACCATAAATTCCTGTACCCTTTTAATATCATAAGCTGTATACTAATTAAGCCGTTTTTACCTTACTTAAACGAAAAGTTTACCACGCAAAGTATCTTTTTTTCCATCAAGTATTCTTTTCTCAACAGAATTCACATCGTCGTAACCCCAGTAGTTATGAGTAGCGTTCACTGGCTGTAATAGAATTACTGCAGCAATAATAGCTATAAAGGTTGGAATACGAATACCATAAATCAAGCAGTATATAAACTCACTCGATGTTCCATATATTCCACTTCGAGATCAAATTGTTCATGTTGATTGTCAAACTCATTATTATTGATGTTGAAATAAGGACTTCCAGTAATAACTGATCCACGAACATTTTGATTCCCTCGAAACTGATTACCAATCACGTTACCGATAAAGGAATTTCGAGTGAGTGCAGCAATATAAAGACACCATTCTCCTTTATTTCTCGACCAAATATTTTCGAAGATTTCAAGCTCAAATAGTAGTGGCGACTGAAATTACCGATAAACTTTAATTTAACAGGAAACAGTTAAATTAAATCTGTTTCCAGAGATCATAGAAAAACATATACCTCGGAGGATGAAATTTCGACAGTAGTTATTCCACTCCTATTACTGTTATTAAATGAGAAAATATTTTTATGCACAGTTGCATTAACATGATTTTCCAAAAAGAAATATGAAACCAAATTTTTATTTGCTTCGAATCGATTTTCTTCGAAATTTAACAACGGAGAATTTCCCAAGTTTGATGTAAGCGACTGTAAAGAGAAAATGATTTAAAAAAAAAAAATTTATGGAAGATTTTTCTCATATATTAACATATATTAACATTTAACATATATTAACATATATTAACACGATATTTTTTAAAGCTCTTATCATTTCTGGTTACTCACTTAGGCTCACTAACTTCACTAGCTTGTCGAATCAGAAAAAATATTGTCACTTTTTCGAATAACTTTGGAGTGAAATGGCAACAGAAGTAGATGAAGGTTGCCAACACCACAAGGATTTTTAAAAGACAACCTCGGCATCGTCACTCCGAAATGAGAGCAACTCACTAACAATATGAAATAAATTTTTAACAAAAGTTATGGGCGAATTTTCTTATTGAATCGAATCTAATGAGAAGATTGAGATTCAAACTAAAGGTAGGTTTTGCGGAAAGAAAAGGTAGGTTTTTTTTCTTATTTTCTGCTATCGTCTGACTAGAATTCCATAGTAACATTGGAACTGGAATATTATTAGTGTCCCAATGCATTTCTTTAGTTACTAGTTTCCACAGAAACCTTAAGAATATCACTTGCAGCTGATGCAGATGTTTCCGTAGCTTTGTGGTTTGGATGATCAATGTTTTGCTATATGTTTTGTTGTAGTAAAAATCAGCAAGATTTTTGCAGAAAACGAATTAACATGAAGAATCACCCTCAGGAAAAGAATAACGCTGGGCACTGCGTTACGTTGAAATGAAGATTTGATTATATTAACTGATTTGTACGATAAAAGGTTGATAAATAAGCCTCCTCGCCCTCCTTTTTGGTTATTTATTTGTATATTTTGCAGTCGAAGCGTATCAATCGGATAAGCAGAGTTTTGATATATACGTATCGAATAATATCCACTATTTTCGATCTTTAAATACATCTTTCTTTTAAACAAATAATTATATAATAAGTATTAAAAATATTTCATTCAATTAATATTGGTAAATAAAATATAGCAGCCTTAAGCGATTGACGCATGTTGGACAAAGTGGTGAAAACTACCTTAATGTCTTCGAGAGTGATATTGCTTGATGGATCCTTAAAATCGATGGCACTTTCAGCGGAACGTATGATCGAAATATTCCTGATTAAAAACTTATGTAATAACTGGAATACACATACAAAATATTTTCGCGAAATGCGATATCCTTTCTAAAATCATATTTCAAAACAGTGACCCAGACCCGCCAAAGAAAACATTCATAACTTGATCGATTTTTTGCACTTTATATGCCAATAAAAGACAATTTACAGTATATGTTGTATATTCTTCAAATGAAAATCTTTCTTCTACCCTTTAAATCACCATATCATTCTTCTGATCCTTTAAGGCGCCATTAAGGGACCCAAGCGGTTGGGTACCAATATTAACATTTAAATATTAATAATAATATTCAAAATATTCATTTTTTAAATGCATCTCTCACCCCTTTATTCTTTTCTTTTGTTTCGCCCTTTAATCTATTTGGTTTAATCGCATCTTGTTTTTTCTGTCTATATATTAATCGGTTTAATTAGCCAAGTTTGAGGTGGCGAATAAAGATTTTTATTAATACGTGCGGTGATGTTTATTCTACTGTCCTGAGAAAGCAGCCGGATCAAGGTTATTTAATAAAATTAAGGCGTGGCAGGCCAGCATCATCCCACTATTTCCAATCTTCTTCTTTTTCTAACAGTTCGCCATTACTGGTTAGGCTGGCTGCAACGCCTATAAGAGTAAGACGCTTCCAAGCGGCGTGGTCTGATGCCCTCGTCAACAGTAATAGAAGCCATTCCTTTTTCCATTGTCTAAGTCCATATATTACTGATTCACCTACACAAAATCTTTCAAAATCTTTTCTGATCGTATCCGTATCAGTCTAGGTCTTGATTGGCCCACCTCGCCTTTGACGCCAACCATTACACAGTTTAGCAAGTAAGGAAATATGCGTCAACTCCTGTGGTGGAAACGTGCCCTAACCAGCGAAGGCGACGCTCTGTGATAAAATTACGTAAGTGGTATTTGAACGAAAACGAATGCGAACATGTGATACCTTATTCGCTCAATGGATCCGTAAAATGACCTTAGACAAGGGTGGTCAAAGGCAGATGACTTCTTAATATCGTCCATTCTCATTGGTCATGTCTCAGGGCTATACAGCAAAATCGAACGGATCATGGCTATATAGATGGGGACTTTCGTTTTTATGAAGATTTCACGACGACTCCATGAAGGTTTCGTTAACCGAGATATTTCTAGCTGCCGTGAACCGGATTGTAATATCATCTTTTGCCTAGCCATTTGTAAAAGAGTGGACCCAAGGTATTTAAAATCGGGCACTTCCTCAATCGGCAATGAATTTACAAAAAGAGGCATTTTATCAACCTCTTGTATATAAACGAAAAGACTGTCGTTTTGTTTATATTGACCCTGAGTCCTATTCTTGCTCCAGTTTCTGACACGTTATTTAGCATTACTTGCATTTCGTCGTAACTATCAGCAAAAAAGAACTACATCATCAGCGTATTCAAGATTATAGGATGCTTTGGACTGATTTGGACACCTGTTGAGGTGTCCATTATCCAGTTTGTTGCGTAGTTGAATATCGTAGAGGAAAGGATACAGATCTTATTTCGAAGGGTCTGTCAATTCCCCATATACATAGACTGCTCCGACGTACGCTCATAAAATGCCTTTGTATGTCGAATGATCTTCTCTGAAAAATCGTTGCGTTCCATCATCCTCCAAAGTGCCGCTCTATCAGTTGAATTCTCAGGCTCCCTCTCCGGAGTCGAACCCTTATTCTCCGTTACCCGTTACAACCATGGTAGGCACATAAACTACCATCGAAAGTTGATAAGGCAGATACTTGATAGATATGTCGCCGGTACTAGACCATGCCATCATCGATGAAATAAAGGTGGATTGCAAATATTTGAAGCGATGTTCCAATACCTTCCTTAACATGAATATCTGGTTAGCACAACCGCATCCTGGTCTAAATCCAGCNNAAGATTATAGGATGCTTTGGACTGATTTGGACACCTGTTGAGGTGTCCATTATCCAGTTTGTTGCGTAGTTGAATATCGTAGAGGAAAGGATACAGACTCAGTTCTTATTTCGAAGGGTCTGTCAATTCCCCATATACATAGACTGCTCCGACGTACGCTCATAAAATGCCTTTGTATGTCGAATGATCTTCTCTGAAAAATCGTTGCGTTCCATCATCCTCCAAAGTGCCGCTCTATCAGTTGAATTCTCAGGCTCCCTCTCCGGAGTCGAACCCTTATTCTCCGTTACCCGTTACAACCATGGTAGGCACATAAACTACCATCGAAAGTTGATAAGGCAGATACTTGATAGATATGTCGCCGGTACTAGACCATGCCATCATCGATGAAATACATAAAGGTGGATTGCAAATATTTGAAGCGATGTTCCAATACCTTCCTTAACATGAATATCTGGTTAGCACAACCGCATCCTGGTCTAAATCCAGCTTAATTAAGGAGCTTCCCTTACTGCCATAAGTATAATGAGTAGAAGGAAAGCAAAAATTTTCCCTGAGATATTTAGGCCGATTTCTCGATAATTGTCGCGGTATGCCCTATCATCTTTCTTGAGAATTGGGTGCTGAATTGTTTTGTTCCGGTAATATTTATTTTTCCATACTACAGTGTGCATTTACAGTGTGCATTTGTTGAAGGCGTGTTATGAAGGACGATGGACAACATTTGATGAGTTCGGCCCGAAGACCATCTTCTAGGAGTCTTATTGGCCTTAAGCTTATTGATAACGGAGATTATTTCTTTTTCTGTTGGCGGCTCGCAGTTGCAAGTGCATGGTTCGACGAACATATCAGCTATATCAGGGGGAACAGATGGCTAAGTTTGGTTAAGTTTGGTCTCAAAGAATTTTTTTGATCTTATGAGGCAGTCCTTAATACTTTTGACTGACACGCCATTGCTGTCCCTTACCATTTCACCATTTTATAATATCGTTCCCCGAGTTATAGTTGTTTTATGAAGAAGGCGGGATGGTTTCCTATTATCGCATAATCGAGCCGTCTCCATTCTTGAGGCCATATCACTCCAATAGTGATTTCTTGCTGTGCTGCTTTCGTTGCAAATCTTCGAAGCATCCGGTAGTCAGGATCACCTGACATTCGTGCTTTGGCAGCTTTTTCAGATAGTTGTACAATTGCTTCCGATACCCAACTAGCACAGTTCCTGCCAGTATGCCCTTGTGGAAGTGGCTGATTTTCGAAGACATTCCTTTAGTTTGGACCAGTATTCAGTTGCCGTTCCAGAAAAATCATTGATATTTGTATCATTGATGCTTCAATAATTCGGTTTGAAATGCGCTCACTGTCCCCGAATTTTTTAGTTTGAGATAATTGAAGGAACTTGGGGGATGCTATTTTCTGCGAGTTGTCAATTTTATGCGGATTTCGGCTTGAACCATAGCATGGTCAGATCCACGAAGACTGCCCGTTTCAGAGCTGCGATAGGAATCACTATCTAGTGCGGAACTCTTCCGACGGCGACTGGCTAAGACAGAATCAATCTGGTTGAAATGTTGGTTATCCGGGGAATTCCACGTGACTAGATATTTTCTAAAATGCTGGAAGCAAGTGTTAATAACAGTTCTGCATAAGAAAGAAGACGTTCTCCATTGGTGCATCGGTCTCGGATGCCATATTCGCCAATTGTCGAAGTCATCGCAGCGGCATAATGACCTACGCGCGCATTCCACTCTCTTCTGATTATGACCATGTCATGTTTCGGTAGAGACTTTGTAAGCAGTTGAAGTTCCATATAGAACTTATCTTTATCACGGTCAGCTGCAAACAGAGTTATAGCATAGACATTGACGACCGAAGTATTGCAGCACTTGCCTTTAAAACGGGCGTAGGCTATACGGTCATTTACTGGTTTCCATTCAGAGCGGATCGAGCCTTTTCAGACATAACAATCGCTACGCTATTTCGCCTCAAATTATCTGAGACACCACAGTGATAGAGCCAATATCTTTGCTCTGAACCAGGATTAATAATTGCTGGAGATCCAAAGTGAGGAGGACGGACCTCCGACAAGCAAGCGATATCCACACGATACTTAGACAGGGTGTGGACAGTGATCGGCTTGCAACGTCCATAAGTGTTCTGACGTTCCACGCTGATAAGGCTAATACCTCGCCGCGCGTGCAAAGGGCTATTCCTGTTGATAGGTTCAGGTCAATTACCCTGGTTTACCAGCACATTTTATTTACCAGCTTTGGGATCGCTTCATGCCCAGATTGTATACTTATCGCATGTACCACTGGGCTGGAAGTATCATACGCGTCGGCAGACGCGGACGTTGTCTGCAAAATTTTTCCCACAAAACATTTTTTCATATGCCTTAAATAACTATAAATAAATTTTTTACTTACTTTATTAAAATAGGAAAATTTCGATGAAAAATTTTGATACCACAGCCATAGGAATTGACTATTTCTGACGATCCAAAATTTATAGTCCTAGCCGATCTATTATAAATATAAATACCAGATTTCACTGGTCTAATCATATGTACAGAATGGAGCTGAATGTTTGGCGAATCTACCGTAATTCCAATCAGTGCGTCTTCCACATATACATGATGAGCGAACAAAAAGCCATCTGAAATGTTAATGAACAATAATTCTTATATATTTTTGGAAATTATCTGACTTCGCTGTTATATAATAGCACTATTTCTGGTTTGGTTGGCTCCAATGAGTATTAGAATAAATCCTTCCCTAAGAATCTCTTAGAGATTGCAGTACTAGACCTCCCGCATTATCTATCGCATTGAAAATGGAAGCAATCTTACTTGATTTAATAACAATTCCCGCCCAGGCACTTCCACCAGTGCTACGCAAAGTGACTGGACGATCTTTTGTGCCAGAAAGATGGAGCGAACCTATAAATCCGGTTTTTCAAGCAATCTCGACGAAAGGACGACTGGTATTTTACATTTTACTAAATGAGAAAAGAATTTCATTCTGTACCTAAAATCACGATTCCTCTTCCAGGCTCAAAATAAAGTGTTGTTCCTTCGTTATAAACAAATATTTCTCCTTCATCAATCACAATGGTTTCTCGTATTCTGCAAAACAGCATTCATTAAAACGATTTTAATCGTTGGGCAGCACAATGTACACGCACCTACATTTTAAGAAGCCGATTTGAAGCTGTAGTTATTTCTTCATACTGTGTATTCATAGTAGGTTCAGTAAAGGACAAAAGAAACGGTGGAATTTCTATTGGAAGCAGAGTGTTATCAATGCGTGAATCACATATTCGTTCGCTAATCTAAAAATTATTCCGTAATCTAGCCTGTTCCATTAGAATGATATTTGATAACAAGGCCACATTCTTCATGGCTTGATAAAAATAGTTGCAACTATTTAGACTGGTAAAAAAACTCGTTTATAACAAATGAAGAATATATACATTTCCAATTCTGAATGGGTGATAAAACCCATTATATTTTGTAATTTATCGAAATGGAAGAAAAGCATACCTCAGATTCTTCAAGAATGCCCCAGTAATTATTACTAACAATGGTTTCCCCTTTTGCAGTTTTTCCGCTCAATCGTAATTCACAATGTGCCTAAAAATGATTTGTAATATTTTGTAATATTCATACATCATATTTTTCAACAACTGTGGATTTACAACATCTATAAAATGGCTTGAAGGACATGAAAAATGAAAGAATTTATTATTCAACAGTAATCTGCCAAAACTGTTTATTGTAGACTTTTTTAAGCAGAAATGGGTCTTATCAAATAAAAATATAAATAGATCAGCGTAAATTTCATGAAATCGTTGATACCTCTATATTATCGAACCTATTGAAAGAGATATTTGCGTCTAGCATAGCAATATGAATCACATCAATGGCAATATTTTCTCTAAATGAGTTGCCTATCATTGATATCTTAGTTCGAACTGAAGACATTTGAGATTCTGAACCGCTTATATGAATGATATTCTGCATTGCATTACGATAGAATATATTTTTATTCAAACGAATTCGCGAATCTAAAAGTGAATCAGCCTCGATTTAAAATAAAGTAAAAAGGCTTATCATAGAATCTCTTAAAACCTTGGCATACTCCATACATTTTCCTTACTACTGGCTTTTTTTTCGAACTCTGATAATTACTTATGTCACTAATGGGTTTAAGCATTAAGAGAATAGGTCGCAGTTAAGAGCGCATAATAGTCCGAAGAAGTCAAAGGCAGGTTAAACATTAGAGGATACAAAAGGATAATTTTAATATTAATAAAATTAGCATTAATATTAATATTAATGTGGTGCTTCCTATATGAGAACGAGGAGCTTCTAGAGAGAAAAATTAAATTTGGGAGGTGGATTAAGCTATCGAACAAGAATTTAGAATTTTGACAAAACTAAGGTTTTATCAACCGGAAGAACGCAATTATAGCCACCGTTATCTTGATTGATTTTGCCTTTCGCTTGGCCGTTTGGGTTAGAGTGGATTCGAGATATTTAAAGTCGGTACTTCCTTAAACAGCAATGAATTTATAAAAATAGATATTTTATTAGCTTCTTGTATATAAGACGAAAAATCTTTCGTTTAATTGACCCTGAGTCCGATTCTCGTTATAGTTGTTGGCATGTTGTTTAGCGTTATTTGCATTTCATCACAACGGCCATCAAAAAGAACTACATCATTAGCGTATTCAAGGTCTGTGATACGATGCTCTAGACTGATTTGTACATCTCTTGAGTGCCGACAAGTGATGTCCATTATCCAGTCTATTGTGTAATTGAATACTGTAAAGGAAAGAAAACAGCCTTGATGGACACCAGTTCTTATTTTGAAAGAGACTGTTAGTTCCCTATACATACGATAATAAAATGCCTTTATGAGTCGAATGATCTCTAGAACACCGCCTCGTTCCATCACCCTCCAAAGCATCGTTCTATCAAATGAATCGAATGCAGTTGCAAAGTCGATGAAACATATAACGGTGGATTGCAAATATTTGAAGCGATGTTCCAGTACTTTTCTTAACATGAATATCTGGTTAGCACAACCGCGTTCCGGTCTAAATCTAGCTTGATTAAGGCACATCCCTCTGATCCGTACTACCATAAGCCTAATGAGCAAAAGGGAAGCAAAATTTTTCCAGAGATATCCAGTAGGTTGATTTCCTCTATAGTTGTCGTTGTCACCTTTTTTAGGAATTGGAAGCTGAATTGCTCTCCTCCAGTCTTCTGGTATTATTTCCTTTTGCCATACCGCAGAGCACATTTGTTGAAGAAGTGTTATGAAAGACAACAATTTGAAGATTTCCGCCCTAGAAGACAATCTTCTCATCTTCAGTTTTATTGGCCTTAAGCTTCTGTATAACAGAGATTTCCTGTTCTGTTGGTAGTTCGCAGTTGCAAAAATATGGCTCTATGAGCGAATTAGCTATGTCCGGGACAACAGATAGCGCATCTTGGTTAAATTTTGGTCTCAAAGAATTCCTTCCATCTGATGAGACAATCTTTAATACTCTTAACAGGCACACCAATATTGTCCCGTATGATTTCATTAATCGCTTCCCCAAGTTATAGTTGCTTTATGAAGGTGAAATAGTTTCCTATTGTCAGCTAACCGAAGCACCGTCTCCATTCTCAAGGACATATAATGAATTCCGTGCTGCATTTGTAATATGCTTCGAAGCATCCGATAGCCAGGATCTCCTGACATTGGTGCTTTGGCAGCCTTTTCAGATAGTTGCATTTTAAACAATTGTTTTCAATACCCAATAAGTGCATTTCCTACTAGCACATTCTACTATGGAAGTGGCTGATTCGGAGATATGTCTTAAGTTGAAACCAATATTCATCTTTCGTTCCAGAGATGCCCTAATAATTCGGTTTGAAATACACGTACTGTCCTTGAATCTTTTAGATAGCTGAAAGCTCGGGAAATTTTATTTGCGAGTCGTCAATTTTATGCGAATCTTGGCTCGAATCATAACATGGTCTGATTCATGAAGATTACCAATTTCAGTGCTATCTAATAGCATTTAATGGGGAATAGGCGACGGCGACTGACTAGGATGTAATCAATTGGCTATTTGGCGAGTTCCATGTGACTATATGTTTTCTCCGATGCCGGATGTGTTAATAAAAATTTCATGCTTTTCAGCAAATTCTCCACTGGCACAACATCAAGGTCATATTTACCAATTATTCATCTGGTGGCATCGGGACTAACGCGCGCATTCCAGTCTTCTCCGATTATAACAATGTCACCTCTCGACACTATTGGTTGAAGTTGAAGTTCTGCATAGCGTGGTCATCTAAGCATAAAGTTATAGCGTATACACTGATGACTGGAATATTGCACAACTTTCTTTTAAAATGCATAGACCGTGCAGTCGTTTATTGGCTTCCACTCAATACTAGCGTACCAAGCTTTTTCAGACATGACGATCACAATGCTATTTCGCCTCGAGTTATCCGAGACACCATGGTGATATAGCCAATACTGTTAGGAACCAGATTTAATAATCACTCGAGGCGAAAAGAAAAAAAGAAAGACTTCTGGCAAACAAGCCACATCCACGCACTATTTATATTAAATATTTGCGGTGATCGCCTGCCTTGCAACGTCCATAAGCATTCCGACGTTCCAAGCAGCCAACACCTTGTCGCGCGTACAAAGAACTAATAGACGGTCTCTCATTCTCCTCGGCTGGTTTAAATAATTACTTTACTCCAGAGCACATCCTATTTTGAGGTTTTACTACGCTCAGACTGTATAGTAATCACATGCACCACCGAGCTGGAAATTTCATGCGCATCGGAGAACGCGGACACCGTGTCGAAAAGACTTGATCCTTCCACCATCGAGTAACTTTGGGATAGAATCACTAGTGGGTTCTCAGCATCCAACCGGGAAAATTATTAAATTATTAAAAATTATATAATGCTTATTTGATTATTTTGAAAAAAAATTTGATAAATTATGCCAAATGTGGACTATTTATTCTGTAATAAATATTACCTTGACCATCTTGCATTATTCGAAGTCCAATAACTGTATTCATTGAATTTCGCTTTGATAACTGGTTATGTGAAAAACGATTATTCTCCATTTGAATATTTGCTGCGTTGCAAATTTCTTCAACATGCATTACATCTCCATAATTTCGAGTAAAATTATTATTTAACAGACGAATATCGCTCTGACTAATATTCTTCTTGAAAATTATACCAGAAGCATTATTATTCCATATGTGACTCCATTCTAGCAGAAAATCTATTTTCATTGATTTTTCGACGATTACGGCTGCACTAAAGTGAAAAAAAAAGAAAATCCTTAAAAGTTTAAAATTTCATAGTCTTCGTAAATCTGCAGTTCATTTCATTTAATTTTGAAATTCACTTGATTTATTCATTCACGATGACATGAACATCGATGAGATCGAGAAAATAGCAAATTTTTAATCGTCAAAGCCCTTATATCAAAAAAAAATATTAACTAAAATCGTTAACCTGTAATAATGAGCTGTGAAATTTGATGCTAAAATTTTAATCCGTGTGCGATAATCAGGTAAAATGCATAAACCAGCATCGCCATTTGAACCAATAAAGGAATTAGTTATCTCAAACGATGAATTAGGTGAAAATTGCGCCGAAATGCCATTTTTACCATTCGAAGAAAATTGGCTAGAGAATATTCTCAGTGCAAGTGATCCATTTACTAATAAACCATCATTTCGATTGGATAAAAGCAATGCATCCACCAGAATCACTTCCTCAAAATACAATCTCATCTGAGGCAAATGTATTTGACTGAATTAATCAAAGTCAGAAACTTACTGTCTTATTTTTCAATTAGTTAAGTAAAAAGTGCTTAAAGTAAAAAGTAGCTCACGATAAGGTTAGCTTTGCTGGTAGAGTTAGAAATTTTTGCCAAGGTTCTTTTTAACTTCTTTATTTTAATCTTTAATTTTTCCTGCAAACTTGCCAATCGAAGTACTAGGAAGAATTAGATTAGATCGTTATCTATTTTTTTCGACACAGGGAACCGAATAAAAAGATAAACTTCCACCCACCTCCATTAGAAGAGTACTGCTTTGAAATTTAAAAAAAAATTTTATTGACAAAAAAGTCATTTTGTAAATGCAATAAGGCGCATTTTGTGAGATGAAAAATAAAATGGCATTTCTAAATTTGAGGCATTAAGGCAATAAAGAGCTGCAATTATGGCACATTTTATTATCACGCACCTTAATCCATCCATTGTAAAACATGGAACTGTGTGTTGTTCGCATTGAAATAAAAAATCAATATGATCAATATTGAAAAATGTTTGCAATATTTTACGTGCAGCAGTAAGCATATTCATAAATGTGCAACATGCAATATCTTTTAAATCGGTACCTGGTGCTCGCTGTTGGAAAATATCGTTAATCCGTTTTGTTGATTATTAATCGCGATTAACTTCTTTATTTTAATCTTTAATTTTTCCTGCAAACTAAAGGCTTTTATTTGTGCTAGCGCTTACCAAAAATATCGCTTGATTAGCAAAACACACACTGAATGGCATAACTAAGTAGCTAGCATTATCTGCATGAATTCTGCTCGGTATAACTTAGATCCTCCCAAGATGAGATTCCTCAGAAAAACTTAGAGAATAATAAGGCGAAGATCCTATAGGATTTTCCCATCCGAACAGACAAGTACTGGCCAATCAGCCAAATATCATGTAATAAACAAGAATCAGAAATCAGCACTGGTGATATAGATAGCAATACCAAGCGACAAGAACGTCAAAAAGAAGGAATTAGAGAAATGTTAAGGGCAGAAAGAGGAACTAGAGAAAATATGGAAAGACATTCAAAGTAATTCCAGTGATAATTGGAACACTTGGAACTATGACCCCTAAACTAGAAAAATGGCTTCAGCAAAGTCCAGGAACAATATCAGAGATCTCTGTCCAGAAGAAAGCACTTATATGAATATCTAAGATACAGAATCCTCAATCTCCCAGGTATCTGGTAAAGGACCCGAGATTGAGAGTGATTGTGGATGATCATGACTACCCACAGGGGGGTGAGAAAAAAATTTTTCTTATTTTTTTATATAAAAATTTGTAGAACTAAAAGTGAAATCAAGAAAAATCAAGAAAAAACAAAAAATAGATAATGCTCAGCCAATAACAAATGTAAAGGCTAGATATGCCGTTTTAAAATTTGCTCACCACGATTTATTTCATAGATATGCGCATTTTTATGAAAACGAGTGGAATTTTTTTTGGCATAAACAATTTATGAGAGTAAATTTAGGCATATATAATTTTACCATTCTCAAAAAATGATACTGTTATATTGATGAGGTAATTATAACTGAATTATATCTACAGACTGCAGACAGAAAAGACCTCTTTATGCGTAAGCCGGATTGTCATCCCATTTTCGTTACCATCGCAAACAACGTGACTGAGTTCTGGATACGGAGGCCCGTCGATATTTAAACCATATATACTATTGGATATGTTGACATAATTTAAAAATGACTTATAATCGCGGTTCTCTGAAAGATTGCTTGCTTATTTAATGTCAAGATTGGAACCATTGTGTCTAAAACCTCTATAAATTAGATGAAACCTAGCTCTAAACTATGAATTTCTATTAATCGAAATAATTCATCAGTGTATCATAAATTGCTCGTTATAAGCAGAAAATATAGCCTATTAAACGATTTAATCATATTTCGCAAGAATGAAGAGTGGCTTACTGTTGCTGTTGATGGAATGAAATAAGACACCCTTCCAGTTACGTTCATAGCTATATAAGGATACTTGCTCATGCTGAGTGCCGTTTATTTGTAGTGCACCTGAAGCTTCATTTTTGGAAAGGTTGCTTAAGGTTAAAAATTTTTTTTTAGCTATGATAAAAAACAAATAAATGGATTCCCTTTCATGCTTCACAGTTCAAATCGACTTGCTACGGTTAGAAAAAAGAGATTAAATTTCTAAAAGAAGACTAGTCCCGAAATTTGCACCTAAAGTAGTCGTGCGAAGCGCGAACTGAGAAATAAACGTGAATGAGATAGAAAACATTGTATTTATATTAAAAGGTGAGATATCCTGAAATACAATTTGACAACCTGATTTTTAAACAGTTTGTTTTTAGTTGCGATGATCGTTAGCATTAAAACTACATATCTAAAAATTAATATAGCCTATAGCGAGCTATATCTTATGCCTTTTTGATTTTTCGAGCGAATTTCAATAGCATTTCTCAGTATCTTTCAATATTTGCTCTTTCCTGACGGCATTCACCATTCGTGTCACGGCTAATACTGCTCTTACGATGAAATCTTCTCCATCGCCAGCCACTTGACGATAAAAATATAAATGGATCCCAGCACAGCTGGATTTTAATTTTAATGATAGATTTATTTCACTCCAAGAGACAGGAAAGGAATCTATGATGAGTTTATTCAAAGCAATATATCACTCACTTATTAAGCAACGAATCGTTCTAAACCAGAGACTAGAGTTCATCGAAAATATTTAATTTTTTTCGTCCTAACTGGCGGAAAAGAATTATAAAAATTAAAAGCACAAAATCACTGGCGTTTAAAACAAAGCGACAAGCAGAACACCCAGGTTAAAATTTGATTTTTAAAATTGATTATATTGGATGGAGGTAATATCAATACTGTTCACCACAAAAATATGTATAATTACAGGTAAATTTTAGGAAAATAAATTTTCACCATAAACGATGATGCCAACATTGTTAGCAAAAGCAATTTTGACAGAAGATGGAATCCTGAGGATATGATTCGCAGGAACAATTAAATCTTCCTGAATTTGATAAGGCGAACCGGCAGATGCGAAATTTGGCAGTTTCGTAACAGCAACCTCTCGTTTTTTCCGTTCATGAAAACATCCATCGACTTGTGCACAGTTTTTTCCATGATGATGTTTTTTTTTATTTTTGTTTGAATAGTAACATCTATTTCTAAAACATCTCATTCTAAAACAATAGCAGTAAATTAAAAAAAGAAAATATAAAAATAATAAAAACAAATAAAAACAATCCTACCGCTTGAAGAATGAACCTTATTATTAGGGAGTGAAATGCGTGTGATGGTTTTCCATGAGCCCATTCTATTCCCGAATGGTTCCTTGGTAGAAGGATTTTACCCTAATAAAAAATTATTTATTTCGTCGCTTAAGCCAGCCAGACTTAAGCAATAGTAGTCGCTTAAGTCGCTTAATCAGAAACACTGCTGTAGAAAAAAATTTTATTGCACAGAGATTATCGAATTCAACAAATTTGTCTTAAAATATTACTTTTCATGAGGTTTATATTATTTCCCAAGACTGCTTTCTCACATTTAAAATTTTTAAAAAATTTGCGTGTGATTTTTCAATGAGACGAATAAATTGAATGTTCGATAAGCATTTAGAATGCTTAACCATAGTTTTTCACGACAAAATGTTCGCAGAGAATAGAATAATATCTTATATATCTCATATACTGATAAAACCCGGCAATTTCGTATTTTCTACTGATAAAAATTACTTTCAGAATTTCTTATCGTTAAAAAAAATATACCTGAAGATTTCAGTAGAGACATTACTTAATTTGCAAGACGAAATGCTAATATCAACCACAGATAATTTTTTTCGATAAATAATTGAAATTTTTTGGGCAAAAACAGGCTTTTTAAGTATAAAATGGCCTCCACTATTACTATAGTGAACCAACCACCACTTTGTGTCGTTCGCACATCGAGAGTAGATTATTTCTCTACAATTCAAAATCTTAATCATCGGTAGATCAGTAAAATTTTTCAAAATCTCAAGAAAGATCAATGTGGGTTTATAAGAGATTTAAATGAAAAAGTAGTGAAACTTCTATCAAATTTTAGTTCTTTCCAAAGTTGTGAGAAAAAGAAAAAGGTGAAAGGTGTAACTAACATATCCTCTGCGCCAGTAAGTGGAACAAGGCAATCAACATAAATTGCATTAATGCAGTGGATTTCTGGAAATATAAGACTCGTGAAAAAAGCTTTATAAACTTCTCCTGAAATCAGCAGCAATCTCAAATGTACGAAAAGTTATATGTTTGTAAGTAGTATCTGATATTTGGTGGACTTTTGGAGATGTGCATTTACCTGGGATCAGTGGTAGATTCCTTAGATGTTATATCATCACTGAAGTGTTATATAGACTTTAACGCTTAATTTACATTTCCTTACAGGGAAAAATAAAAATAACAGGGATAATGCAGCATTTCTACAACTGAAGAATTTTGACTAGAATTAAACGAGATGAATTAATAGCTAACTTCCTTTGAAGTGGATAAGTTGGTCGCCTGAACGAAGTGATGCAAACGACTGGCTGCCAACGAACACTGAAAACTAGTGATAAGAGCGAAAACAACGAGATGCTAAGCACCTGAAGTTCGAATTAAAGCCCACAGGATAACTAGCAGCAATGGTAACATACGCATTTACATACTAGAACTTTATTGATTATTACACCTATTACTTATAGCTATTATTTCTATGGTTTTTCAATATTTTCGATATTTTCCAATACATTTGTAAATAATTCATACCGAATAAAAAAGCATCGCTTTTGATTTTCTGATTTTTCACTCTCTTCTTTTAAATTATGAAATTATCGGCAAATATTGCTGAACTAAGTGAAAATATTATAAAATGAGGTGCGAATATTCTGAAAATATGAAAAAACGCTATTTCCCGATTAAAATTGATATGAAACCCATAAAGCAGATCGAAGATATGGTTTCTTTATATTTCATTTTCAACAACTAATGACCATTTTGCTTCGTTAATATATGAATATTGCTGATGCTCATCGAAATGCTGATTGGCTAGCTCAGTTAATGAAAAATAATTGAGTAAAACTCGATGAGAATGATAGCAAGATACAAATTCGTTTCGCTCACATCCATTTTCCTATCACGGGCAAGCACAGCCGAGTTATTGGTTCAGACTGTCGAGGGCAAAGGTTCAATTTCCGCCACTGATATTAACCTATCATCAAAGGGTCCCAGTGGTGCTATTCATCCGATATTTAGCGCCAAGTTATTCCAAATGACTCTAGTAAAAATTTTTTATCACATCCATTAAAACTAGTAATGAGCGCTCGAAATGATTGACTTAATATTTTCCTACTGAAATATATGAATAGAAAAATAAGAGACTGTATTTTTCTATCCAAAATTTGCTTTTTTTTGGGCGGGATTTGCTTTTTTTCGAATAATAGCTGGTAAGAAATTAACAATTTTTCCTTTAAATTTAAATTTATAAAATTGTTAAAAATTCATAGGCACAATAATAATGCGTTTCAAATATTAATGAAAGCACCCACAATTTATATTTATACCACCAATCACCGAATCGAGAAAAAGCTCATAATCTATTAACCCTCATTACGAAATATATTATATATATCCACATCTGCTGACTAAAGAAATTGTCAACTGTTCATGAACGCTTAATAATGATGATCCAGCTGCTTGAGGCAAGCAGTCACCCAGGGAAGGACGGTACCGATCATGAAAATTGGAAACAATAGGCTCAAAACACAAGGTGCTCATAAATGGACCAGTTGCTCAAAATTCAAGGTCTCGGTGGACTGAGCACAGCCTAGACTTATCAGAGAAAAGGACTCAAGCTTCACGCATGGATTTGTGAATATCTTGCTCTGTACGAAGACAAAAGGATCATAAAGACGTTCATTAAAAATTCGATGGGAAAATTTAAAGTCAACTCAAGTTTGCACAAGTGGTTATCAAGTGGGGAATATATCAAGGTAAACCATTGTTCCCGCTAATGACACTGGAATTTTATTCGGACTGGAGAAATGTGACCGTATGGTAGTAAAGCAAGGGAAACTAGTTAAAAATGATGGGGTAGACCATGGCAAATAGCAGACATAATACTAGTTACAAATATCTTCATATCCCACAGTCAAATGGAAACCACGATGAAGAAGCAAGGAAGATAGAAACACCTAAGTACCACTAAAAAAACATGACAGATCTTGAACAGCCAGCTCAATAGGAAAAATAAATCATACCAATAATCCATACCAATAATATATGCGCAGTTTTAAGATACGCAGTGAGATCAAAGGAAGACATGGAGGCTGTCAATGTGAAGACCTGGAAACTCCTCACAATGTATGGAAATTTCCACCTCTATACACAAGTCTAGTACCCAAAAACTTTTCACCAAATGGAATGAAACCTGGTGGAGCTTGATGAGTGTCAAAACCACCATCTTGAAAGAAATCGGGAGTATTTAAGAATACTTCAGGAAGACAACCCAAAAGATGAGCTGCTGAAATGCCTGGAGCATCAACAGATATTGGAGAAAGATCACGCAGAGAAATGTCAAAGACCTTTCATGGGATATAACATCGATAGATAACTGAGGTGGCTAAAACTGAAAAATCCTACAATGGTTTAAGAGAATTGGATTAAATTAAAAATACAAAAATATGACTAAGCACTAGATTCATTGTCCAATATACAGTGGCAGGATGTACATATATAAATATATACGTTACAAATATATACAATATATAAAATATCAATGACTTTTCTGGAACGGCAAATGAATACTGGTCCAACTTAAAAAAATGTCTCCGAAAGTCGGCCATTTCCACGTTAGAATATATTCGTAGGAGCTGTGCTAGTTGGGCATCGAAAGTAACTATCCAATTGTCTGAAAAAGCTGCCAAAGCACGAATGTCAGGTGATCCTGACTATCGGATGCTTCCAAGATTTGCAACGAAAACAGCAAGAGAGAGAGATCACTATTGAAGTGATATGGCCTCAAGAATGGAGACGGCTCGATTATGCGATAATAGGAAACCATTCCGCCTTCTTCATAAAACAACTATAACTCGGGGAACGATATTATAAAATGGTGAAATGGTAAGGGACAGCAATGGCGTGCCAGTCAAAAGCATTAAGGACTGCCTCATAAGATCAAAAGAATTCTTTGAGACCAAACTTAACCAAACTTAGCCATCTGTTACCCCTGATATAGCTGATATGTTCGTCGAACCATGCACTTGCAACTGCGAGCCGCCAACAGAAAAAGAAATAATCTCCGTTATCAATAAGTTTAAGGCCAATAAGACTCTGAGAAGATAGTTTTCGGGCCGAACTCATCAAATGTTGTCCATCGTCCTTCATAACACACTTTCAACAAATGCACACTGTAGTATGGAAAAATAAATATTACCAGATGACTGGGACAAAACAATTCTGCTCCCAATTCTCAAGAAAGGTGATAGGATATACTGCGACAATTATCGAGGAATCAGCCTACTAGACGTTTCAGCGAAAATTTTTGCTTTCCTTTCACTCAACAGACTTATGGAATCATGAGACCCTAAAAAGCAGGATGCGCCCTAATCAAGCCTGGATTCAGACCGAGGCGCTGTTGTAGACCAGATATTCACGTTAAGAAGGGTGTTGGAACATCGGTCCAGATATTTGCAACCCACTGTCACGTGTTTCATCGATTTTGCGGTTGCCTTTGATTCAATTGATAAAAAGGCACTTCGGAAAGTGATGGAATGCGACGGTGTTCCAGAGAAGATCATTCGACTCATAAAGGCATTTTATATGTGTACGTTGGCGCAGCTCTGTCTATATGGAGAACTGACAGAATCCTTCGAAATAAGGACTGGTGTCTTTTCTTCTACAATATTCAACTATGCGATAGACTGGATAATGGGCATCGCTTGTCGGCTTGTCACAAGAGATGTCAAAATTAGTCTGGAGCATTATGTCACAAATCTTGAATACGCTGATGACGTAGTCCTTTTTGCTGATAGTTACGACGAAATGCAAGTAATGCTAAATAACGTGTCAGAAACTGCAGCAAGAATAGGACTCAGGGTCAATATATACAAAACGACAGTCGTTTCGTTTACAAGAAGTTGATAAAATGCCTCTTTTTGTAAATTCATTGCCGGTCGAGAAAGTGCTCGATTTTAAATACCTTGAGTCCACTCTAATACCAAAAGACGATATTATAGCCCGGATCACGGCAACTAGAAATGTGTTCTTCCGGTTGACGAAACCTTTATGGAGCCGTTGTGAAATTACCATTAAAACAAAAGTCCGCATCTATATAGAGGTGATTCGTTCGATCTTGCTATATGGTTCTGAAACAGGCCAATGAGAGTGGAGGATATTAAGAAGCTTTAACTGCTCTTGTCTAAGGTATATTTTACGGATCCGTCGAGCGGATAAAATATCACATGATCGCATCCACCTTCGTTCAAACACCACCTGTATTAATAATTTTATCACAGAGCGTCGCCTTCGCTGGTTAGGTTCTCCATCGACCACCACAGAAGTTGACGCATATTTCGTTACTTGTTACTTGTTAAACCGTATAATGGGTGGAGTCAAAAGCGAGGAGGGCCAATCAAGACCTGGACGGATACGGTCAGGAAAGATTTTGAACGTATAGGTGGACCAGCAATATATAGAGTTAGACGATGGAAAAAGGAATGGCTTCTATTACTGTCGACGATGGCATCAGACCGTGCTGTTTGGAAGCGTCTTATCCTTTTAGCTGTTGGAGCCAGCCTAACCAGTAATGGTGAGAACTGTTAGAAAAAGAAGTGGCAGAATGTAAAATTCAAACAGGAATAACATACACTGGAAGGCATAACCACGTAGCTGGCATCATTTACAGGAATATCTGCTCGGTATATGGTTTAGATCCTCTCAAGACTAGGTGGAGATTCCTCAGAAAATTGTGAAAAAAGGTCCTGTAAGATTCCACTCGGACAGAAATACAATTACTAACCAATCAACCAGATATCATGGAAGAATCAAAAATCAGCACTGGTGATATAAATAACAGTGCCAAGTGACAGGAACGTTGGGAAGAAGAAATGTAAGAATGTAAATTAGAGAAATGGAAGGAGCTGACAGAAGAACTAGAGAAGAAGAGGAAAGTGAAGAGTACCAAGAGTTTCAGTGGTGATAGCAGAACTGGAAGCTGGAAATCCTAAACTAGAAAAGTGGCTTCAAAAGATTCTGGAAATAATGATCTAGTGCACTTTTAGGAATAGCTAAGATACAGAAGTACAGAACCTTCAAAAAGTTCCTAAGCCTCTGGTAGAGAAAACGAGACTGAGGACTCATATCACTCACAGATAATGAGGACGTTTATATATATATATATATATTAAATTTTAGTTTATTGGGAAAGTTTACTTATTAATTTTTTTGAAAAATTAGAGCTGATAAAGTTACCTGTCAGATAAAATAAAGTAAATATTTGAGTGACTTCTTCCGTCATCTTCAATCTCATCTTTCGTCAGTTCAATGCGACATCTCCGAAACGATTCCCAGAACGATGTAGAGGCGGTCTCACATAAAATATAAATGTTTCGAAAGCAATTTTCGCTCGGCGGATGAATTATATTTTCTGCTCATCTGATATT